TTGGTTAAAATGTCAATGGGTATTGGGAAAACAAAAATCAGCTAAACTCCATGCATTCAAACTCAAACTTTTTTAAAACAACAAGGACACTCCCATTTCTCTGTGCGGAGGGAGAGGACAAATGCCCACAACTTTTGTAAAGTGCTTTGTGACTCTGGTCTGTGAAAGACGCTACATAAATAAAGATTACTTACTTACTTACTTACAACTGCATAAAATGAATCCACTTAAAAAGGAATACTCAACACAACAACACAGTTCTGCTTACTGTATACAGCATGTGCAGCAACAAAACACTGTCTGATTAGCTTAATTTTGCAATAGTTCAGTCAGAAATAACAGAACACTTTGCTTGAATCAAGTCACAGCAAATACAAATGATCGTTTCTTACCTGGGAGATCTTTCCGTCCCATAAAGTCTGGAGAGCTGTATCACTCCAATTCTTACATAACATCCAGTCTATACCAATTCTCCTCAGTCCTCGAAAACAAATCGTCCAGCCACTGTTTTGAACAATAATGCAGCATTAACTGTACTCCTTTGGTTATCTAATCAAATTGATATAAAGTAAAAGCAGTAGGTTTATTTACATTTTTATTTAAGGAAAATATAATGATCGAACCCAAATCTGGCATAATACATTAAATAAAAATACTTACAACTCTTTCCCATGTAACATCCATCCATCCATCCATTTTCTACCCTTTAAGCCATTTCTGGGTCAGGGGGGTGGCAGTCAGAGATGCCACCCAAGTCTCATAGCACCAGCCCCTCACTGACCCTCTGCAGGTGGTGAGTCCACAGGAGGACGGCTGCTCTGAGTGTGAGCATAGCCTTGATCTTTCAGTGGGGGCTTTTTTGGGCAAAGTGGGGTTAAGTGTCTTGCCCAAGGACACAACAACAGCAGTCATCAGTGGGAGTCGATGGAGAAGGTGCAGAGGTGGGAATTGAACCCACGACCTTCTGGCCTTAAGGCCAATGTTCTGTGCTGACGAATGACAGAAACCCATTTTATTTGTATCATGTTACATCTTCCCACAATGCAGTGCAAAACATCACCATCTGGAAGATATGGACCGCTCAACAAATAAATAGAATTTAAATTGTGTCTCATAGCAACCGTGGCAAGAGCTGATGGTAATCTGATGAATTTGGTGAAGACCGTTTTCACTTTTGGTGTTTGTAGCATGTTTACACACCGGCTGGGCAAGGCCAAATTTGATTGCTGGAATCTGATTTGCAGTTATGATTAAATCTGAATATTGATAGCTCTGCAAAAATATGATCTAATTTTTTGTAATATCGCCCATACATGTAACGAGAAGTGAACACCCATCAGGTTTTTTCCATCCACAGCATTCGTAGAGAGAGGGTCAATATTGACTTTCATCTGCACATTTATGACGAGACATGCAGAGGGTTCTAAAGACACAATTATTTCCACAGGCCAGTAATTGTTTGTGGATCCGAGATAAAAAAAAAAAAAGGTTCTTAATGGGGGCAACGCAAACACCAGGCTTCACTATCAGCTTTGATTGGTCCTTTATGGATGTGGCTCGAGTCTGAAGGTTAGAAAACAGAATGAGTGGAGCCAGGCGGATCAAATTAAAATCAAATCAATTCTACAATCACAACACTTGTGGCTTGCCCCTGGGTTTTTCCTACTGAATCTATATTTGTCCACGCCTTGTGAAACGTTAGTTTGGTAAATATTACTAGCAATATAATTATTATTTGATTTTAAAATTTAAAACACTATACAAAAAGTATTTAGGATAAGTGAAGAAGATGACAAAGTCTGGGATCGCGTCTTTCATTCAGACAGAAGACATGTTTTATTGTCAATGGTAGAGACAGCACGAACAAAGCACACGAGCACAGATACAACAGAATGCCAGTGTATTATACAGAGCGGAGGCATGGAGACCTCCAATCAGCAGCTGCCACGGTGCCATGTAGCTTGGCCTTCAGATAGACAAAACAAGGGAAAAGTACTGGCTTCTGCACATTGATAGAATGATGAGTTTAACCTTAACAAAAGTTGCTTCAAAGTGTTATGAAATCTCACATAAGTTTTAATAAACAAAAAACACACAGCACAAGCACTGGTCGAGGACAAGAAGCATTAACTTCAGACTCTTTAGTGTAATGGTATTCTCCATAATACTGTGTATACGCCCCTACACATGCAGCTATAGACATAGAAAGAAGGTGGTTTTAATTGATTTGAATGAGTCAAATTGCAATGTTTGTAAACTTTCTGATTTAAGCTGTTTAAAATTTATGAATTAAACAATCAATTAAAAGTAAACACAGGTTGGACTAAATGTAGTCTGGTCTTAACACACCATCTTACAAATTTCATTTCAAACTAAGGTCTGGATTTGCTCCATTGAGCTCCGTGAACAGGTGGGAGGGGTTAATTCATTTTGTAGATTGAAACAATTGGATCTGAGTTTACTGTGACGTATGTAATGCGCCCGAGTGAGTCGCTAGTATTTAGCATTTAGCCTAGCCATCTCCTTTGCCATTAACGGAACGCGTGGGAAGTAGAGCCACAATATCTTTGCCAAAATGGGGACTCACTAAAAACTTGATATTTCATCTTTTATTCAAATTTGCATTGAAGGTTACGGTTAGGGTTGGGGAGAAGGGTTGCCTTGAGGCGGCCGCGGAACTAATATTATTCATTATTTTTGGCAATTAATACATGATGATGAGACTATTTACTATGTCACTTTGTGTTTAATAATGTGATCTAAGATCTTAAGTAGCAACTATTTGGTCAAGTACGAAGTATGAGAATTTAAATAAGGCTTTCTGCCTGTAACTCCTTATTCTACCACCAGAGGGAGGAGTTGAATTTGTTGTCACATGTTTAAACAAAAGAAAAAGTTGATTTTGCATAACAGCAAAATAAACTTTTTCTATCTATGTTATATTGAACAACTCAAGTCACATTGACACAAGTGCAGTTGCCATGACCAGAAGATGGAAGAATAAGAGTGACACACTCAAAGCAGAGAAGATACAGCAGAGAAACAGCAGCAGCACGACCTAAGCTGCTAATGCGTTTTTTAATATGGCAGAAATCTTTGCATAACACAGAAATACTATCGGACTCTCTCTGGGGATAATTGTCACTCTTAGCCCTTAATTCAGGTGCACAGCAGCTGAGGCACACATTTATATAATAAATCCACCCAATTATGTTGGCATCTTAAAAAACCCAGCGTTTCACATGGCATCTCTCTAAGCAGCGCTGCATTGTAATTCCTGACACCACTGTCTGCATCACCATTTCAGCACACGTCAGCTACACATTATGGTGCCTGCTCCTGTCAACATCTCAACAACGCTGTTATGCTATTACCTAAATGCCTTACAACTGTCTGCACAAATAAAATGCAAGCAATTTGTTCCCCAGTAAATTGGACTAATATTTATTGCAAGTGGAATTCACAAGTGACTCAAAGAAAGGCAAAATAAAAACTGCGTTTTAAGCCCCTAAAACTACATCTCTGGTGGAGGATCTGCTACCTGCCTTTCTCAAATAGATGTTATTGCATTATTTAGCAACAGGGGATCACATGTATTAATACTCTGGTTCACTTCGGGCAAAAACAATATGTGTGAATGTAAAACCACCCATCTGAAGTCACTTAGGTCAGTTTATATTTCATGAAAGAGTGAACCTTACTTGGTCCAGTAAAAGTCAACGAAACCCAAAAGGTATGAACGCAGAGTCTGTCAAATCTTTCTAATCTCCATGGGGAATAGCATCAGAAAAGTTGTATAGTGCCCAAAAAAAAACCTCACATTTTAATTGTTTGGCCATTTCTTTTGCCAGTGCCAAATTATAGACAACTAATTGATTCATGTAGATAATGTCTTTAGTCCACTGAGATTTTCATTTTCACTTGATAACCATCTGATAAACATGATTGTCTTTCTGCTGTCTGTTCAGAATGAACTAATCGCAGACTCCATAACTACATGTATCATTTGCTATTTTTATTACATCTAAAAAATGTATGTTGCCATTTAGCGGCAGACGTTTCCAATCAACTTCTCTAGACAGGGACTAATTGAAATTGTCCTCGGTGAACGTACTTAGCATTTATGAGAGCTGTATCTAGCAATTTATATCCAGGATGCGGCCGCGGTAATGATTTATGGCCAATGTGCACACATATATCCTCTGTGTGTTTTCTGGATATATCTTTGTGTGAAATGTGTGAAGCAGAGGAGGCAGACGCACACATGCACACACAGACGCGCACTTGAGTTTATCACATCTCCACACTGACAAATGTGAGACAGGTGGGTAACCACTCAGAATGAAAATCACACAAACAGGACAAACAGGACACTGCCACTTGAGTTTCTAAGCATTTACATTTAACCATATTGTCAAACAATGGAAGGAGGAAGCAACGGTTAAATCTGTTACAAAGCTCATCATTCACTTTTGCATTAAATTATTCACAATTATAAAGCAGATTTTTCACACAAAAAAGTGAATCAGGTCGGACAACACTATACCAGCCAATCAGCTCTCAGCCCAAAGCGTCATAGTTTAACTCTCATGGCATCACAAGGATTTAGATAGACAAAAAAGAATACTTATCAGTAGAGCTGTGCCAAAACTCTAAAAACCTCAATCTCAAATTTGGTAGAAGGTAATAATTGACGTTTGAGTATTATGTATGAGTACGAGCCCATACTCACTCACTACAATACATGAGTGAGTGATTTTTTTTTTGTGGTAATGATTAATTGCCATACAAAGAGTCAGTGCCTCTCTGTATAATCATCAGCTCTGTGTTTGGACCCAGAAAAACATACCCACACATTCTACTAGTTTTGTTCTGGTGAGGGACGGGTAGATTAAATCAGATAATTAAATCAGAGAAAAAGAACAAGGCAAAACACTGACCACAAACCCTGGGGTGTTTTACCAAAAAGCACATAACACAGGTATCACTGCATTTCTTACCTCAACAATTGTGACTTTTGCAGCTTTGCACATGGGTTGATTGAAGTTTCTTGCAGTTTTTCTGTGAGAAAATGATCTTTTTAGAACCAGAATTCTGACTGCACAGAAAATAAAAGCCTTTTGAATCTCTTAGAGACAACTGCCATCTTGTGGTCATACAGTTTACCACAGCTTTAAAAACGTCACAAAACTAGGAGATTGAGGTTCAGAGCAGGAAAAGAGAAACATCATATAGTTTTATTAAAATAAATAATTTTAACACAATTTTATTATAATGTAATCTTATTGAAAATACATTATCCCTTTTTTATATATATATATACTGCTTCAGTACAATATAAACTTCTGTTATACAACATGATGCTGCTAACTGTATACTCCAATAGTGACTTATCCATGAACCAAGTGCAATTTTAGCTCCAGAGTTGTATTTTTTTTTATGAGCTTATAATTTTATTATTTCATTTTACTAATCTATTTTAAATAATAGGTCATCTTTATTTATCAACTTATTTACATCCTGCTTGATGTGTGCAACCCATGGACCTATAATAATAACTGGATAGGGTATTACTAGCTTACAGCTGTCCCACCTATGGGCCCAGGAGGCACCCGTGGTACTGCAAACTAACTTCACGTGGGCTACCCAGAAAGAAGTCCCATATAACCTCAGCTGACAGGGAACCTACAGCTTTCATAAAAGTCAGATTTTAGTGTCCCTTGTCTTCCTGAACTTTTTTTCTTCTTAAATCCTTTGGTTTTCTTTAAATCCACACTTTACAGCCACAAACTCTGCTCCTTTCCTTCCCGTTCTGACTCCGCTCTACTACTGCTCTGATCAGCAACGCTGATTGGTCAATGCGCGGCCGAGCCCCTCTGTGCACGTGCATGAGAGCCACACACACGCGTATTTGGCGCAACGCATCATGAGAGCTCGTCCACTGCAGTAGAACCGGGAGGACCAGACGAAATATAGGCGAGTTCTGCTAATCTCCCAGTGCCCGTGAAGTCCCATGCACTACTGAGCACAAGCCATTCATTCAATAGGGCGCCATCTTGGATCACCCGGACTTGGTGCAACCTGAGTGCTCTGATTTCCTCCTTTTATTCTGCTGTCATGTGCGCAACAATGACTTTGAAAAATGCAAGCATTGAAAAACAGCCTCCAGAGTGGAACAGAACGCTGCGCAGCGGGGGGCTGTTTCTGCTGTGCATTTTGAATACGAAGCCTATAGAGCCTGGTCGTTGTTGCAAATTGCCTCGCAGCGTCTCTGTCTAAACGGGGCTTGAGTCAAGGGGCGATAACTAATGTCAGAGAGTCAATGTGCTGGAAAGTATTGGACTCATTCTCACCTAAAAACTACATTTCCAGCTCTGTCTGCCTTCCAGGCTTTGACCAGGGCAAAGTCTCCGATGATGGCTTTCTCCATGATGTAGTGTCTACCGTTGAACTCTCGCACCTGTGTGAAAAAACAGAAACGTTCAGAGTCCACTGGGTCACACAAAGATTTAGGCAAATATTTGTATGGCTCATGTGCTCACAACTGGGTTTTCACAGTGACAACTAACTTTTACCCTACAGATTTCAGACTTTAGACATTCTTCTTCACATACACAGATTGACATTTAAAAATACAGGACAACACATTACATTACAATACAGTACAGTACGGGGCCTGTTGTAAAGGGTGATGATGACTGGTGAGATGAGGCTTCTTCCAAACTCTATTATACTCTATTATAACCACAACAGTAAACGTATTTAGCGTCCAATTAAAATTACACCTGACCCCAGTTCATTTGTACTTGTACTGAACCAGTGGGATCTGGGCCCTTGCCTGCATAAAAGAAAACTGAGAGTACAAGTGCATGTCTCAACAACGAAAATAAAACTCTGTTAACGCCGTTATTAACACGTTTACTTGACAGCACTTATATATAAGTATTATACATAATCCTTTAATGCCTTCTTGTTTCCATCTTTTTTTGTTCAGCACTTTTGAGATTGAGATAGAATTTGCCGCTATTTTCATGTTCCCAGATGTCTATTCTATCTAATATGTATGGGGATTCGCTTTAGACCATATTTTATCGAGCCAGCAGGTGGCAGCAGCGCTGGGTCTGGATGTTTTGAAAACAAGATGCACTTGGGCTCTTTCTCAGCTTTTTGTCTGAGACTGGTGATTTCAGTAAAACTTCCCTCTACTCAACTGGGGATTATAGGGGAACGAAATAAGCTAGAAACAAAATTCTTTTTGCTGATGAAAGTAGACAGTCCATTCGGATTTCAGATATTCATAGTACACAATATTCTGGGGGTCTTGAAAAATTAATTAAAATCATCAGAAACTGCTGGCACTATGGGAGTACCTGTTCTGAAATAGGCTGGCATGCATGCATGCATACATACATGTACAGTATATACATATAGAATAGACTCTTTTGAATTATGAAATATGTGTGATGTACGTGATAATAAGATCTACTTTGCAAACACAGGAAGATCATAAACATGTGGGGTTCACCTCTCGTGGCTCACTGGGGATTTCAATGGTTCCATCCTTGCTGTACTTGATGGGGGAGCCTCCCTCTTGGATCAGGGTCCCGTACCCTGTGGCTGTGAAGAAGGCTGGGACCCCGGCTCCTCCGGCTCGGATGCGCTCTGCCAGAGTACCCTGCAAGATAACAGTTCTCCTACTCAAAAATGAAAAACTGAATTCTGCATGAAGAAAACGTACAGATGAATCGTTTCAATCATACACTTTAAATTCTAATTGAAGCAAATTAGAATTTAAATTCAATTCTGAATTGAAGCTTAAATTATTTCTAATCTTGACTGCAAAAACTATAGGATGATACTGTGAGGCAGTAAATGCTTGAAACAATGTTATATCTTTATTTTATTTGCTAATGGGACAAGAAAACAATTATTATTTAAAAAGGACAGTAGCAAGTCTCTTCTTATTACAAGAAAGGGTTGTCTTTTTTTTTTTTTTTACTTGGCAAATGTAAGCAATCTTGCACTTTACTTTTTGTCATTTCTTGCAGTGTCCATTCATAAACAAATCTATTTTGTTTATGAAGTGGTGAACTGAAACCACTTATTCATAAGCATGGAAGGATGACACCAACCTGAGGTGTGAGCTCCACTTCCAGCTCTCCGGTCAAATACTGCCTCTCAAACTCTGCGTTCTCTCCCACGTACGAGGCAATCATACGCTTGATCTGTTTGGTTTGAAGAAGAAGGCCCAGGCCGAAGTTATCAACTCTGAGGAGACAGAACACACAAAACAAGCCAGGAGTCAAGCTGGTAATCCTCTAATTAAGACTACCACTAATACAGATGCTTCCTCTCCAGACCCTAGAGAGATTTGATTGGGTATTTGACATTTATCTCTCCTGTATCATGATGGATGGATGCATATGTTGGGAAAGAATTAACTATTGCCATGTGCTGCTCACTTTGACTGGTTCCTCACTTAATATGTTAAGAAATCAAATCGTTTGTTGAAGAGAATTGTCTGTACTAAACAGAAAGAGTCACCAAAATGCAGTCACATTTTTAACAAAGACAGCCATCCTTGACCTTGTGCTCACAGATTAAATCTTGCGATATTTGCAAGTTTCAACAACTCATTCTGAATCTGGGGGCTACACATTCATCTGGCGTGGTTCAGCAGGTGAGGACATCATTCCCTTCCCATCATTTATGTGGATGAACAAGCTATAACCTATTACTCAAATAATCAAAGGAAAGAATTGATAAGTTACTTGACTACTAAAATAATTGGCACACCATTTAATTTATTTTTGTTTTATTTATTTACTTTTTATGTGTTTGCAGCTTTAACAAAGAGCAAAAGAAAACTAGGCAAAAGTTAACCGACAAATGTTATCTTTCAACCAACACGTATCTTATCTGTACGACTTGGCACCCTGCCCAAAGGTGGCACTTCCCCAAGATCAGATTTACTGAATAAAACCGTAGACTGTATAGACTGTGTTACTAAGTTACTAAGTTAATTACAACCTTTACTGACAGACTGAAATTGAGGTATTTCAGCAGCAACACAATATCCATCCATCCATCCATCCAGGATTTTATGCAGGCAAGGGCCCAGATCCCACTGGTTCAGTACAAGTACAAATGAACTGGGGTCAGGTGTAATTTTAGTTGGACGCTGTAGATCAGAACCAAAACAGTCTCCGGTCCAGCTCGACTGGCATGTTCTTGGAGGAAGGAGAACACATGGAGATAACTAGGGTTGCACAACTCCATAAAATTTCAAAGATGTTGAGACTGTTTAGTCCACAGGCTCAAATGTGTGACTTCAATAAAGTGAAGTGAATTCTGATGATATTATGGGGAAATATAAGTCGAAAGTTGAAATTTGCATCCATTTGAATGGATGTTTTCATATGACTTCTGTTTATATGTAGTCTTGGATATCATATAACTTCATTACACTGCAAATAATTCCCAGTTAGTTTCCTAAATTCCCATTATCCCCATGATAAGTCAACAATATGGAATATTTCCAATATTCCCCAGCTTAACATCCCATGTAAATTTACTTGAAACTTTTCAGAAATGTTCCGTCTTAGAGGCAACTTATGCAAACCTATACAAACTTCTCTAACGCCTCTCTAACATGGGTCATGCTAGTCCTGTCGGACTGTAATTGTCTAACATTGTCTCTGAAAGTGTGTACACACATAAATCTATATATCAACAAAATCTTCCCGTCCTACACACTAGGTGATTGTACAGTCCATGAAGCGGCTGATTACAGGAGAAATAGAACGCAACCATTGCTGTCACGGCTCAGAGCACCCTCTGGTCTCGTATTACACGCCGCAGAGAGCCCACTATTGTTCTTCCAACCTGATGTCTGCGTTTACCTCATTTCATTGAAAGCTGCACAAACATAATACGGGCTGTGACCACAAAAAGTAACATTCAAGAGCACTCACAAAATAATCATAGGAACTAAATCCTTTCAACTCATGTGATTGTATCTATTGTTCTTAACGTGATTTTGATCTGTCAGTTTATGTCATACCTGTTTCGATAATTCACAAGGTTTGATTTCATAAGCATGACAAAACAATTGAAATGTTCGAGTTCAATATCAAGGGGCGGGACCCTTGATACTGAAGTTGAGGGGAAAAATAATCATGGCTGTTTTTCTATATTGATGGAATGAAAAGATGCGCGAGTACAAAGTCAAGATTGAGAAAAATTGAGATGACCATCTTTTGATTTTTTGGCAGCCCTAGTACATTATCATCATTATCATCATCATATTTTTTAAAATACTATACTATACTTTTTCCAAGGCTACAATCCGGTGTATCTGTCTCAGGATCACAGTCATATTTGTGTGGTGTAATGTACGCAATGATGACATTGAACTTGCCCCACTGTGGAACGAATATTAATCAATCAATCAATCAATTCCTACACAAGGCAACGCAAAAACATGAAAAATAAAATCACACAAGTAGTTAAAACCTTAAAACATGAAAATCACACATGGGATTAAAATCATAAATAGCCGTAGTGCATTAAAACGATTAAAGATAAAAACAAAGATAAAATCATTCAGTTGTATGCAAAGTTAAATTGCTGTTTTCATCCCAGATTTGAAAACTGCCAGAGTAGACGCCTGTCTCACATTCTCGGGAAGACTGTTCCAGACTCCAGCTGCATGAATCTGAAACGCAGCCTCCTCATGTCTAGTTATGACTCTTGGCACCAGAAGGAGGCCAATCACTAGGTTCCTCAGAGCCCCGAGTTCGTTCATATGGCACCAACATGTCACGGATGTACCCCGGTGCAAGGCCATGGAGAGACTTGTACACAAGCAGAGCTGTTTTATAGTCTATTCTCTGAGCCACAGGAAGCCAGTGCAGAGACCTGAGGACCGGACTAATATGGTCGTACGTCCTGGTTCTAGTCAGGACTGGAGCTGCTGAATTTTGAATGTACTGCAGCTGTTTTACAGTTTTTGAGGTCCGAAAACAATAATATCAGTTTTTTCTGTGTTTAGTAGGAGAAAGTTATTTTGCATCGACTCACTAATTTGTTGGATACAGTGAAGGAACGAGTCCACTGGTCCATGTTCTCCTGCAGTCAGGGACACAGAGACCTGAGTATTGTCAGCGTAATTGTGATAGGAGACCTTATTACTGTGAATTAACTGACCTAAAGGCAGCAATAAAGATTCCAGAACACGCAACAGAACATTCCACACAAAAGTCTGACTGGGCGATGAACTGAATCAATGACCTTCTTGCATTGACGCTAAGCTAACCTCTGTGACACCGTGCCGCACGTCCTTAATGTAGAAACAGGTTTTTGCCATTTTGTTCAAAACATCAGAACAAATAGGCATTTTAGTGAAACAAGCAGCAAGATTTCAGTTAGACTTTGCTTTACTTAGTCTTCCTTTTCAGCAGCATAGTATTCCTTTGACCAAACATTCTGTGCAATAGTTTGAAGAATACAAAGTCCAAGTACAAATGCGGTTTCAAAAGTGACAAAAAAGAGGTTGACAAATGACATTCATTAATATTTACTTTTTGTTACTTTATTTGTATGCATAGATATTTTTCTTTGACTTAAAATCACAGAAAATATTTTACTCCAACAACGTGATTTTGAAATTTTCTTCCCCACAGCCAAAACATTTCAACACTTAAACTTCAACCAGAAGGCATAATAATACTCATGTTAAATCTAACAAATAATTACATACGCATCAGTAACATTGCAAACCAAGACACACATATCGTTTACCGTTACATATTTACAGACTATCTTCAGATTATCATTAGGGTTTTGATTCTGTATTCTACAAATCAACCTCAACTTTTAACAGTAGCAGGTTCATGAATGTCATCTGTTGTTCACCTTGAAAAAAAAAAATGCAGCTTGAATTAGGGCTGCACAATGAATCACCATGACAAATATCCTATTGCAGGGAAAACAATTATTAAAATACTTTGCAAACAAAAAGGGACTAAACATATGAAGACAATCACGTGAATTTGGGATCTTGTATCAAAATTTCTCTTCAAGCTGATTTTTATTTAATTTTTCAAACTAAACTTTCTTCAAACAAAGTGAGACCTTTTAAAACCTACAGTAAATGTAAATATCACACTCTTAATTTTGTTCAGAAATAGTGCATTTTGATATTTTGCCAAGATTGTTATGCCCGGCTTGAATAACCACACAATGTTTCTAAGTTCATGGAGTGTGTTTACAAAGCATCAGAATACAGAGCAGGTCAAAAAAAAAAAAAAAAAAACTGCACTCAATTCTGTGGGATCATCTGTTGTTCTGCGTAGAAAACAAAACAAGTGTGTTGTGGGACTATGTATTTGATCCCAAAAAAAATGAGCGAATTCCTTGATTTGAAATATTCTTCCCCAAAGCCAACAACGCTTAAAGTTCAATCAGAAGGCAGATTTAATAGTTCCTCATTGTGGGTTGCTTCCACAGTTGTTTCAGCCAATAACATGCGTATTATTATAAAAGGGCTAAAATAATGACTTAGGCTGTTACGGGCCAGGCCCTTACTGTCCAGGAGAGGGAGCTGTCTGGGGTTTGCCTGCCTTCTCTGCTGTCTCCTCCTCTGTGCAGGTCCACACCTGCACCATGCCACGCCCATCATCAATGGGTTTTTTCACCTGGGAGCTGAGAGCTGCTCACTCTCCTCCTCGCCTCCTGTCCTGTTTTCCGGTGCTGCTGCTCGGCTGGGTCCTGTCTTGGTGGGCTCTTCTTGAGCCACCATGTTCATTCCTTTGTTGCACATTTGAGTTTGTCTTTTGGTTTATGCACCACATTCACTGCACACCACACACAGGCTTTCGTTGCACTCACACACCTGCACCACACACTGATTACAACATGCTCACATCCCATACCTTGGTTTTTGTTCATGTTATACTCTTTTTGTTATTATTAAATATACTTTTTACCCCCGTCTCGCCTCCCTATTTGTTACGGCCCTGAGCCGGGCGTAACAAGGCATCAGTAACACTGCATACCAAGTCACACATATTGTTTACATTTTTACATATATACAGATTATATTCAGTTTGAGTCTAATGTTTGTTATGTGAACTATAACCATTAGGGTTTTGATTCTGCATTCTACAAATCAACCTCAGCTTTAAAACAGTCGCAGGTTCATGAATGTCATCTGTTGTTCACTTTGAAGAAAAAAAAATACAGCTTGAATTAAAGCTGCACAATGAATCCCCTATTGTAGTGACAATTAGAAAATCGCAGGGATTACATTGAGAACATTTCTTTGCAAACAACACATTTTTCAAGTGATTTTCCTTATCAACACGAGAAAAATTCACAATACGAAGCACGTTCCAAAAACTGCACACATTTTTGTGAGATCTATCGCTTTACATTGTGGGACTATGAATTGATCCTGAACAAAAGGAGCAAATTCCTTAGTCCAGTCCAGATACGTACATTTTAAAAACAAATTTGTCTTTTCCCCTTGCGCTAAAACGTATCACACCTTGAGTCTATCACAGTCTCATTCCATCAGATTGACGTGTTCAAATGCAGCTCAACCACTTTAGAATCGGCTCACAATACAGGTTTACCTGTAAGTACTGTACTGTAACTGCCTGACTATAAGCCACTACTTTGTTCTACTTCTTTGAACCCTGCAGCTTGTGTCGATGCAGATTATATGTGTAGAACAGAGTTTACTGACTTGAAAAGTATGGATCTTTTATCACATTTTTGTTTGTTAGAACTACGCTTTCCATTACGACTGTCAATGATTTTCCACTTGAGGTTTTTGTTATCTGAAAGTTGAAGCTAACACAGCTAACATTTGTCTGATTTAAAGTCACATGCACGCTGCAAAACTCTGGTCATGTCTTTTTACCAACAATAAACTATCTCCTGCTATAAAAAGATCCCAGACCTCTGCATCTTTTGTCAATTTCTTTGTCTCATTTGTTGTCAAAATAGACTGGTGAGGGACATGGAAGCTAAACAAATAAGCTGTTAAAAAACCTTATTATGTTGTCAAGAGTTAAAAAAGTAGTCTATCTGCTACATTACAACATGAAAACCTGCAGCCTATATGTGGACAAAATCAATTTTCTATTCAAAAGTAAGTAGTGTGGCTTATATACAGGTGCACCAAATGATCCAGACAGTATGGTATAGGTGGAAAACTCAGTTCTCACTTGTGCTTTGTAAACGCACTCATTGTGTCTGTCAGATTGTGTTCTCAAAACAGACTTCAAAGCAAAACCCTGGCAACAAGTATCACATGTGAGAAAGCAAACAATCAAAGCAGCGGGAGGCAGTCAGGAGGTCAGACTCAAGAACTCAAGCAAGAAATGAAACCCACACCCCTTTCTCACTGCGTACGACACCGATTATATATTTACAGTCATGCTTCCTCCGGGCGATAAGCTGTTTATAGTTACAACACAGAGGGCAATAAAGCACTCACATTTATGTGCGTCTGCTACTGTTGTGCTCCTTAAAAGTGAACCCAGAGGTGAATCAAGGACAGCAGGAAACACATACTAATTATGAACAAATATACAAATATGAGAAGGTTTCAATGAAGGCCGCACATTCCAGTAGCCTGAACTAGCGTGCCAATTATGAAAACATTTAGAAAAATCTGCACAAAAAACAAAAGAGTATATATTTTAATATCATAGCAATGATGGTGGAGCTGATTCATTTGTGGTTCATCAAGTAATAGATTAAGAGATCCTTTGTTTGTCCCACAGTGGGGAATTTTCAGTGTTGCATCACCAGTTACAGAACAGTAGGAATGAGGAGCACACAATATAAATGAACGATAACACTAGACTAAAAGAAATGGGTTGTGATCAGGTGCTAAGACAACACTGAGGGGTGGACATTTTATTAAGAAATCAAAAATATGTCCAAATGTTTTCCCTGATTATTATTAGATAGTGGTTGGATTCACAAACCACCTGTATTATTCTTATTTCTGAAAGCCCGTTCTACTGGCGAATGTTTGTGGAATATTGTCACCATTTGGGAAAATAATTCTAGCATAGTTTATATGTATTGACAAAGATGATATTGAACTTTTTGAGTTTCTTGTTTTATGGAATCACAGAGAGAGAAATTAGGTCTAAACTAATACAAAAATAATATGACTTTTGACATTTACCATAGTTACCAACAAAGATTTGTCAGCTGCTCCCGCCACAATTTTAAACTATAGGCTCAAAAATGACAGCCAAAAGTCACAACCATTATTTTGATAAGTCATCTCTCTGTCTCTAAACGTTGCAATAACCTTCTCCACACTGATGCTGTTTTTTTTACAGTATTCATAATTTAATCTCATTAACTTTATATACCATAATCAAAAGAATATTTATTTTATTTTCCACAACAAACCAAACTAACCAAACTCCCGACAAATGCAAAACTGATGTCAAGAAACCAGTTTATAGCATATAAAATAGCATATAAATAGCATACTTATATCTCAATTCTCCAATGAATGTCCAGTGGGGGTTTTTTGTCCATAAGCCAAGAAAAGGAAAAAAATGCCAAAAGGAAACGTTTAACTCTTTTTATCGCACACTTACCCTGCGTTATTACTGACTGCAGTTAAACTTTTCACTCCAGTCTTTAACAGACTATTAATGAGGTTCTCTGGAATCCCACAGAGCCCGAACCCTGCGAAAGGAAAATGGGCCACAATGAAGAATAAAGCTTTTACATTCTGCATTCAATTCAATTCCATTTATGTTTGTATACAGCCCCAAATCACAACAGCAGCCCTCTCTGGGACTTTTTACAACAACAGATCAGAGAATCAAACCATTCGAACACAGAAAATGCAATAACAATGCAATTAACAAACACATAGTAGCCATTGGTCCATAAATGTCCATAAATGTCTATAAATGTGCTTAAAAGTACTTAAATGTCGTTAAATGTGCTTAAATGTCCTGGGATCATCATTGTCCTTATACACCTGCATTAGCTAAGGATTGACTCAAACAAAAACTCAGGAGGCCCATATTGTATGCCTTCTTAATAAACATGCAGTGACTAATATATAGTGTAGTTATTCTGCATTACATTAACTTCATGTTATCAGATTGTCTTTATGTTTGAGGGAGATGACCAAGCGGAATAAGTTCCACAATGTCACATGTGAGCTGACTATAAATAGTTCAACACATGGAAAGAAATGCGTCAGTCACTAAAACATTACACCTCTGTCTATTGTCTACACAACACACTAATGCTGGGTGATATGGAAAAACATGCAAAAAGAACAGTTTAGTTTTCGTATTTAAATAATGACTGCTGTTTTTGAAGCCTGGGCCTCATAGGAGAATGTGTCCTCTGCATGTGACCCTGACCCCTGATTCATGACAATGGGGAAAGAATGGCAATAGTTGGAAACCTATAGCACAAAGTAAACACAATTGAACTGGCTTTTTCTTTCATTATGTAGAAGCCCATCTTACCCATCAACAACAGATAAAGCTGGGGTATTTGACTTTTCTTTTTCATGAATAATGGATTTGGTTTGTCCTTTCAGAAAGAGGCTTTTAAAAGTAAAATGTGGAGCCCTTCTGAGATCACTACACACTTTCTTTATCTTTTAACAGAAAAGGTTATTTATTGCATACTTCTGAGCCCTCTGATTGGCTTTTGGGCTGGGAGCTGATTGGCTGAGTGAGGGCGGTCCTCTCTTTTCATTTGCTTTCTGAAAAAAACTTATCTTGTGCCAAAAATACATGTGAAAACTATTGAAAGACCCAAACTGTTTCAGAGACAGGACTTACATGGATTTGAATAAATACTTAAGATCTTAAAAGGTATATAAATAAAGACAAAGCATAACAAAGTATAAAACTAAATGTACACTTAGTAATAGTGTTAGAACAATATGTACAGTGATTCTTGTTTATGTATGAGTAGCAGGCACAGTGACTAGTGTGTTGTAAGAGGACACAATGATAAACCATTTGTTAGATAACTACAGCAGTCATTAAAACAGTAGTAGAAATCTATTTTTGCTTTGTCTTACCTCCCACTAGAATGGTCGCACCGTTGGGGATGTCTTTGACTGCCTCTGTGGGGTCTGAGTAGAACTTTGATTTTCGTTGGGAGGAAGTCGAAAAGTGGCAGCATGTTGCCTGCAAAATGAATGGAGAATATGACATTTATTGAACCAGCAGGTATAAATATACACAGACATAACAATAACAGGTGACATATCAAAATAAATACTAAAAACCAACAGCCAGTACAACAGCAAATTGTGTTGTAATAGATAATAAATAACACTGTTGTTCTGCTCTGGTGCTTTGATTTCAGCTAGAAAGGACTTAAAAATAACATAGCACACACTGATTTAGGGGGATCATATACAAACAAAACTTGGTATGTTATGTGTTTAGGGGAGAATGCATCTACAAAAATCAGAGTCTAAATTGAGATCAGCTCCATCTTACAAAGAGCCAACAAGTCCGTTGTTTTGTCAATAGGTTAGGTATAATGAGTCAGTAATGCAAGGGCTTTTGAAAGGATACTTTGCAAACACGCATTCGAATTGTTGTTTTTGGGGAATGGTGTGAACTCGCTCATCTAATAGGTGGTCTGTCAAATGTAAGCATAGAGCTAGCCTGTGCTATTGATCTGCACAATAATAAGACCTGGAGCTCCTTCCATGCTGTATGATGTGATATGTACTGCTGGTTCCTATCACACGTGACTGTGATACTCGCAGCTGTTATACCGACCTTGCTCAGTGGGTGCTTGTAGAGGTGTAATGAGATTCTGCGGGGACCACTGGTGTTATGGAAGAATAAACTCTCCGCTCTGCAAAGGGCTTTGAGGGCCGCCATGTTTTGGAGGATGAATCTGAGCGGAAATACCGTAAAGCTCCAGTCTCTGAGCTAAAAAAGAGAAGATGCACTGTGTCTGGCTGACTGTGCAGCTTGTTAGCTCTAGTTAGCTCCAGGTCTACTCTGCTGGCATTGGACAGAACTTTGTGGGCTGGTCCCGTGAAGACCAAAAAGAGGCTCGGCGAGCTCATTTAAATATAACCCCTTCACTACTGCACCACAATCTATGCACTTGTGTATGTTATCAACAGAATTAACTTGCTAGCACTAATGAGCTCGTTGCCAGGGCCTTATATATAAATTATTTAACATATTGATTTTTTAATTTAAATTCACAAATTATCTTTGATACCTGCTTCTTGTTTCTTGATTCACAACGACCCCGTGTGGTCATTCGAGGAACTCTAGGAAAGCCCACAACGACCCCGTGTGGTCATTCGAGGAACTCTAGGAAAGCCAAGAAAACTACAAAGACCATAATGCATTGCGGCTTGTCATGTTCATCATGACACATCTTCAACATTGGAAAAGCTTCCTCTAAGGAGGCGATATATTTGCTAACCTTGGACAGCTTTGGTCATTCCCTGGATTACGTATTGATTGGACGCGTACACAACGATTTTACAAGTTAATACTTGGGTTGTACCCTGTGACAACGCGAACCCGCCACAGTAGTTTGATGTGGAGCTGCTCATGCTAATGCGCTAACGCTAGCCTGTAAAGTGAGAGGTATGAATCCGTGATATTACAGTATTCAGGTGACCTGAAGAGCTGCTTTTGTCACACGGATCTGTAGACGCGTGCATCTCTGCATTTATGAGGCGCAAGTCCAGAACAATGGAGGTATTCATTCTCGCATGTTTTAGAATAGTTTGGGAGGGAATGTTTACTTGACAGCTAGCTTTAAGTGAACGTAATTTGTTGATTTCTTGCAAAGGGCTGTAAGTTAATTCTCGTTTTTGTTAAGTTAGAAAAGTGTCAGTTTTCATTTGATGAGTGAAACTTTTATCACGTGTTCCTCTGTAACTAGCAGCCAACACTAACGTTATGTCTAGTAATGTTGACAGTGGTATAATGTTAGCCAACCGAATCATGTTTACTATATTTTAGTAAGTTTTGGGCACTGAATGTGTGTGCAAATGTATTGGATTTTTAAAAAAATGTATTTAAAAATTACAAATGTGAAACACATCTTACTCCTTTACAATAACTTGAGCCTTTGTAATCATGACTTTCAAATACTGATACCGAGCCTTTGAATACTCAGTTGCTGCTGAGTATAATGTTATTCAGTTATTCAAGAAGAGGTTAATTAAAGTTATTCTTGGATTACATCACTTAAAATGTCGTGACATAACGTTTTCCTAATTAGTAAACAGTGCATTAATCTTACCATTGATTAATTCTCTCTCCTACAGACGTTTTTATTCACATGACAGATACTTAGTTAGGTGTTTGATCATTGTGTTGTGTGGTTTCAGTCTGCATTGTTGACACTTTCTTTTCTGCATTCATAGTGAGGCTTTAAAGCTGAAACCCTGACAGTTGGAGTTACAGATGATGACCAACATGACCTTCATAAGGTTTCAGCACAGAGTCTCTTGGAGCAGCAGTTCATAGAAAAAAAGAAAAAGACCTGCTATGAATCTTCATCAGGTCCTCACTGGTGCAGTCAACCCTGGAGACAACTGTTTCTCTGTGGGCAGCGTCAACAATGTCCCGTTCACGGTAGGACTTAACAGCTCTCAATCACACAATTAAAATAATGCAATTCACATAACATTTCTATAAACACTGATATTAAGCATTGATTGGGGCAACTGTTTTCTTCATTAAACATGAATTATCTTAGAGATTTTGTATATACTTTGTGACCTGCATTTGCCAATTCAGACCCTTTTTGTAATGATCCTCCATGAAGTTTTGAGAAACATTATATATATATATATATATTTTGTAAACCGTTTTGAAATGTATTGGTCAAAAGAACATTAGATAACAGATTAAACACATCTATCAAGGAGGGAAGGCCAGATCAATTTCCACTGACACTTTTGGCTTTTAATAAAATCACTTCTTCCCTATGCCCTTTAAAACAAGATTACCCCCACATTTGTAATCTGGATTTGGACACATGCTGTATTTGAAATTTGGGTAATATGAGCTCCTCTAGTAGACTTTACTTTTACACAAGAAGCAAAATGTCTGTTTAATTTGTGACATTGTTCAGTTAGCTTTAAGATATCAGGCTCAAAGTTCCTCTATACAGTCTACAGTGTATGTTTCTGTGCTGCTGAGCGGATCAATAGGACGACTCTTCTTGTCCTTGCGGTCTCTGAAGGATGCACAGTCACAGTTGGATCACAGCTCACGTGAAGCTCCTCTTATGAAAGCTGTGATGCAGTCGGGTGTCAAACAGCCTCATCACGCAGACGATTACTCTCCATGTTTCAGTTCTGATAGAACAAATTGGCTTTTTAAACGCTGAGTTTATTATGTCTGGTCTTTTAATGAATACTTCAATTGTCCTAGTTTTATTGGAAGCTTAGATCCACTTCTTAACTTTTTCATTTTGTATTTAGTAGGGCTGTAAAATAATGAAATAACTTGCGAATAATTATCACTATATATCCTCTAATCTATTCTCAACAAAGAACACATCTATAAAGAACATGGTATGTGTCACTAATTTCACCTGAGAAGGAAAGTGTAATATTTTTGTATTAAAACAAAGAAAAAATAGACCTTTTATATTTAATCTGTATCAAATGTGGTAAAGCTCTCATTCACAGACCATTTGCTCCCAAATCAATCTGCTCTATAATAATCTTATTCTAATTGTTGACGGAAATAACAACATAAGGAAGAAAGCATGTGACCTTCATGTAATTTTGTCAGTATAAACAATCATATTATGATGAATCTTTTATTTATAATTGATGTAGAATATTCACCAGTTAGACTTTTTTCAGTGATCTAATCGTAGCTGATACATTATGAGTATATCGTGTTTTTATTAGTAGAATGACTAACTCTGCTGCTTCTCTTTTAAAGGCCTATGCGTCGGGATGTGATGTGGTGATTCTGGGCAGTGACTTTGAGCGCTTACAGATTATCCCTGGAGCCAAACATGGGAACATCCAGGTGGGCTGTGTGGACTGCTCGCAGCAGGGAGGACAGGTAAGACCAGTCACTACACAAATGTTGGCTTATAGGTTCCATAAATATCTTCAGGACATCTATATACGTTAACAAACAGCGTATGTTAGCAGCATGATTCCAAAACTAATTAGAACTGAATGATTTAATGGCACAGCGCCTGAAATATGTTGAGGGAGTAGATCTAGTTTGTTGGATGGATATTTCATTGTTGCATTTATTGTGGTTTGAAAGTTGGGTACCCAAGCTTTCATATAAATAAAAGGATTCTTGTCTTTGTATCTATTAATACATTTTTGTAATGTTAGCACTACAGTAGCTTGCACCTATTGTGCTTAAATTTCTTCAAATGGATCCATCCTGTTGATTTATACACCTAAAGTTTTGTCAGTTTGTATTAGTGCAACATGAAGTTTACCATACACTGTAAAATAAGCAGAATAAAGCATGTTAATAACGAGCATAGCCTCAAAAATGGGTGCTATGTTTCTCACTCCTCAAATCATGTGACGTTTAATCCAATTGGTCAGGGCCAGAGCACTTCACCTCACTGGCCCCACATTTACTTATCCACAACCCTATTTCACAGCAGTAGGTATCATTGTGCTCTTACAAACTTTACACTGTACAATTTCATTATCCATATACTCTCTTTAGTAGTACATTCTTTTGGATGTGCTGAATGACGTTTACAAGTAAGCTGATGTTTGTTCTTCCACCAATGTGTAAATATGAAACGCCCAATTGTCTGCTGCCTTGGAAGTGCCTGCTCCTGTGTGCATGTGATGGCTTTGTTTCCGTTTATACTCGGGGCGACATAAGCACATGTTGGTGTGACTCATTCCAACATGTTATTCACTCTGCCATGACCTCGATACAAACACAGCTGTATTCTCTGCATTCTCATGTGCATTCCCTGTCCGAGGATTTCATGCCTCAAGTCACCCCAAGCTCGTCCTGTGAGCAGACCGCTCTTTAATTATCATGTAGCTTAGGGACCCGAGACAAGGATGTGTGAGCGTGTGAAAATGTGGTTCTGCTGTCTGTAGGGGCTGGAGTGATGCGGAGGCCTGTGGTCAGCATCCATGTTTTAAGACTGACCACACTGCAACCACGCACAGAGAAGAGGAGAGAGGAACACACAGACAAACTAACCAGCTACATGATCGTTCATTATGTTTTTGTACAGATCGCAGCTTCCTATGGAAGTATTGTCTGCGTCTTTGAGCCAGTATACCAGCCTGATCACAAAGACGCTTTGCCAACTGTAAGTAGGATCTTGCGAGCTTGAAATAATTTAACTTTAATGTTGAAATGTGTTCTTTTGTTAATCTTGCTGTCAGATAATATTACTGTGTTCCATTCTAATAGTCTAACTTGTTAAACTTACTAATGTTATTTGTTATTTGCTGTACAGAAGCTGAATTGTCAGTGGCAAAAGACGGGTCAGTTTGTTTTGGAATCCATTGTCCGCAATCTGGCCTGGCACCCCTCAGGTACATTCCATTCACACCTTCTTGGAAACTTTTATGATTGGCCATGAGTTCACAGATGATCAATCTTTGATTGTCCAGGTGCCAGTCTTCTAACGGGCTGTAGCTGTCTTCAGTTATGGTCCAATGACCTGGGAGAAAGTGAAGACCCCACTTCAAGTGGGTCTGTATGGAAGTGTATTTGGCAGAACAGGTAACACACAAGAGATGATGCCACTCTTCAGCTCTTCATTAGTCTTCATGCTGTGTGTTTTTGTTTTTGTAGAACTGCTACTCCGGTATATTTGATGAGGTTCTCCCCTGATGGAGAGTTTTTTGCCACGGTTGGGCAGGTGAGAAGCATTACATTCCGTTTACAACCTAGTGTCCAATTCTATTTTGGATTTTATCTCAGTTGTGTAAAACTTTTTTTGTATCTGCTTTAGTGGCCTTCCTATGTATCTTAATAGCAATCATGGAATAAATCTGTTTTTTCTTCTTCTGGTGTGTTTGCACATTCAGGACGATTGCCTAGTAAAGGTTTGGTACAGCACCAGTAAGTGGAAGTGTGGAGTGTCTCGCTTCTTTACGCCTCCAGACCCTGATCTCAATGTGCAGGGAGAGCTGGCCTTCTCCTTCATCTACCTGGCCCATCCACGTTCAGTGACGGGCTTCTCATGGAGGAAAACCAGTAAATATATGCCACGGTGGGTATAAAATGTTAAGTTTAAAGAAGACATAATATGGAATTTGAGCATTGTTCCATCATCAAAGATCCACCCACACTATTATCAGGAACTTCTGACTCAAACTTTTTATTGTGCCTGAGATTAAATGCAGTCTTCCTCAGAGTGGTCGTCACGAGATGTTCCTGTGACGTGACTTGTCAGCTGTTTTACAGTTTTTGGCACAGTTTTCTTACCACCAGAGGCAGGACAGCAAAACCGGGGACAACAAACACGCTGGATCAAAGTGTCAATAGTCTTTCCACCTGGGATTTTTTCCTAAAGAAGTCGAATCGCAGAGGGAGCTATTGTCCTACCTCTGGTGGTTGGAAGACTGAGCCAACACCTGTGTAAAACAGCTGACAAGTCACAAGAACATCACATGACCACTTTGGGGAAGATTGCTTGTCAGCCGTCGAAACTGTCAGGCAAGAAGAAGAAAAAACACAAAAATCTACATTCCTCCGTATGTTGAGTTATTAAGCATAAATAATTACATAAAAGCACCTGCACCCACGGCAGGATTGCATGTAATCCACTCTGCTAAATGTAATGTAGATGCAAATTTAATGGCACACTGCGAAACATTCCAGGTAAAGCCATAAAGCAAACATGGAGGTGGAAACGTTTATTAATACACCTCATAAGGGTGTAGGAGGTTTTAAAAGATATTACAGATGAGACAGTTGACACTGCTCCAGGTTTTCAGAGGAAAAACAAGTACAGTTCAATTATGTTGTTCATTAATTTGTGCTAAACTAACCTGATTTGAACTGAGCTTTCACCCGGTAGCAGGTGAATTAAGAATAATGCACCCTGGGTTGATTTCTCTGGATTACTATACCAGATATACTGGTAACTTTGTCCAGAACAATATGTTTGGGTAATCATAGGTTGACAGCTTGCCAATTGTTTTTTTTATTATTTTATAACTGCTATTGTACAGTGGTACAAAGGTTATTGTTCTTGTGATTCTGGCTCTCGTCAACTCAGAAATGCAAATGTATGCTATTTGAAAAACTTGATTTTCTAGTAGTGGTTGATCAAAATATAACAAATTATTGAGATGCTCTTGGTATTAATCATTGTGTGGACTGGGCTGCAGCAAAAATATAAAAAATGAACAATTCCCATTGTTTATTTTCAGACTGTGAGGGTATAACAGATTTAACAGTCTGTTATACCCTCAGACTGTTAAATCTCCTGTTGTTGAAACGAGACTGCATTCTAATTCTAACATTCTTTATTCACTGGGGGGAGCCTTTCTGGAGTGTATTTTTGCATGTTTTTTTGTACTTTATGTGTTTTTCTGTGTTATGTTTAATAAGATTGCCAACTTGCTTCTTTGACAGTGGTTCTGTGTGCACTGTCCTGCTCACCTGCTGTAAGGACAGTGTCTGTCGACTTTGGGCCGAGACGCTGTTACCAGGCGACACGCTTCTGTCCAGTCCATATAACGACCACAAAGGCTCCCAACACAGAGACACGCAGAGTTATGCCGGCCCTCCTCGTAAAAACAATGGGAAATCAGCCCAGGATGTGAGTGTGCTACATTTGTTTTTTTTATACAACCTTTTGAATGTTTCTGCTAACACCAATGCTTTGTGTTGTCAATAAATGCCACTAGTAATGCCACAAGTACCATGAAGGTTGATATACACACACACATTTCCCCTTGCCTATTGCCTCGGGTCGCTGTAGAATGTGTAAATAGAATAATGTTGGAATTATTCATAAGACATTCCAGATGCTGTTCCATTTAGTTTTCCTCAAATTTGCTTGATGGGATTTAGCATAGTGAGTCATGGTTCTGTTCTGCATGTAATCAAATATGAGATATGGGTAGTTTTCTGTAAAGAGTCGACTGTGGCTAAATCGCTCACATGAATCATGAAGGTCACTGGTTCAATTCCTGGGTGAGGGGGGTCCCCACACAGTGACTCTGATCTTTCCCATGATGCGTGACCCAATCCACAATGGCCGTGACATTTTTGTACTTCTTCCATTCATTAGCAATTGAAACAAAGAATGCTTAACACAGAGAAACCTTAGATTTCTGTTTAATTTAATTTCCTACGTTCTGGTTTCATCTCTTGAGTGTAGATCTCAAAGCTTAGGATCATCATTATCATAGTATCATTATTTTACAATCTAGTGGTTAGTGAGAAAATACACAATTCAGTCAACTGCAGCTCCATCAAGTAAATCTAAAGTTCATGTCAACTATGATTTCCCTTATAGCCCATACGTTTATTGTAAAAGTTGTTGTACTTTTTTAAGTTTGTAAATTAAAATCATCATTTTCAATTACTAATGTGTTATTTTGAAATATATTTTTTCTTATAAAATAAAATAAAATAACTTTATTATGGTGAAAAGCAACACTTATTTGATAAACAGAACAGTACATTTATATTGCCTCTTGTTCTTGTTTTTTGTAGCAGGTAAATCTTCAGGAGACTTTGCATTCAATTATTTACCGGGACGTGATCCACCCGTCCTTGACCGGCTGCCTGCCTCAGAACCAGAACCAGCACAGCGGCCACCGGAAAGCCGACCACATGCCGCCCCACGCCAACGCTCTCTGCCACTTTCACATCGCCGCCAGCATCAACCCCGCCACAGGTAGAACATCTAACACCAACACAAAATAATATCCCCATTGCTTGGCTATTTCCATAAGCATTGATTCATTGTTCATTCTGTGAGGATACTGGGCATTTTTGGGACACAGCAGTGCTCTTTGATTGTGCTTTCATTGTGTTTTTATAAAGTTAAAAAAGTGGCCACAGTCAAAGCTGTTCCTCAGAGAGAAAGCACAGCGACACTTTTGGGTCAAGCTGAATGTATCAATCTAATTACTAAAAAATTTCACTAAAACCCACCTAAAAGCCATAGGATAGCATAGGCAGGAAGTGAACGGGCTGATCTGCGTTAACAGGAAATGACGTCACGCCTCCCTGTGCATATAGCCCATTGTAGAGGGTAAAAGTAAATTTTAATTGTTTGCTTCCGGTTATTCTGTTAAAGCAGCTTTGAATACAATGCAATGCTGTTTTCAGTTGGTTTTCTTTATATTTTGGGAAATAGCATAATTTTACATGAAACGGGGAAAACTTTTTCTCCTTTTAAGCTTGGAAGCTGAGGAGTCGTGTAGAATGCCATTTACATCCTCAGCTTAATTCTGAGGATAAAACAGTATGGCAATTATAAAAATATTACTGGACTTTTTTTTTTGTTTTTTTTTTTCTGTTGTAGTCAAACTGGGAAGTTTGGTTAAACAAGAACAATATTTCTTTATCTCTTTTGATCAATACTGTGTGTAGAATATGGTTGAAAATGTATATGCCTGTCTTGCTTGTATGTCTTTTTAAAACTGGAGGACAGTATTTAAGACAATGTTTAACTTTGCCTGGTTAAAATGACCAACAAACGGAGAATAAGCATCATGCATCTCCTGTGCTACTAAGGCAGTAAATTTATACAAACAAATAATTAGCATCTTGCTTTTAACTGGCCTCTTATTCAGTCTTTCCCTCTTGCCCGCACGTTCTTTCAACCTGAAATTCAGTCTCTTGCATTTTGTTTGTTTGCAGTCGTAAAACATTAGACACTTCTGTTTTGTAGACATTCCGTTGCTTCCATCAATTTCTTCCTTATCTTCTGACGACGAGGAACCAGGGGGTCTCTTCACCGTCCACTGGTTAAACAACAAAGAGCTTCAATTCACGTTAGCGATGGAAGTGTTCTGTCAACAGCTTCGGGGCAGTTTGGAACAACAGCAAGAGTTGTCCAATGAAGGTACAAGCAAAGTAATTTGATGTATTTTTTTTTTTTTTAATGTAATGTGGAGGTCCATTTAGAAGGGTGTGTCTGTCTCCACTGTCAGAATAGGCCTCATTTGATATATTGGTCTACCGCTACTACAGAGCTATAGATATTGGCAAGGCAAGTTTATTTGTATAGCACAATTTCTACACAAGGAAATGAGGGTTACGTATGTAACCACGGTTCTATGAATCCCGGATGACCGCCAGAGGGCGGTGCATAGCACTGAATGTTCCCTTCGCGCATGCGCAGTTCGAGTAATAATACCAAATGAGTCACACCTGTGACCCCCTGGGTGACACACCGGAGGTAATAAAGTCCAGCGTCATCCAGCACTCTGTTCCTGCAGAATCTTCTCGCGGATGCAAGGACCCTGAAGTGACAGAGCGCCTCTGGCGGTCATCCGGGATTCATAGAACCGTGGTTACATACGTAACCCTCGTTCTATTTCATCCCTTCAGACCGCCAGAGGGCGGTGCATAGCACTGAATGACCTTATACCAGCTATGTCACGAAGGAACTTGACCACACACCTCACGGAGGAGAGCCAGAGGATTCCTGAAGGACCACGCCAAGAGGAGCCGGAGTGGCCACATTGATGTTATAGAATCTGGTGAACGTGCTTGGTGTAGCCCAAGACGCAGCAGCACAAATAGTTCCCAACGGCACCCCGCGCATAGCGGCCCAGGAGGTAGAGACACCCCTGGTAGAATGGGCCCTCACCGTGGCTGGCGGGTCGCGGCCGGCCGAAATATACGCCTGACTGATAACGTCAACCACCCAGTGGGAAAGGCGTTGCTTCGAAAGCGGACTTCCCAGTCTAGCACCACCATAAGCAACAAAGAGCTGGTCTGAGCGCCTCACACCTGCCGTCGCAGCAACGTAGGCCTCCAATGCCCTCACAGGACACAGCAGGTGCAGTCTGTCCTCACCCCCATCCAGGGGGGACACAAACCGCGCCAACCTCAAAGGCCGGTTACAATAGTCACGGGAAAGCACCTTAGGGAGGAAAGTGGGATTAGGCCACAAGACCACGCCAGCCCTCTCAGGATCCCAGTGTAGGCATGAGGGACTGACAGAAAGTGCATGCAACTCACCGACCCTTTTTGCAGAGACCACAGCCAACAGGAAAGCAGTCTTATAGGAGAGCCACTTGAGGTCCGTTCGGGCCAATGGCTCATACGGAGGGCGGCAGAGAGACTCCAACACCAAGGCCAGGTCCCAAACCGGAGACCGCGCGGGCACGCGAGGGTGCAGCCTACGAGCTCCGCGTAAAAAGAGAGACACCAGGTTATGGCCCCCCACAGTACAGTTATCAACCAGGCCATGATAACATGAAATAGCAGCAACATATACCTTCAGAGTAGATGGGGCCCGACCTTCATCCAGGAGAGACTGAAGGAATTCCAGGACAACCGCCACCGGGCACGACACGGGATCCCGACCGCGGGAAGAACACCAGCGGGAGAACAACTTCCACCTGTTCTCATACAGCCGCCGAGTAGAGGCCGCCCTGGCATTCAGGAGTGTACGCCTGACAGGGCCAGTGACATCGAGTGCCCGCAGCTCGGGCCAGCCAACGGCCATACCCACAACTTGAGGCGGTGAGGACAGGGATGCCACACCTGACCGTCCAGCTGTGAGAGCAGATCCCGCCTGGGAGGGAGAGGCCAGGGCGGAGCCCAACAAAGTCTGAGTAGCAGTGGAAACCAGGGCCGTGCAGGCCAAAACGGAGCCACCAGTAATAAACTGTGCCCCGCCCGAAGGACCCTCTGGAGGGTTGGCCAGATCAGAGGAAAAGGGGGGAAGGCGTACAGGAGGGCCTGAGGCCAACTGTGCGCCAGGGCATCCTGGCCGAGAGAGCCCGGAGCCCCGTCCAGGGAAAAAAACTGAGGGCAATGAGTGGAGGCCACCGAAGCGAACAGGTCCACCTGTGCCCGACCAAAGAGGCCCCACACCCTCTGGACCACACCGGGGTGGAGACACCATTCCCCCGGGGCAGGCCTCCCGCGAGACAGGGAGTCCGCCACGCGATTGCAGTCCCCTGGCAGATACGCTGCACGCAGTGTAGCCAGGCGAGGCGCAGCCCAAACCAGCAGAGCCTGAGACACCTCGAGGAGCCGAGCCGATCGGACACCCCCTTGATGGTTGATGTGATACACGACCGAGGTGTTGTCCGAACGAATGAGGACATGTTTCCCCAGCAGGTGAGGCAAAAACTCCTGGAGAGCAAGGTGGACGGCCCGAAGCTCCAGTACATTTATGTGGTCTGAGCGCTCCGCCCGAGACCAAACCCCTCGGGCCAACCTGCGCTGCCACACAGCACCCCATCCCGTACGGCTGGCGTCGGTGGTGACCACTTCCCTGCGGCACACTACCACCCCCAAGGGGACCCCACGTGACAGGAGACCGCGGTCCCTCCATGGAGCCAAAGCACGAAAACATGCCCACGTCACCTGTAACCGTCTGTGGCGGTGACGAACGGCATCCAACGAAACCCGTTCAGCCACCTCTGCAACGGGCGAAGCGAAAGCAGTCCGAGAGGAACCACACGAGAGATCGAGGCCAGCTTCCCCACCAGCTGTAGAAAGCTGACGTAACTGTGCAGGGTGCCAAGACCGAAACGGGACACCACACCGTGGATGGCGACCAGGCGGCGCCCCGACGGACGCGCCGTCATAGTCACCGTGTTCAGACTCAGGCCAAGAAAAACAGCGGCCTGCGAAGGTACCAGGCTGCTCTTTTCGAAATTGACCCTGAACCCCAAGCGGGCGACATGAGTCAGAAGGCGCTCCGTATCTTCCAAGGACCGTGCCCTGGACGGGGCGCAGATCAACCAATCGTCCAGATAAGGCAACACCTTCATGCCACTGGCCTGTAGCGGAGCAAGAGCCGCCTTCACGCATCGGGTGAAAACCCTCGGAGAGACAGAGAGGCCAAAGCGAAGAACCCTGAACTGCCAGTGAACGCCCCGATAGGCGAACCGGAGGAACCGCCGGTGGGGCTGCGCAATGGGCACGTGAAAATACGCGTCCCTCAAATCTACGGACGTGAACCATTCCCCGGCCCCAACAGTCTGAAGGACTTCCGCAGTCGTCAGCATGCGAAATGGAATGACCTTCAGGAAATGATTCAAGCCCCTCAGATCCAGAATTGGTCGAAAACCCCCCGTCTTCTTGGGCACGAGAAAATAACGGGAGTAATAACCCCTGGGTTGCAGCAGCGGATCTACCGCCTCGATGGCACCCTTGGTCAGGAGGGCGGAGAGCTCCTGATCCAAGATAAAGGCTTTTGCCGGGTCCGAGAACAAAGTAACCTTGACCCGGCCCAACAAGTGCGGCCGGCGTCGGAATTGCAGACGGTATCCGTGGGTCAATGTGGCAACCACCCACGGATCCCGAGCTCGAGCAGCCCAACACTCGAGCTGCTGATGGGAAAAATGTCCGACGCTCGGCCCTGAGGCGTCAATTCCGTGCCCCCCGCCCCCTAGGGGCTCTGGGGGGACCCCGCCCAGGACCAGCCGCGGCGCCACTTGGCTGGCGGGTCGGGCGCCTATGTACGGGTGGGGCACGAAAATTCCCGGCAGGCCTGACCTGGGGAAAACGCTGAGCACCAGTCCAATCCCGAGGAGGCTGCCGAACACCGGGGCCACCATCGGGCGCAAAAACTGCCGGGGAGGGCGCACCACCCTGCTAAGGCTAGAAAGTTGCTGTCTAGTCTGACCAGCATGGACAGTCCGGTCCAATGCTTCCTGGGCCGCCGTCCCAAACATCTGACCCGGCTCGACAGGCACGTCACGGAGGGTCCTACGACAGGCCTCAGTCAGGGGAGACTGAGCCAGCCATACCTGCCGACGAGCCTGTACAAGGACCGACATGACCCGTCCGAGTTCCCTGGTCATCAAGGCAAAAGCGTGCAGAGCTGCGTCGCTAAACGCAGTAACATCAGTGCCCACAGCACTACCCTCTTGGAGGGAGGCAGACAGGGCAAGCAGCAGATGCGCTAAGGAGTTACCAATACGGCCAGCTCGAGCACCAGAATTGTAGGCCTTTGTTAGCAAGTGATCCGTCGCACGACACTGGCTCCGAGGGCACCTCACATTCTCCCGCAAGGACTCCTCCGGGGAAACAATGAGGGAGGCAACCGCCGGCTCAACAGCCGGCATGCAATCCAGGCCAGCCGAAGAGGCATCGTGCATCGCGGCCAAAGCCCGACCCTCAGCCGAAAGCTTAGAGAGACGGCTGGGGTCCCTCCAGCACGCGTGTAGCTCCTTCAGATACTCCGCGGACGGGGGCACAACAAAAGCAGGAGACGAACCACCACGCCTGAAAAAAGCACTGCCAGGGTCAGCCTGTCCCGACTGGGGAAGTTCCACCTGCAGACGGGATAAGGCCCTGCGAAGAACCTCCTGCATTGAGCCGTCACCAGACCGGCTGGACACACTATGTGCGGAAGAATAAGCATCGTCCCCCGAAAGGGACCGCGCGTCATCCTCGTCCCGGAAGCACGAAGCAGATGCCGCCAGAGAAAGCGCATCCTCCTCCGGATGGAGGGATGGCATGGAGCAAGAACCAGCCCCAGAGACTGCATCAGCAGCACAACGTGCCTGGAATGCAGATTTCATCGCCTCCAACTCTGCAGATAACTGCTCCACCCTCGACACCAGGACAGCATCCGGCTTGGCCTGCTTGGAAGGACCATGGCCATCAGACCGCTCCCCTGAAGCACAGGCCTCAGCACGGCGCTTAGAACGCCGAGGGGGCGGAGCCACAGCAGGTCCCACTGGCAAACTACCACTGTCGCCAGACGAAGGCAGCTGAACCAGCCTCGCCACCCTAACAGCCCAGGGCAAGCAGCTGCAGTTCATGCACGGGTTATCGGACACTGCCTCCCTCAAGTGAGTGGGGCCGAGGCACGCCGGACACAGGTCATGGCCGTCATCAACATCGAGTGCTGACCCGCAGCCCACACACGCATGTGACCCGTCCATAACAACAAGGTTGTATTTCTTTTATTATTTTTTTTTTTTTTTATTATTATTATTAAATTATTATTCTTGTTTCGACTGTGTCGTTAATTAAATATGTAATTAATCCCCAACGGTATACAAACTGCAAAACTGAATCAACGTACTGCAGTTTCACAACAGAAAAGCCAAATATAGCACGGTGGAGGAGCGGACGCGCGAACAGCAAATAAACACAGAATAAACACAGGCAGAAAATGCTAACCCAAACAAGAACTGATGGAGGAGCGGGACAACGAACCGCAGACTTCACACCACAGAGGACACCGGTAATAAAAACTAACCCAAAGAAGAACTGATGGAGGAGCGGGCGCGCGAACAGCAGCCTTCACACCACAGAGGACACGGGTAGCAAAAACTAACCCAACTTAGAACGGATGGAGGAGCGGAACCGCAGCCTCACACCACACAGGTAGCAAAAGGCTAACCCAAAGAAGAACTGATGGAGGAGCGGGCTAACGAACCGCAGCCTCACACCACACAATACACAGGTAGCAAAAGGCTAACCCAAATAAGAACCGATGGAGGAGCGGGCTAACGAACCGCAGCCTCACACCACTCAATACACAGTTAGCAAAGCTAACTCAAACATGCACAGGCGGAGGAGCAGGCCAACGAACCGCAGCCCTCACACCACGAAATGCACGTACCAAAAGAAAGTACTGACGGAGGAGCGGGCGCCACAGCAGCCTTCACACCAACCAATACACACGCATATAGTACAGAAAACACCGATAAATACCCGAAGGACAACGTCACCGTCGCGCCCCACGGAGGGCGAACCGCAGCTCCGATGAAGAGGGCTCTCAGCGACAGACGTTGACGAAGTACAAGCAACAACGATTCGAACCGCACGCGAGAAGAAAAAAGGAACAGAGTGCTGGATGACGCTGGACTTTATTACCTCCGGTGTGTCACCCAGGGGGTCACAGGTGTGACTCATTTGGTATTATTACTCGAACTGCGCATGCGCGAAGGGAACATTCAGTGCTATGCACCGCCCTCTGGCGGTCTGAAGGGATGAAATAGAACTCAAAGTGCTGAACAAAATTTAAATAATCACAGTACCTTTAAAAAAGTGAAGATATAATCCCTCAGTTGTATGCACAGATAAACAATTAACATGGATTTGAACATTGTCAGAGGAAGCATGTCTCACATTATCAGGAAGACTGCTCCAGATTTTAGCTGCGTTTATCTGAAATGCAGCCTCCATATAATGTTCACATGATTGCTGTTGCCTGTCATTGATCCCAAATGACCAATACCAGTGTAATAACAGCTATATTTGAGAGTTATGAAAAAAAATAGTACAGCAATTGTATGATGAGGAGGAATTACATTTTTCAAGGAAATCAAGTGGTTAAAAAACACATTTAAACTTGAGGTAATATGCATATATTAAATTCATCATCTGTAGAATATGTTGGGATGCAAGTGTACTTTTGTCCACCATGTACTTTTAATAAATGTTTATGAATTTGCATTAGATCCTGAAGATGAGGACAATTTTGAAGAAAGTGGAGGGAAGTCTTCGGAGTCGTCTGAGGTGATGGAGCTGCCTCTTGCGTCGGTGGAACATCAGGTGGACGTGCTGTTGGAGGAGTGGAACAAAGCAGCAGACATGTTGTTCAGTATCCATCCCACGGACGGCTCTCTGTTGGTTTGGCTGGTGGACTGGTTAGACGAATACCAGCCAGGCATGTTTAGGCAAGCTCAGGTACCAACTGTGCAGGCTGCTCATTTAGCTTAGACTTGGACAAAGCATCATTGTGATTCTTTTCTTTTGTGTTTCAGGTTTCTTTTGTTTCTCGTATTCCAGTAGCATTCCCTGCAGGTGACGCCATCTCCTTGAGCCATAGTGTGGTCATGTATGCGTGCAATAAAAATGTGGACTTGGCCCTCCAGCATGTCAGGCAGCGCCCTCCCGGCAGCTCTCTGCCTCGAGCTAAATCTGCACTCATTAGTTACGCTGGAAAATATAAAGTGGCCCCTAGCAACAGCCTCCACTTCAGCATTTTCACCCCTAACGTGTTGATGATCTCCAAACATGACGACGGCTCCCTGAATCAGTGGGCAGTGAGCTTTGCAGAGGACTCATCCTTCTCCACCGTCCTCAGTGTGTCTCATAAGTCCCGATACTGTGGCCACCGCTTCCACCTCAATGACCTGGCCTGTCACCCAGTGCTGCCGCTCCTGCTCACCACCTCGCACCACAACGCCTTGAGAACTCCAGATGTGGACAGCATCCTGGTCCCTCCTCAGCGCGGCCTGAGACCAAACCGCATTTCCCTGGGAGGCGTTTCTCAGGATCCTAATGCCATCTACAGTGAGCTCATCTTGTGGAGAGTTGACCCTGTGGGGCCCCTGTCTCTGTCAGGAGGCGTCTCTGAGCTGGCCCGCATTAATTCATTACATTCTTCAGCATTCTCTAATGTAGCATGGCTGCCCACACTAATTCCCAGCACATGTTTAGGTGAGATACAGTAACTGAATTAACAACATTGTTGTTAGTGACTTTATTTAACTGTAATCATCTTCTTTCTTTTCCGTCTCTCAGGGTTGTACTGCAACTCTCCTAGTGCCTGTTTTGTGGCAAGTGATGGCCAATCACTTCGACTATATCAGGCTGTGATTGAAGCCAAGAAATTATTGAGTGAAATCTCCAACCCTGATATATCAGTCAGTGTTTCATAACTATAGAATCTTTTGTAAAGGATGGAATAACAACATTGTCCCTATCATTTTCTTTAGAAATATGTTGGTGAGGTCTTCAACATCATTAGTCAGCAGTCTACAGCAAAACCAGGGTGCATTATTGAACTGGATGCTATCACTGACTTTGTAAGTATTTGGAAGATATAAAAAAAACTGTATTGGTCTCACAATGGTGACATTTTAATTTCACATTTGAATTCATTAAGATCACTATGGGTGTGCTAAGAGACAGGAAATGTGAAAACGTGCCTAAGATTTCCTTTTAATGAAGACCACTGTAATTTTCATTTATTTTTATACAATTCCTCTAACCAGATTGGTATTTACATTGCACATAAGTATAGTTATATAATATAGCATCCTTGCATCATGTGAAAGGTCAAGCATGAATGGCAGCGCTCATACAGCAATGATGTGCATGTCAGCGGTATAGACAATGCTTGTTTTTCAAATGCTCATACAGTATTATGTACACTTCGTAACACATGATCTCCTCTGCTGCGTTACAGCAGGGCAAAGAGACTCAACTCCTGCATGTTTTTGAGGAAGACCTCATTTTGGGTTACGGACGGACTCAGACAAATCAAGTGCCAGAAACCTCTCAGACTGGTGAGTTTCTATAAATGCACTACATGTCTCATATTTTAAGTGACTGTTTTTATACTTGACGTTTCCCTGTAGACTCTAGTCCTCCAACCTTCTCTGCCCGGTTCTTTCTGGTTGTGGTAGAATTAACAGGGATGGGACGGTCTTTTTTGCACATGTGGCATCTCAGTCTTAATGCTCTGACTGTCACTATGGGTGAGTACATGTTCCAGTTTGTGCTCCAATACCACAGATTTTTTTTTAACATTCAATTCATGTGTGATGTGTGATTGCAGAGGAAAGTGCAGCAGAGAAGAATCTTTCTACAGCTTCCTCCTCCAGCAACTCGCAGTTACACTTCAATGATTATTCAGTGAGTCCTCCAGTGACTGTGAAGAGTAAACTGTGCACATCTAACCTGCAGAGCGCTTGTCGGCTGAGCCTCAGCTCTCAAAGGGTCTACAGCCAAGAGCTGGCCCTGCCTGATGGAGTGGAGGCTGTCGGTGTGAGGCCGTCAGCAGGTATGTTATGAAAGTGTCATATAAGTCTTAACATGGCTCTTCTATAATTTTTCCTCAAAAAATAAATTACATATTATTACATATGTGTTTTTGTTTTTGTCAGGCCATCTCAGTGCTTCGTGTTCACTGCCTGCAAGTCGTGTTCCTTACCTCCTTGCAACTTCCTGCTCTGATGGAAAAGTGCGCTTCTGGAGGTGCAGTGTTGTGACCCATGAGAGCTCCGGCTCAGGGGAGCAGCAATATCAGTGGGAGGAGTGGCCTCTCAAAGTCGAAGAAGACATTCCTAATAACAGCGCAGTCACTTTACCAGGTTTTCCCATCGAGGTCAGCTGCTGTCACACAGGACGGATAGCTGTGGCCTACAAACAAAAGCCAAACTCTCCACTGAACTCGACACCTCACAATTTAAATGTGCTGTTAACTCCACCCTCGCTAATGTCCTCCCCTCATCCTCACTACAATAGTAATTACTTGGTGCCAAACCTTTCTATCAAACACAGTCTGAACGCTCCTCTCAGCCCCAACACACCCAGCAGAATGCCCAGTATTCATATCGGTATCTTCCAGTGTGAGTCTACTGGTGGAGCTCAGTGGATCCTAGAACAGACTATAGTGCTCACCAATGTGGAGCCAGTAACTGCCAATGGCATTAGTAATATTGATAAAATAAGTATTCCAAATGGCAACATGGACCTGTCTATACCTGGTGGAAATTGTAATGGCTGGACCGGAAAACGCCTTGTACACCTGGACTGGGTTTCTCAGGAGAATGGTTCACATGTTCTTACCGTTGGTATAGGAACAAAGATCTTTATGTATGGATCATTATCCGGTAAACCTCCTGAGCTGGGGCTCTCATCCTACGGCAGCAAGGACCACAGCTTGTCTCAACTGGTACTGCTTCGAACTGTGAACCTGGTGTCCTCTGTTGAGGGTACTCTGCCTGTCCCTGTGTCGCTGTCCTGGGTACGAGATGGGATCCTGGTTTTAGGCATGGAGTGTGAAATGCATGTGTACTCCCAGTGGCAGCCCCCGAAACCAGCACAGCCCTGTGCTTTCACAGTCCCAGACACAGACATCAGCAGCAGTGTGTCCTCCATCACCTCTGCTGTCCGGCTGTGTCCAGAGGAACCATCCGCATCGTTCACACCATCTCAGGCCCTTCCCAAAAGGGCCTCTACAAGGTCAATGATGAGCTTAGCCCAGAAACTCAGTGGAAAGAAAACAGCGTATGATCTGCCTGTAGAAATGGAGGACTCTGGACTTTTCGAAGCTGCGCACAACCTCTTCCCCATTCTGCCCCAGTACCACCCTTTTCAATTACTGGAACTCATGGATTTAGGGAAAGTGAGTGATCAAAAGCAATGGGTTGTTTTATTTCCACATGTCTTCAGTCATGAAAGCATATTTGTTTCTGTTTTAGGTTTACCGTGCCAAAGCTATTCTGTCACACCTGGTTAAATGCATTGCAGGAGAGGTTGTGTCTCTGAAAGACAGAGACACTAATCCAGAGAAGCGTGTGCGCTCTCGAACCATCAGCGCCGGAGGCAGCACAGCCAGAGACTTGAAGATCTTCAGCCAAAGTGAGAAGTCTTCTCCAGACTACACCGAGATCAGCTCTGTTCCTCCTCTGCCTCTGTACGCTCTGCTGGCAGCTGATGAGGACACGGCTCAGAAACCTGGTTTGTAGAAACATCACTGCTTCCATTCATACTTTAAAGTTGGAGTAAAAGAATAGCTATGTAATAAAATCCATGTAACTAGTTCCTTGCTCTCAAAATAGTTTGATTCTGTGATTAGTTTTCACATGAAGACTGCATTTATTATTGTTTATCATATTTTGTCTATGTATGTATGTATATATAGAGAGATTTTTTTTTTTTCATTTGTTTTCATCAAAAACGGTGATGAATGTATTTCCCCTGTGGCCTCCTGTAGATAAAGTGGGCAGTGTGAGTGGAGACAGTGGTCATGGCTCCAGCGGCCACACAGACGCATACGACGAGTTGTTTCACACTCCCAGCCTCGGGGACCTGGACCCACTGGAAGGAGACCAGGAAGAAACCGGGAACAAGGTGTGTTTTTATATAGCCTCCATTTCATCAATAGGAAACTAACAAATTACTTTTGTGAGTTATGTGGGTCAAAGAAGTTCTTTGTTCATCAATGATTTGTTATCAAAATTATAATTCGGTTTTTCTTTGATTGCTCCAATGAATTCAAACAAAACAACAAAAAACACTTTAAAGGAAAGTGAATGAATCAGCATGCTTTTGTCACTGCAAAGTTGATTGATATAAAAACTCAATATCATGCAGCCTGGGGGTATAAAAGTCTTACATTTTGTATTGGACAGTCACTATTCATACACAAGATAATACGCTTGTATGGTAGTTCAAGTTCACTTTTAACATCTATAAATTTTTGTCAAACAATTCTTAAATGTCTTAAATTCTGCTCTAGGTGATAGACCTGTCCCAGTACAGTCCCACATACTTTGGGCCAGAACATGCTCAGATCCTCTCCGGTCACCTCCTTCACTCCAGTTTACCAGGACTCACTCGAATGGAGCAGATGTCACTCATGGCTTTGGCCGACACGATCGCCACCACCAGCACTGACCTCAAGGACTGCCAGGAAAAGAACAAGGGTATCCAAGCAAAAAATAACAAATCCTGATTTTTGTTTTTAAGACGAGACAAAAACACGTATTATTTGTTTCCAGGAGGAGAGACACTGGACGAGTGTGGACTTAAGTTCTTATTGGCCGTTAGACTTCATACATTTCTCTCAACCTCTCTCCCGCCCGCATACAGACTCCAGCTGCGGCGGCAAGGTGAATATCTATGCTTCTACATTTTAGTCTGATTTTAATAGAACACGTTAACATTAATTTTTACATATTTTTCTTTCATTTATCTCTGTTAATGATTTTAATCGACCTCTGTCTCTTTTAGTTCAACTTTTACGTTTTTCAGGGTTCCACTTGCCTGTTTCATCAACAATTTCTGAACAAAAACTCTGAGTCCCAAATCAGTTTCAAATTGAAATCCATAACTTTGAAACCACAACAAAATTCATATGTAATACACCCTTTGTAGCCATTTTCTATCTCTAAAATCTGTTCTATCTCTAGTTTTCACATGCATACAAAACAAGATGAAACAAACATTCAGGAAAATCATAAATAATCACAGTACATTAAATAGAGCGATGCTAAAATCCCAAGTCTTAGCACAGCTACACAGAATTATTTTGAACCTGGATTTGAACATTGTCAGGGAAGTAGCCTGGCTCACATTTTCAGGAAGACTGTTCCATATTTTAGATGCATGAATCTGAAATGCAGCCTCCCCAGATTTTGTTCTGACTCTGGGCATCCTTGAACATTACTCTTTCTAGAACAGGGTTTATTTATGAATAAGTTCAGGCATTAATACATAGTCTCCACTCAGGCCTGTCCACCTGCCACTACGCATGGGCCTTCCACTCGGACGCTGAGGAGGAGCTGCTGAACATGCTCCCTGCTCTACAGAAAGACGAACCCAGCTGGTCTGAGCTCAGGTCCATGGGGGTGGGCTGGTGGCTGCGCAGTACCAACAAGCTTCGCAGGTGTATCGAAAAGGTCCAGAACCCCTTTCTACCTATATATTTTCTATAAGTCCTCGAGATAACTACTCTTGTGATTTAGGGCTACACAAGAATTAATTTAATGTAATTGAATAGTGGCTGTGTGAAACTGTTTACTTGACAATTGCTTCACACAGCCATGTTTTTTATTTTCAAATCATAATGACTTAAATTGTTCTTCTGACCCCGATTAAAAGTACCCATTCTCCAGTTCTTAACAGCAGGTATCCCCACTTCAACATCTACAACATTCTTCTCTCAAAAATAAAATCATGTTCCTCTAAATTCCTGAGCCGCTATCAATAAATAGCTTCACATAACGAGTGAAAAACCTTTTTCATGTTGGCTACCTAAAGCACCAATTTATTTCAAACACCTTTTGCGCATTGTCAAAATAATAAACAGTATTGTTCACATTTACTCAGATTGTTTTATAATAGTTACAAATGATGACATGAATCCAATTCTTTTATCATATTTCAGATTGCCAAGTCTAGTTTTCAGAAAAACAATGATCCACTGGATGCAGCTATTTTTTATCTTGCGATGAAAAAGAAGGCAGTGGTCTGGGGCTTATACAGGTACCGTACACTTCAATATTTGCTTCAATGTTTATTATTACCGTTGGGCTTCTCTGCAAACTGAATTCCAATTGTGTTCAGGTCTCAGAAGAACCACAAAATGACCGAATTTTTCAGCCACAATTTCACAGAAGAGCGATGGAGAAAAGCTGCTCTAAAGAATGCCTTTTCATTATTGGGGAAGCAGCGGTTTCAACATTCTGCAGCCTTCTTCCTCCTCGCTGGATCCCTCAAAGACGCTGTGGAGGCAAGTATAGAGAAAATATTCCCTTTTTTGACACTTTCCCCTCCGTCAGCATTTTAACACAATACACTTCTTACAACACCCGGATACATGTTTGCTTTGAGATTAATGAAAATGATGTAATGAAATAACTTCCACAGCCTTTTGGAGACAGAAGATTCACCTATTCCCCTGTATGCCCATATCTGAGCACCCAAGTGAGATCAAGACACACAATTAAGATGACTATGAATGAAAAAATATGAAATGTCTTGTTACTGCACTGTTTTTTTACTTTAATGTAATTTAAATTAATTGTTAAAGCCAAAACGATGGTTTTGGTCAATCAATATAACAAACATCTCAATTAAACAATATTCAGTTGGATTTAACCTTTTAGGAAAAACCTTTTTTAGTGGTCTGCCTCATTTCTATTATAAACTTGCAGCATTGACAATAATGGGTCATTCTATGGGTATCATGGCATGTTAGAGCCAGTTTTAAAGCTTTAAAAAACAAAACAAATGTAACCCAACAAGTAAGACATGGTTAAAACTACCCGAAAATGATATCCAAACTCATGTTATTTGTTGCGTACACCTCCAGTAATGTAAAATAAATGAAGGTTAAACAAAATGCAGATTCAAAAGATGAGCTTCAAACAAACCTTCCACTAAGAAAACCACTTCTCTACTTTTATTTTTTTATTTGGCCCAGACCAATATGAGTTTGACGCACCCTGTGTAGGCTCAAACGTATCAGAAGTACTACATTTTTCCTATATTTTTATTTAATTTGTTTCTATTATTGATTTTAAGTAGTCCTTTTTCTCTCACACAGTTTCAGGGCTCCACCTTGTTTGTCCATTGTCTGTTTCACATGTCATTACGGAAAGAACTGTGACGCTTAGAAGTTTTGCAAGTTTTATTGCACTTCACTTTCATATATATTTTCAAGTCGGCTGCTGCTTGTAATAAATGACACTAAAATCTAAATCAAATCACTGTAGAAAAAAAACTGCAGATGTATTTCAATCTTGTCAAAAAGATTACATGCTGTATTGTACTTTCAAGGACATTATGAGATTGTCTTGTTTATTTGACCTTTAATTCATCTAATCTGTCCATATAGCCTTTGGTGTGGTGACTTCTATTTTATACATGTGAGTAAGTGGACCTTCCTCCAGGCTTTTTATGGAAATAAGCATCGCCAAATGACTTTGTTTGCTCCCTGTGGCTTAGATATAGCTTCATTCAAATGCATCGCACATTGCAGTGTCTGGAAAGAACAACTTGTTTTATGTGATTTATTTGATGTTTTTACAATAATTTCTTACCGACCAAAATAATTGTTGATTGTTGACATTATTGATTGTCCTTCAGGTCTGTGTAGAAAAACTGCAAGACCTACAACTGGCTTTGGTGATCTCCAGACTGTATGAATCAGAGTTTGAGACCGGCTCCACATACAAGAAGATCCTTCACAGACACGTTCTTGGACAGGACAAACAGGTGCATTGACATTTGTAGTAATTTAAAATGTTTTAATACAACTTGATACAGAATAAATGTGTATATTTTTCTTTAAAGTAAAATATATGTTGGGTTACTTATGTACCGTGACCCTACAAACTGTGACAATGCCTCAAAAGCTATTATCTTTTCATTGAGATTAGAAGAAATGAATTGTCTTAGTTTGTTTTCCTATTGAATTGAATTGAATTGAATTAGGAAATAGGAGAACAAATTGGCATGATTGACTCTGCATATTACGCTACATTTCAGATTGGGGGACATCACGACCCATTCTTGAGGAGCATGGCCTACTGGGTGCTGGAAAACTACAGCAGAGCTTTGGACACGCTGATCGAACAGCCTTGTAGCATCATTACAGGTGCATACATTGTTTGTCAAGATATCAAGTCACTCAGACCCAAAGCCATCTGCGTGATCGGCTGAGGGGCTAAATGAGACTAGACTAGACTTAACCCCTCTGCGTCAGCCATCCACTTTCTTCCACTTTATCTGTTGCCGGATTGCATAGGTAGCAGTCTGAGCAGCTGAGAGGCGTTCCCAGGTCAGCTTAAAGACATGTTTCCTCGGCGACATGCTTTACATTTTGGTAGTTTAAGCAAATTGTCGTTGCACTGTCTTGTTTAAAAGTGAACAGTTTTAATAGCTAAAGTTCCATTATAATTCTAAATTTTGTAATTTTATTGTATGTTATTAGATTTTTTTTTCATTTAACCGGGGACTGCAGATGAAAATTAGCTGTGTAGCTTTAAGCCTAACGTACATCGGACTGGCAACTGATTATATCCGTCGCATATGAGTTGCTGCCCCGCACACATCGACAATCTGACAAAAACGGGCAACTCCCAGTCGCAGACCAGTCTCGGGAATAACAGCGCGTACATCGACAGCAACTGGCCTCAACTACAGTGTGTTTTCTGACATAAACTGTTGCGGGCTCGCAATACACGCAATACACACACGTTGTCGGAGCGGCGCATGGAGCCCGCACATCGGGTCATATCTCCGCAACTGAGGACAACTAGTTGCCGAAAAGTAGAACACGGGCAACTGACTGAAACTGGAGACCGACTGATCATCTCCAGTTGTAAGAGCGCGCACATCAACCGATTTCTGCAACTGATCATCTCCCACCATCTCCTCTCAGTTGCCAAAAGCCGCCTTGCAACTTGTTGCCTCCAGTTTCTCTGTCGATGTACGCTAGGCTTAATGTTGCTGTGCACGTGCACTGTCACTTTCAAATGAAGACTACACTAAACTAAACTAAATCAGGGGTGTCAAACTGGTTCCAGAAAGAGCCGGTGTGGCTGCAGGATTTCAGTCCAACCAAGCAGGAGCCTGCCAGACTCCACCCATTTTCTGAAGTGAGTCCAGTTTTAACCTGAAGGAATTTGAGACTGGTTTCACCCCTGATTTCGATTTGTTTTAATTTCATTAAACATTTATACAAAAAACATATTTCAAATCAACCAGCTATAAGGGAAAGAGTCGGTGAAAGGGCAAGGAATCAATTTAAAAATATTAACAATCTGTACAGAAATAAAAATCACAAAGAAAGTTCTTTGATATTGTTGGCGTTGTTGTTCCCATGAAAATGTTTGAAACCTATATTTATTTTCCTTTTCTTTTGTTATATCAGAAACTCCCCAGACCATCTCTGCATGCAACCCCGACGTCTTCAACTTCTACACCTACCTCCGCACCCACCCTCTGCTTCTTCGCCGGCATTTTGGCTCCTCTGACAAAGCCAAAGTGGGTCTGACAGCAGAGGGTCGTCGGGCAGATTCCATTAGTCTTGATGAGAGGAGATTGTTTTTCACTGCCGCATATGCTCATCTTCAAACCGGCTGCCCCATGCTGGCGCTGGAAGTCCTCTCAAAGATGCCCAAAGTTCGAAAACGATCCGATCGACGGGAGCAGAGTTTGGGCAGTAAGGATGTGTCGGAGGACTGGTCTCAAGCCGCTGTCAATGGATATGAATCCGACAGTTGCAACAGTCATTCTGATTCAGTGTTGAGCTTTGATTGGAGTCAGCCTTCACTCGCACTGCCTGATGAGCCTCTGGACCTCAAATGGGACAGCGAGAAGGAAGAGGATGACGACAGTGAAGAAGATGAAGAGAAGAATGGACAAAATGATAACAGTGTGCTACTGGCAGAGGTGGGTGAAGAGGTGTTCCAAAGTCATTTAGTGATTTCAAGTTTTAAGAATAATTTCACAATAAACTACTTATATTTGACTTTTATCTATAATTGGAGCAGCCCCACTAAACCGAAAGTATCGGTTTAGTGGGGCTGAATGATTTCACTTCACTTGTGACTTTGTGTTTAGTTGGGCTTTCACACATATGCCAGTAAAATATCTTCATCTTTTGTTGTTGAGAGTCTCGAGAGAACATGTCGAAAGGTTCATGGCACTGTAAGAGTAAAAGTTTGAACCCTATGATATTCGGTTTACTATAAGCAAGTCAAAAGTTTTATTACATCAATCTAAATGCCCAGTCTGGTTATCTGCTGTACTGGTATCATTAAACCAATACCCTACCCAACAACATTTCCACTGTGCTATGCATATTGTGACTGTATTGTAGCGGTGCATCCCCAATTAAGGTTGCGTTTGACACCTTTCTTTGTCTGGAATGTTCCATACATTATTACAAATGTACCAACCTCTGGCTGCAGGACCACAACACAGGGTCTTCTCTGATGGAGTCGGTGCCTGGGGAGGAGGCTGAGGACTGCAGTGACTTCTTCATTCTTCCATCTGATGACATACTGGCAGCTCAACTGAAGTTCACTGCCTGCTTAAAGATCATGACCAATGAGCTCAGGACTCTTTCAACTGGCTATGAGCTGGACGGGGGGAAGCTGCGGTATCAGCTGTACCAGTGGTTAGAGAAAGAGGTACAACACATTCACACATTATAATCTGTGTTTCTCTAAGATAAGAACACTGTATCAATTATAATTATGTTTTTCCTTTGATATGATTCTTTCCATAGGTTGTTGCTCTCCAGCAGTGTTGCAGCTACAGACCCCACCTCCCTGAGCAGTACGTTCAGTTGGAGGGCCTCGTCTCCATGGCCGGGGAGGAAGAACAGGTGCATATCTTCCTTTTTATATTCAAAAAAACCAAAGTAATCATACAAGTTCTGATATACCAGCTCTTTTTAGATTGAAAATATGCATGTTTTTATATGATTATTATATAATTCTTAATATAACAATTTGAATGGCATTTTTCCACTTTATTATCAATGTTTATTCACAAACGTAAGTAATGGCTGTTTCTCCTTTCAGCTTGGAAACCCTGGTTGTGACTCTCAGATGAGCAGGAGACACTGGCTTCTTAGTAACCAGACTTTACTGCGAATGTTTTTGAGCTACTGCAGTCTGCACGGCTCCCATGGAGGAGGACTGGCCTCTGTGCGAATGGAGCTCATTCTACTACTTCAAGAGTCTCACCAGGTAATGAAGCCTTTCTATCAATAGACAAATGTGTGGAGGTGTGAATGCGTGTGCGGAGCCATAAGCTAAAATTGTCCGCTTCACTTCCACTTGCCTCGTGCAGCTTAGGTCTTAAGTGAGCTAGGGAAATGTTCCTGTATATATTGGAAGTATTTACTTTTTGATTTACATCTGTTTATTTCTAATTCTGTTTTTTTTAATTGCAGAATGAGACGGTCCACCCAGTGACCATACAGTCTTCCCAGTCTCAGCTTGCCTCCATTCCTCTTCTTGTAGCCTGCACGTCCAGTGTTAAAACGGTGGTAGCGAACCCTTTTGTCTATCTCACCAACCTCAGTCATGACATTTTACAAACTATCAACGCTCTGGACTCTCCACCTCACCCTGACGTCGTCAACAACAGGGTGAGCACACAATTGGTTGGTTTGACCAAATTTTTCTTCAAAGGGTAAATTACAATTCGTTTTTTTATATTTTCAGATTTATGTGCTGCACACTTTGGCTGCCTCTTTATCAGCGTGCATCTACCAGTGTTTATGTGATGGACAAACATACAGGTATGCTCTTGTGCCAGTGTCTACATTTGTTACAACATTGTTCCCTCAGTTCCCAACACAAGTTTTGTTGGTCTGGACACTTGGTAGATGCCCTTGTTGATCTTTCTGTTATGACTGATCACAACAGAGCTTATATCTCAGGACAACTGTGCAACAAATGAAACCTCATCTGACCGCTTCATCTACTGCTTGGTTTCCCTGCACTGTGTCACATTGTGGCAGTGAGCATCTATCTGCGTTTTGTATCACCGTCTACGCACTTCAGTACAACCTAAGACGGAATAGCGTTTCCTTCTCTGCCTTCAAAAGGAGCAGTAAAGTAATCTACAGCAGGGACAGTCAGTGTGTGAGTGTAAATCTTATAGATTTCTTATAATGCAGGAGTTCCTGGGGCAAGACAATAGTTTAGAGTGGCGTAATGTGATTTGACAGGGCTGGGCATCCTATTTCATTATTGGAGAAACACTGGCTTTGTGTTGATTCTTTGTCTATGATATTAAAAGTAGTGCTTTTTCAACAAATATAATTCAGAATCAGAATTATTTTTTGAGTAAAAGGAAGTCTCAAAATAGGTAATTGCTTTGGCTCATTGCAAACAAGCAATAAATATAGGAAGGATAGAATAAAACAGTGTTCCCAAACCTTTTTTAGCCGTGGCACACCTTTTTCAAGCTGAAACTGAAACAAACATATAACTGCATCCTTTATTAACGAAAAAAAAGAAATATGTTTTTGCACTAATTTTTTATTTTCTATTTGTTTTTAATTTCACATTATGTTGACCAAGTAGGTGATATTGGATAATTTCCCAAGGCACACCAATTACATCTCAAGGAATAAGGCATGCATAAAAAGAAATAAAAATCTACATATTTCATTTATTTATTGAGTTGGGACAATGCACATTCATCAACATTGATACTTTAAGCGTCAGTGTGTAAATTTGCTGGACTTAGCATAACTGCTTAAATATCTTCAAATAAATTCTGAGCATTTCTGCTGTGAAAATTAAAATGTCAAAGTAAAGGTAATGAAGATCATATTTAAACTTAGAAATGGTTTCTTTTTGCCATCAATAACGTCTACCTGCGTCTATATTCGGAGTAGCACATGTCCCATGCACCTTTTTTGTCTCATGCAGAGTATTCTCAGTGTTTTGGTCTTGATAAACAGCCAAAAACATAAGACGTTATTTGGTTTCGAATCCCATTGGTTTTCTTAAATTGCATAACTTGGGGTAACATGCAAAGTGAGAACTTTTCACTTTCAGAACTTGCATAACTTAATTAGTGAGGCAGTTTCTACATTAGCACCATCTTTGTGATGTTAATTAGAATATAAACTCTCCTGGAGTGCTGAGGTTTGATGAAATTGAGCTCCTGCTTTTTTTCCTTTTATAGGATTTTCTGCTTTTACAGCAGGGACTTGCCAAGCTGGAGCGCAGTTGTATTACTCTCCTTGTTGTGCTTTGATATTTGACGAAGACACCGATGCATTAAACAGCTTTGAGAATTGGGCCCATGCTGAGTTTTGAATTAAGTTTACTGTGTGTGTAACATCCTAATTAATAGGTTCCAATACTTGATGGTTGGGTTATGTTGCATGTTCACATTATCCCTAACCTGCCCTCGGAGCGCAGCTGGAGATGAGCAGTTTTAGAATAACTGTTTGTCTTAGATACAGACATACAGTTTTAACTAGTATTTTCCTCCCCTTTTATAGTTTATTTTATTTTATTTTTTTGTAGCAATGTCGACCCCTTCACTGGAATTGTGTATGAGAGCGTGTTGTTCCAGAAGCAGACCCTTCGCACAATCAGCATGGATGAGTCCGTTCAACCAAACACCTCTCCTGCTCAGTGGCCAGGTAATAACATTTTTCATTTAAAAGGTTGTGTAACTTGTAAGGGGTCAAGAATTACTACATTTTGTTACCAGTCTTTTGGTCTGAGAACAACTTTACTGCCACTCCCATTGAGATATTGTTATGTGGGTGAAGTTCCTTGCCAAAGGAAACAACAGTTTAACACGAGTTTGTTGTGTGCATGAGTGATTGATGGTCAGTATAGGGCTTGTCAAGCAATGGTCTAAATTTGAAAACTTTTTTTTTTTTTTAAACAGAAATTGGAATGTGAAAATTACTTGTGGTGAAACATGCTAGTACTGCTGGCCATATGCCAGCAGTAGTAAGACTAGATTAAGATCCTTTATTTTTCCCACAGTGGGACAAATAATTTCGTAAATTTCCCCACATAAATAAAATCTAAAAAGTAGACATTTTGAGAGTGTATTGCAGTGTAATCCCTCATTTGGAAAATTGCTGTGTCATGTAAAACTTCTGGACAATCTTCTGTGTTCAGTTGTTGGCTTATCCAACATCCAGCTTTGCTGCAGTGAGTCTCCAAAAATGCACCCCACTGCTCTGCTGCAGTCTACTACCAGTCTGTAAAATAAAAGTCCTTTTGGAGATCCGTTTTAGCTCCTCTCACATCAGTTTGCATGTGTTTCTATGAGGGGAACCTACTCTAAACAAGTCCAATACAATCTCCATTTTTGAGTAAGATGTCGGTGGAGTTCACAGCCCACTCACTCAGAAGATCAGATTGATCATATTTCTTACAGCCGACATACCCTAATGTTTGTATTACTTTGTAATTGTGGATATGTTTTTATTTCTACTGTACTGTGGGGCGTGATCCGACCAGACATTCCAAAATCCTCAGTTATGCCCCTTTTTTCAGAAAAGGGGATACAATACTTTGTATTGTTTATGCATTTAATTGTAATCCTATCGCATTACCTTTTGACCTGGTTTCCTAATTAATCTTGGAGTCTTTCTGAAAGCTCAAAGTAAACTTTTTCTCTGCATCTGTTAATCTAGTCCCTCATTTCTGTCCTCCCCTGTGATCTTCTCCCCTCAGGAATCACCGCTTTAATCCGTTTGTTGACCTCAGCGGGAGAGGAGAGCCAGCCGGGCCTCGCTGTGCTGCTCTGCGAGATCCTCACAGCTGTGTATCTCAGCCTGTTTGTTCACGGCATGGCCACTCACTCCAGCAACGAGCTCTACCACATCATGGCCCACCCGCTTAACAACCAGCTCTGGGTCACCGTGTTTGGTGGAGGAGTGCGGACCCCGGTGTCGGACAAAGCTAGCAGTCCCGTCAGAACCCCCCCACCAGGTTGGACACAATAAAACATCTGCATGAATTAAATCCAGCTTGTGATTCTGTGTAACCAAGAGAAATACAATTCTAGTCTAACAAACTATACACTATTCAATCTACTATAAACTATTCCATTCAGTGGTGCACAACTGGTTTAGCGGCTCTGGTTTCTCTGACTTTGCCGGTGCATGCCTCAAGGTGTTCGCTTTCCCTTTTAGAGGCGACTTGTGTGCAAAATTGGGTTTGCAACATTAATTGTCTTCTGTTCTGTGGGTCATTGGGGAATCCATTATCGTCACACTTCCTCTCACATGTTTGGCCCCAAGGGATCGTGCAGCGCGTACAAACTCAATGCACTCTTCCATTACTTTTGTTTCACCTTTTTCTGTTTTTTTTTTTTAAATGAAATGAAATGAAAAAAAAAACATATTAGGTCATAAACGTGTAGTGAAAATATTATAATTCATCATTCTGTGTGCGTGAAGAAAATGTCTCACTTTGCTCTGATACATCCCCTGAAACTGGCCAATTTAAAATATTCATAGATTTCAATGATTCATTTTTGTTTTGGTGTGGCAATTTAACTTTTGCGTATGATTTTGCGTTTAGCTTCTCCAGGTGTCGACGGCTCAGAGCGGAAGTCCAGGCGTTTCAGGCTCTTGACGTCACGCAGCGGTTCAAAGGAGTCGTCACTGGAGAGAGACGCGCCTCCCAGTCCCTTGTTTGTGCCGGTGGTGGAGAGGGAAGCACCGTCCATCTTTAAGGAGAAGTTTGTCCCTCCAGAGCTCAGCATTTGGGATTATTTCATTGCCAAGGTGTTTAACAATTCTCTGCTTTTTAGATATTTATAAGCAGGGGGGCACATAAGTGGTACGCATGCGCGACAAATATCAGAAATGCGTACTATCACTTCAGTTAGTAAGCGCCTTTGCGTACTTCACGGCGTGTTGATCGGACCAGGACACTATTTCCTGGTGGGTTAAATGGGAATTATGCCCATGTGATGTGCGTAATTAAATGTACATGTTTTGAGAGTATAATGATGTATGTAATGTAATTTCTACCAAAATAATTTGCTCAATTGCTGGTTACAGAGGAGGTAACTTAAAACGTAATGGTGACCTGTGTCAGTGTGAACTTATTTTTTTGCTAATTTCGTTGTAAATACAGAGCGTATTTACAACGAAATTAGCACACAAAAAACACCTTCACCATTTTCTTGCACTCTGGGAGTATAGAAAATAAACCCACCTAAGCACTGGACTCCGAGCTCGCCTGTTTTATCGAACAGAACTTTTTTGCTTTGATTTGCAAGAGACCAGTGAGTCATTATTTGACTTGGATTGAGTGGATTATCTGAGCTGATCTAAATTTAAGCATTAAAAAGAAGCAAGTATAAAATCTCGATTAAGAACCACATGACAAATGGAGCGAGTACCAAACACCATCTCCTGGTACTCATCTGAGAACCTCACTGAAAAAGTTATGTGCACCCCTGCTTATAAGTCTTTGTTTTGAATTTTGTGAAACAGGAAAAGAGGAGTGGACTTGCCTCTCTGTTAGGCCTACCCATTTCAATGAGTTCAAATGATATGGATTAATTTGGGTCATTTTATTTGGGTTAAACCCATCCTTCCAAGCAACAACGTGCTGGTTTACACGTGCAATAAGTTTCATTTCTTTCATTAGTAGTCATAATATTCTCATCGCTATTTTTAGTTTTTTTATTGAATACTTATTTTTGAAAAACTTGGATGGATTTGAGGTAATATGGAATCCCAGCACTGTGCTCATTGTTATCTGACGGTATTGTTTTTTAAGCCGTCGTTGCCAGCATCGGAAAATCGCATCGAGTACGACTCCGAGGTTAGTGAGGACAGCGACGATGATGATGACGATGACGATTATGAAGATGTGTTTGACGTCAACTCGCCGCAAAAGGAACACTCCAACAATAATTCATACAGGTACCTGTAGCTTACCGCCGTTCACATTTAAATGCTGATCATAGCAAGCGTTTGAACTCCATTTTGTATTCTCAGTTGGTGTCTTATGCGTCTCGCTATGGTCCAGTTGGTGCTGGTCAACCTCAAGTCATTTTATCCCATGGCTGGATATGATTTATTAGGTAGCATCATGATACACACATGACAAAACGAGTGGATAGTTCCATTAGCATTTATGACTGTGCGTCTTTCAGACCTCCCTGTGGCTTCTCCGCTCTGTCATTCTGTGCTGAAGACGCTGCAGCGCTGGGAGCAGGTGCTGCAGAAGAGGCTGGAGCTCTTTGGTGGACCTCCATCGAAATACATCTCCACTCACCTCCTGGACGAAACTCCTGGCCCTGCGCTCCTCAAGCACAAGGCCTTGTTTGAACCGTCCAACACGCCATTCAGGTGCTGACAGCTCTGCAAATACCTCTGTTGTCTTCTTTGTACTTCATGATTCTGTGACCAATACACTCCAAACAAAATTGAAAAATTAGTCTTAGAAGGCGGCCTTTAAAAAAAAAAAAAAAAACTATTTGACCGCCTTAATGACCATGGAATATCATCTGATTCTTCATGGTCAAGTTGTCAAACATAGTTTTCATAACCTCCGAAGAAATTGAATAATTACATTCAACCATTACTCTTTAAAGGAGCAGTATGTCAAAATCTGGCAAAAAGTGGTTCTGCAACCTCTCCCACTCTCCCTGACTCAGGTTGCCAGATATGCAGACAAATACACCTGGGAACATAAAATCTGAATAGACCAGAGTTTTGTCAACAAAAAATCTATAAGAAACACCTTTATCACAAAGACCCCGATAAAAAACATTTGGTCATTAATGATTTGAAAATCAAAACAAGACCTTTTTTCGTTCTGCGGCCACATGTTACTTTTCCGGTGAGTTCTGGCAACCCGGATCACGGACTTTCTGATTGGTAAAACGGTGGAGGGTGGGACACTGAAATGAAAACGACAAGCTGTAAAACTAATTTTGAAATCCAAAAATCTCGGCTGAACTACTGTGATCTGTTAAAGAAGTATTCAAAAAGAGCATGGTTTTTTAACGCCTTTTGAAAATGATGACTTGACATGAAAATCTTACATATTGCTTCTGTATTTATTGAGAAAAAAAGAAGGTGAACCTTTCTACAGAAAAGTGTTTTCTTTTTCAGATCGAGTCATCATTCAACACTACCAGTAAAACGTTTATGGCTGTTTTTGGTCAAACAAGAAGAGGTGCAAGAAACTATCATTCGAAACATTTTCACCAGAAAGCGGGACCCAAACGAGGTAAAATGGTCATGTTTGCTCATCCGCACTGTTGTGTAGCTCCCTGAGCTCATGCCCACCTAATGTGTTGCGAACGTTCCCTGTAATTATTCAGTTAAATTGCATCCATATGCTAACACTTTCCCTTTTTGCATTTGTGAGATGTTTGCATGGCCCAATCACTGCCTTCTAATTATAGCCACAAATATTGTCGTTCTCTGGCTCATGTCAAATCATGTAGTACATTTTATTAACAGTACTTGTGTTTGATTGCATGATTCACCAATGTTGTTGTTGAATGTTTTGTGTGTCTTCCTCTCCTCGTGTTGCTTCCCCAATCATTAAAGTCAATTGAGGACCAAACTGACATAGTGAAATATTCAGGAATGGATGAAACCGGAAATATTCAGGTAATGTTGATTCTGCTTTACCTTTAGTTTGTTCTTATATTTGTAACTATTCATAACTGCATGATAACCTTGTATTCTCAAAAATGAATGCTTTTATGTTTTTTAAATTTTTAACATGCCTTCTTGTGTATATTTTGAGCTGCCGCTCTTTACAGGGGGTTGTAAAACTACTACATTATTGACTGTGTTAGATCTTACTTGGCTCTGTCAAAATATTCATGAGAACTTGAAGCTTGAATGCATGTTTGCTTGGTAGAGTTCTCTAATCTTCTGGCTCTCTGTGTGAGCTTCCACATTGTAGCTCCTCCATTTGGCTCTGTGTTAATTAAGCCAGTCCCTCATAGGACTTGCTATGAAGCTGAATAGCTTCTGATTAATGGCCTCAGTACTGTCGCTGTGAATCTGCTCTCTCCAGGGATTATGGGCTCGGCGCAAATGGTAAACCACCATATTTAGACTTGTGCTTGTCAAATTTTTACTTTATTCTTACTGACAGAAGAAGACATGGTCTTTTCCTCTTGAATAAATGTAATGAAGAATTTCCCATAAAGAATGTGTCAAAGGATGCATTTCTCATTTAAAAGGTCCAAATGCAACATGTTCACAATTTGCTGCTCTGTGTGTGCGTCCCAGAGGAGCTGCAGGGACAGTGTGTGCTGAGGGCTTAGGCTCTATGGTTTAATGCCTTAAGTACTGAACAGTTATTCCCCACTATGTGCACTCAGGAACACATCACCAATCAGAATTTACGTTCATATTAAATGAACCTATAGTGGGGTCAGGATTACTTAAGACCATTTAGTTTATGCTTAATGTAACAGGACACTTGGGGCTGAATGTGTTCATTACATAGTGTCTCGTCCTCAGGCTGACTCGGACACGGCCGGTGCTGGTGGAAAGGCTCGTATCATCCACAAGGAGCCAGACATCATCACTGCATTTGCTATTAATAAGGTAAATATAATGTGGGTTTGGAACACAGCCCTGTAGTTGGACTCACAGCACTTTAAGTCACAGGTACTTGGATATTCTTAAAAATAAAAAATAAATAGGGCATTCTTCTGGATTATCTCAACGCCAGTGACCTTGAGAAATGGAAACTGCAATAATGTGTAATATTTGAAATGCTTCAACTAACTTTTAGTTGTATTTTGTTGCTGTTGTTTTAATATGCCAGTAAAGACCGTATAAACATTGTAATTTCGATTTTACGTTGTATTTACGTTGAAGTGTGACTAAACCGAGATGGGATTGATGCATAGCAACACTTTTTTATATTCTGCCTTTTTCTCGCTCCTTTTTCACAGGCAAACCGCAATTGTTTAGTCATGGCCTCCACCCATGACATTCAAGAGCTCGATGTGTCATCCATCTTGGCTACACAGATCTTGACTTGGATCGATGAAGAAGAGGGTGAAGCCAAAGGGTGAGAGACTGGGCATGCGTGTTTGTATACAATACCATGGAGGTGGGCGTCATATTAGAATGCTTGACATTTCATGGCTGTTTTGAACAAAGAATATGAAGTTTTTCCTGCTGTAATAGATGAAAAGAATGTTATTTTGTTTTGTTTTTTAACCAGGATTTTTTGTGTTATTTTTAAGTGTGATTTTGTTCAGTCTATTAGTCAGTGCAATGATCAATTTGGAAAGTTATCAAAGTTCCTCTAATTATCCTGTCTTTAAATTGTGTGCACTACTTTAGAACCTAAGCTACTACATGTATATTTTTCTGATGGATTGTCTTAATACCAATTGTACATCGTCAGGATAACGCAAAAAGGCAATATTGACACAGAGCTCTAACTTGTTGTGAGCTCACTAAGTTCATGCAAGGGTGCCATCCAGCCAACCTTTTCACCCTTTCCACCAGTGCGGCTAAATTGAGAGTGGGTGTGAACCATGCGATTGGTTCTCGGCTGACTGTGTAGGTGGCATATACTCAGAGTTGTTCATCTTTTCTCTTGCTGAGCTGCATAATAATCACAGGGTGGGTAGAAAAGACAAAATTCATGCCCAAGTCTAAGTACCAATAGTTAAAATATAAAGTATTAGTGCTGGTTCTACTATTTTCTATCAATTTAACCATTCATTGGTTTGAACAAAAGTTAATACAAGTCTTGCATAAATGAAAAGAGAATCTACAATGACAACGGGAGCCTTTATATATAGATAAAAACCTCCTGTCCTTTTAACACACCCTAGTATTTCTGTTTGAATAAAAGGCACACTTGTGGTTTTGATTTAGAATTTAAGTCATTCTCTCATAGTTGATATCTTTCAAGTTCTTTGTACACTTTCTGCATGTTTGTGCGCAGCCCTGTGGATCATATAGGCTTTTAAGGTTTGGTCTAATGTGGGGATGTTGTTGTAGATATAGCAATCCTGCAGCTATAGTAGTTCTGCAGTGGACTATTTTTCTCTCTAGAGTAGTAACATAACCGAACTTAGCCTTAACATTGTAGCTTGGTAGAGTGCATTGTAGATTGGTAGCTGATCGAGATGAAACGTTTCAGTGAAACTCAATATTACCCCTTTGGCACCTCTACACAGGTCCTTTCTCTGTGTTGTTTGCATGTTCTCCCCGTGTCTGCTCTAGTTTCCTCCAGTTTCCTTCCATTAAAACATGTTAATTAGTTCACTGTGTATGAGAACGTGATTGTGACTCCAATTCAGAGAGGTGTGTTCATTAACATGCAGTGTCGCAGCCAAATAATCCACATGTGCATGATGTAACCGCCACCAATGCTTGTGCAGTGTCTCCTGCTCACAGCAGATGTTTCTTGCTCTTGTTAGATGTTTGAAATTTCACTTATGCTTCTAGTGTCAGTGGAGATGAGTTCCTAGTGGTCCACGCGCGTGACGACTTCGCTGCTCTGCATGGAACCACTCCATACACCCACAGCAGCCCCGGGACGCCCATAAACATGCCCTGGTTAGGCGGAGTGCAGACGGGCCGAGGAGCAGCCGTGGTGAGTGTTACTATGGAAACTATGGAGAAAGAGTGGCACTGCAACTGTTACCATACAAATATTCTTTTCTTTTTCTAATTTTGAGTGTTTTCTGAACTTTCTTTTGAATTTATATTTGAGAACAAGATAATATTTGCTCAAGGGAGGTCTGTTTCATAACCTCTTCTATGTCTCTGTTCGCTCCTTTGTTTTATTTATGGTATAATTGGTTCTCTGCTATTCATGCATGTTGTCTCCTAACATTTGCCCTTGTTTACTCTCAGGGCATAGACCTCACAGCTGTTTAACTAGCTTTAATTATTTATTTGTTCATCTTTAGGCTCAGTTTGCTAAGAGCACTCTAATTGCTTATTCAGCTTTGCTCAAAACCATGTTCCCTGCAAACAGAAGTTCTTTCAGCCGAGGCCGTAACACAATTGTATTCATGGGTTTTATATGCAACAATTTCTTGACTGTTCACCAGAAAAAAACTGGTCCAATTTTCCATCATTTTGAAGCCTTCGACTGGTGGCTTTAAACTCTGTCTGACTCTCAAGTGGAGGCAAAGTAGTTCTTTATGCACACGCCCACATGTAAAATGTTTTTTTGTATTAATGCCATTCCCCATACTGCATTTTAGCATCTCCATGACAATTATACTGCTTCTATTTGTTGTTTTTGTAAGCTTTTTTATTGATAACAAATCTTTGCACTGTATTAAGATGTTTAATCCATTATATTTGTCTTGTGGAGACAAAAGGTGATTATTGAGGTGATTCAGTCGTCTTAGCCTTTCTGTGTAAATAGTTAATTTATTTCAAACCTGCAGAACACACATATTTACACTAATACAGGTTTGAAAATGGATTAGATGAAGCAGTTGCAGAATTTGTTCCCAACCCCCTCTCACAATTCAACACAATAATACACAGAATACAATGCAATTAATCAACATTGACAATGCAAGTATCAACAAATTTGATACTGTGCAATGCATACAGTAAAATACAAATACAATACCTTATCATGGGGTTGCACACACACACAGCTGACAAATAATCTGCCAAAATGGATCCAATTTTTGTTCCTTCATTAGATTGTTGCATTACTAATACTGGTGCACTGCTATAGCAGTTTCCCTGACCAATGTCTATATCTTCCAAAGAAATAGAGCCAGACAATGTGTAGATGTCGTCTGAAATCCAGCAAAAGTCGTCTTCCACTGCGTCTGACAGCAGAGAATTGGTCTTTTGTATAAGTGGTGTTGCCAAATGAGCACTTCTGAGTCATCTTAAAAATGACTCCAAAATGGACTTGGCAGCGAAAAGAGTAAAGTACTGTTCATACTCCTCCTTTTTTACAGCTTTAGACATGTTCAAGGTTGAGTGTCTGAGTATCTGCAGCCAAGATAAAAGACAAAATCACAAATATTTTCCTTGTGCTGTCTTGACTCGTCTTTGCCACTGTATATACTGTATGTACATGTATATAATTAGTCCAATCTAAAGTATTTCATTTTTTTAAAAATAGAAATGTCCTAATACACCATGTAATGTACAATATTATACACAGAATATAATAATATAATACCATTCAACAAACAAAAACATTATAAATCTGGGTAATACATACAGGACCCTATACCACTTTGAGACAAATATGAAGTGGTTTGGTACTTATTTTTTTGCATTTATTAAACACAATACGTTTTTTCTTTCCCCTGCGCCTCCAGATGATCAAGAGAAACATCAACAATGTGAGAAGAATGGCCTCGCATCCCACGCTGCCCTATTGTAAGTGCCATCCACTTTAAACAATGGAACTCTCTCAAAAGTTTAATCTTATCCTAATATTTATACTTAGCAGCAGTGGAAAACTTGTATAAAAGGGACTGGTTTTCATGTTTTGTACCAAGGTGGTGTGGTATAAAAGGCTTACAATGTCAGCTTGTGAGGGCAAAGTTAATACAAAGTTGACAATCACAGGGAGTAATGAATTCTAGCCATTGGCCGAGGGTGGAACAGAATTGGCTTTTTTCCGATGGAACGCTGTTGGAATGTTTACCTCTTTATGTGTTAAAGATGAAATTAAAATCACAATACATTGGCTCTATTGTCCGCTGTTGTAGCTCGACAGAAATGTGTTCTGGAATCTTGATACATGTTCTTTAGTTTGTGATTGAGCTTTTTGATGATCTAAACTATGTGAAAATTATACAAAAATATGTGGAACTGGAATTGAATAATTATAATGCATGGATTTTGTAATGCGCTTTTTTTGACGTTCAAAGATGCTTCACGTCGTATTATTAATTCACCCCATACACAGCGGTGATACGTTACGGCTGTAGCCACAACTGCCCTGGGACAGCCTGGCAGATGCATGCCAACCAGTATGTGTCATCGGCCAACCAACCATTCACTCACACACCAGACCCATTCTAGGCAATGTGGGTGACGTGTCTCAACAGTTCAGTATTTTACAGCCGCCCCACTGTTCCCAGAAGTCTCCCATCACAATACTAACAAGGCCCTGTCCTGCTTAGCTTCAGAGGTCTAACCGGATCTGGTTTTCACATACAGGTGGCACCACAGTATTTCATTATAGCCAGGAAACTGTATGTATCGTAATTCACCGTCCAAATGTTCCTAAGAATTTAAACTAGAATCAATGTCATTGAGTTAAACTTATTCAATGACATTATTTTTACATTAGGATTTTTGCTATTTTTGCTGCTATCATGTAACTATAGATGCTTTTGCTTTGCCAGAAATCTCTCACATTGACATATGGAGACACAAACGTAATGCAACAAGATCAAGTTACAAGTCAGATGTAGCCGTCTGACCAAGTCCCTGGTATGTTTTATTGAAATCGGTTGCTAAATATATAGATTACTTACTCACTAAAGCTTCTTGTATCATTTGGCCTTTATTCTCCCTGGGTTTAGTTTGTCATCGTTGTTCGTCTGTTTTTAAGGCAAGGCTGAATGCCCACAATCTTCTTTTTCATCCAAGTCCAGAGAGGGGAGAGGGAGCGGGAGCCGAGAGCTACTTGGGTGGAAAAAGAGCCCAGTGGGATATAATAAGAGAACTGCTGAAGCCTGTGTGAAATAAACCATGTCCTCAATCAATTATACAACAGATGGATTTTGGGAGCAGAGAAAGAGCCAAAACCCTCATGTTGGGAGTTGGGACTCGGGCTCGCTGCGTTCTGAGAGACTTGAGTGTAAAGTGGTTTTCATGTTCTGCTGCTTTTTGCTTTTTTTTCAGATTTGACTGGTGCACAAGATGGCAGCGTGAGGATGTTCGAGTGGGGTCATTCTCAACAGATTATCTGCTTTCGGAGTCCGGGAAACTCCAGAGTCACCCGCATACGATTCAGCCACCAGGGCAACAAGGTCAGGACTCCTTTTTGATGTTTTATTTTATTTGTTTATTTGACAGGGACAGTGTACAACAGGTATTTCCAACCTTTTTCACACAGAGAGCTACTGTCCCGGGACGATGTAGGCAAAGAGCTACTCCTTTAAGTGTTTACCACTATTTACCATCGCATATTTGTTACTATTGCACAGTGTATTTACAGTATTAACAAAGAATGAATAATACAGTCTGAAATATTATTTGATTTGTAAATTTATAAATCCTACCTGGAAGGGGGTGGCGAGCTACAGGTTGGAGACCCCTGTTGTACATTAATGAACACTTCTGTAAATGTACCAGAATTGTCCCTGGGCAGATTTATAATGTCAACCCAAAGCTGATATGATTGAAAAAGAAAAAAAGTACAGTGGTGAAAACAAAACACTATATACAAATATAATTGTACACTATATATACAAATATCCATACTAAAATAACAGTGTACATTCAACATATATCAGAATTAGTTAAACAGTTAAAAGTTAAGAGTTAAGTCTTGCTTTTAATCAGTTTTAAACAAGCTCTGGGAGTGTTTTAAGAGAAGTATGATGAAGTAAAAGTAAAGGCCCCACGCTCTCAACATGAATGAAATATAAATTAAAACAAACAAAACTATTCACAAAGCACTGAGAAACACATTGATTCCTATTCAACAGATTAAGGCTTCAACACTGTAAATCAGAGGTTAGTGATGTTTTCTGTTTCTGGTCCCAAGGACAAAATCCCACAGACAAACTGAGCTATGTACTTTACAGCGATGAATATGTCTGCTGCTAAGAACATTGGTCAGACTCAACCCTTTCACAAAAGAGTGTTTAGAAGTTTAGAAGCCTGTCCATCTCCACCTGAAAGCATCAAGCCTCTCGTTTTTAGACAGTTAGGTGAGCCATTTGAGCATTGAGAAAGGATTGCTTGAAAGGGCTATTTTTGATTAAAATAGAAAATGCTTCATTGAATACAAATGCTGGGCTATAATGTGTGAAGGTGGGAGGAGGCGGGCAGTGGTCTCTCTGGGGGGGGGTCAAGCTCATGGGCAGAAGAGCAGAGCGCCACTCTTTTCAATTGAGCTGACGTCCCCTCTAGCCATGTATAGTGTATTACTCAATTTCTTATATGTAAAATATGGGTTATGGCAGATACCTGACCCCAGTGTGCACAAGACAAGTGCATAAATAAAGAGCTGTAGCTAACAACCTTACAGCTCAGAGTAGTAGGGGGTAAACCATAAAAGTTAAAGCTGGAGTTAGTTTTTAGTTTCATGCTGAGAAGGCTGTCATTTTAAAGCTGGAGTACCTATCCGAAACCTCAAAAAATGTGTGTACTGGAGACTAGTGAATGTAACTGGTTTCCTATAGCACTCATTTTTGTTCTACAGCAAGTTTTCACGTGCATGCATTTTTGGCCTCTGTCTTTGGATCCAGTTATTCAGTAAAGAAAGGACCAGCTCTCTCTCGGCCAATCAGCTTTCTGCTATATAAGGAGAATGATGTATGTATGAAACAAAAATACAGTTAATTACTCCAGCTTCACCGCAATGGATTTTTAGTTTCAGTGGTTAACCCCTCCCAATGTGAAGAACAAAAAAGATATGAAATGTACTCTCCAAGTTGTTTTTCTAGTTTTCACACCAGCCTCCTTAACGAATGAACTGCTATGACCTCTCTCTGAAGAATACATAGATATTCATGAGGCTATACTTGAAGAAGCAGATTTAGAGACCACCGTGACACTAAATACTTTAAAAAACTGAACAGGCTGCGTGGGCTGGACACATCTTCACTCAGCTGTCCCAGACTCGCCCAAACTTCAGAGGGGCTTTCAGCTTCTGCATATATCACTCTGAGACTCCCTGGAGCTAATAATGGGCTCTCATATAGACTCCCCTGTGCCAGTCTCATCTGTCAGGGCAGGAGGTGGAGAAATACTGAGTCACTGTTGACGCGGATGTCGTTGGAAACTTTTATCAGGGCAGTCTCTGTGCTGTGGTGGGGCCTGAAACCTGATTGAAACAGGTCAAAAACATTATTCAGCAGCAGGAAATTGTTAGCTGCAGGTAAACGGTCTTTTCTAACACCTTCCCTAAGAAAGGCAAATTTGAAATGGGTCTGTAATTGCTGAGCACTGCAGGATCAAGACTGCTCTTCTTTAAGAGAGGCCTGATCACTGCAGTTTTCAGAGGACCAGGGAAGGTTCCTGACTGAAGAGATGCGTTCACTATTGCAGTGAGTGAAGGCAACAAACTGTTAAGAACAAGTTTTAAAAATCTAGTGGGCAACACGTCAAGGCAGCAAGTGCACGATTTCAATTTTAAAACAATTTCTTTGACCAATTTTTCAGTGACAGGTGAAAAAAAGGACAGCTCAGAAACTGCAGTTGTTTGTGTTGAAATTTGTGATGTGACGTAATCACCTCACCTACTTACTATAACATCACACTTAGAGCTGTTTTTTGAAACAAGAATATTGACCATGAATTCGTTTTGGCAGTTTCTCAGGTGAAATGATACAATCGCACAGCCAGTTCTTTTCAAATTTGAAGAGAAAAAAAAAAAATAAATACCTTCAACTGCTTTTACCCTCCATACTTTGTTTCCTCTGTTTACTATATTCTACTGACGATAGTATTTCACATTCTAAAACATTAAAGGGCATGGTAAACTGCCTCATTATCGCCTAACAGCAAAATTTAAGAAATGCATTTTGTAAATCTGAAACAAAATACTCTGCTGTAATTGTTTCTTTTTGTCGCTCGGATGCAGAGAGAGCACCAGATTTCAAAACGGCTTCATTTTAACTTTGGCTCAACATGTTTGTTCCTTTGTTGCAGTTTGGCATTGTGGACGCAGATGGCGGCTTGAGCCTGTGGCAAACAAACACCAGTGGAGCTGCACCTAAACCGTATCTGGTGAATAAATACTCACCTTTTCTTAGTTCCTTCCTTAGTTCTTTGCGATTGCTGCGATTTAGAAATAGCTATGAGCTTTTAGTCGTTGGATCGGCCATTTTACTTTCTGACTGGATCAACGGCTTCAGACTCGTGAATAAAACGGTGCTTTAAGTATTGTTTGGAAACGGTTTGATTTGAACTTGCTCTGTGTTTACAATGACCATGAAATATTCAGCACAAGCTTCAATTGTTGGTTTCTGATTCAGACGCTGCAATGCCACAACAAAACGGCGAACGACTTTGTCTTCGTGGGCTCCTCGTCGCTCATCGCCACCGCTGGGCTTTCCACAGACAACAGGTACTGTATGTAAGGGTTTATATGAATGCACTGTGATTATATGACCACTGCTGTTGGCCGAGACTATTTTTATCCATTTTTACACACAATGATTATTAACTCATTGACTGCCAGCCCATTTCAGAACAGGTACTCCCATATTGCCAGCCGTTTCTGATGGTTTTTACTGATTTTTAAAGACCCACAGAATATTGTGTACTATGACTATCTGAAATCCGATGTCTACTTTCCTCAGCAAAAATAATTTTGTTTATAGCTTTTTTTGTTCCCCTGTAATCCTCCGTTGAGTAGAGGGAAGTTTTACTGAAATCACCAGAAAGTTGAGAAAAAAAGAGGCACAACATGTGCACCTAACTGTTTTCAAACCATTCAGAGAGAAATGCTGCCACCTGCTGGCTCGATAAAATATGGTCTCAAGTCATCCCCATACATATTAGATACAATAGACATCTGGGAACGTGAAAATAGCGGAAAAGGCAATTGACGTATTCATTCCTCTTTTTGCATTTATCCTTTGCTGCTTACAAGCTGCCAATAAACTCTCATTAACTTTGACACAGCATTCAGAGACAGACAGCAGACATTTCAAATGCACTTTTAATGTGATTTTTAGAGCCACAGTGATTAAAAGTAGAATCAAAAGATCCTAAATTAGGGTCTAAATGACAAAAGGCTGGTCAAATTAGGAAAAATCATCAAAATTCAGCTAAAAACATGATTTAGGGTATTTCTAAAATACTGTGATGGGTTAATTTGATCTTAGGATGGCACAGGGGATAAATCAAATTTTTGTCTGAAACATTGTTTAGATTTTGTATTCTTTACGACAGAAGAAACACAAGTATCCAAACCCACCACAACTGCGGCTGTAAAGTGCTAAAATGTTGTTGTGTCCTTTGGCAAGACACTTCAACATTGCCTAGTATGAGTATGGAGCCGAGATTGGTAGCATTGCTTCTGGAAGTTTGCTCCATGGCAGCTGTGGCTACAGTCGTAGTTTACCACCATCGTGAATGAATAATGCAGAATAATGCTTTGGATCAAGAAAAGCTCTGTATAAAACCAATGCTTTTATTATTGATTAACTCTTAAATTGAAATTGGGCTCAAATATCTACAGCCAGAGAAAGCTCGAGGGATGATAAAGGTGATCTCACACGTGGCCACAGATTAACGGTGACGGAGCCTGTGACTCGCTCCCTCTCTCGCCCTGTTCCCTGCTCCCTGAGGCCAGTCCGCTCTAATTGGACAAGGCCGCGCTCCACTGAACTGCAGCCAAACCCAGGCCAATGTGACGTGTGGATTTCATGAGTTAATTCAATCTTCTGTCTGTGCAGGAATGTGTGTTTGTGGGACACGCTGGTCACACCTGCCAACAGCCTCGTGCACGGTAAGGACCTCACCTGAGGGCCCCTGCTCTCACTCCTGGTTTAGGGTATGGTTTACTGTACTGTAAGACCTTTTCTTTGCAAGAAATGGTAAACTGGTATCTCCAGTCCAAGCGGCCAAGTCCTATCTGTGCAAAAGAGTTTTTAGTGCAAACATTGGATGAATAAAATGTAATAACCAAGATAAACCAGATAAAGCTGGTTTCTTGCTCTGAAAAGCAGTACTAATGTATTTTTGGTCTCACATCTTCAGATCAGCTATTTCTGACAGAAAAGAGAAAGAGAGAGAGGACCACCCTCTCACAGCTCTCAGCCTCAGTCATATAGTATTCTTACAGTGCAAAATGTTGGAGACACCAGATGAATATGACATGTCATGGTCTGATTTCTTCACATTTTACTTTTACAAAACAAATTTTTATATTCTTTATGGGAAAAAAAAGTGTTGTACCCTAGCTTTAATGCTTTATTGTGGAACATCATTGAGACAAGCATGTGGTGTATACATCACTTTGGTTGTTTGGTATGACCATCAATTACACATGTAACTAGGGTAGCAATATGTGGTTGAAGATTGATTTTGGTTTTATCACAAGATCATCAACAATGAAAACCAATCAATCAAACTTAAGGTTCAAACATATGATTTAATGTAACAAATTGCAACCATTTGTTTCTGCCAAATGAATAGGCAGAAACAGAAATTAGTCGAGCCTGTCCTATTCTACATTAGTTTGATCAGCTTTTACGCTTTATATGTATGGTATACCATATTTAACCTACATACAACATACAAAAAAGTCACTTTTCATATTCTTTAAATATTTGAAACTTAAGATACTTTCTAAATTGTAAGAAAGAAGTACATTTATTCAAATCTTCTGTTAATTCAATATTAACAGAAGACTGTCCGTCGTGAGAAAGGGTAGTTTAACCTGAAGTGATGTGCTGTTGCAATAGTAACCAATATTTAATAATGTTCAAGTACCAAGTCGGCCAACCTGTTCTCCTGTTCTGCTGGTCTGTAAAAGCAGTTAGTAGTGATCATGATTTTAAAAGTGTGTCTGGTGTTGTTGAAGCGTTCTGCTGCCACGACTCTGGGGCCACGGTGCTGTGTGTGGCGCCCCGACAGCAGCTGCTCATCACTGGGGGCAGGAGGGGCTGGATCAGCGTCCTGGAGCTGTCCCACCAGCACCAGAGGCAGAGCTTCCAGGCCCACGACTCCCCGGTCAAAGCCCTCGCCCTGGACCCCACCGAGGACTGCTTCATCAGCGGATGTTCAGAAGGAAACATTAAGGTACGCTCCGCCGCATGGATCTAGTATGATTTATGATGTTTATGTGCAGATACCAGCGTGTGTAGGCCTGTCGCGAGTGTTACTATGACGACTGATGGAACCGTTTACCCTACACCTGCTGTTCTGTTCCTGGTGTCCAATGGTGTAAATGTCAAAGTAGCTTTATGTTAGCTCTAAGTAGCTGTATGTGTCCTGCTGTTGTCCCAGTCTACAGCAGGACACTTCATCGATTGATGGAACCAGCGTACGTGTTGAAATCACACAATGATCTGATCAGTGTGGGAGAAAAGGCCACATGAGTTTGAAGTACTGAGTTTCTGTTGTAGGAAATACCCCTGCGGTTATTTATGCACTGTCTTTAGAATTTGCAACTGACCATATACAAGTTTTGAGAAAAATAACCTCCATAAGAAATGAACCATGGCAAGGTGGGGAAACATGTGAGAACCCCATAACATGCTACTGCTATTGCGACATGCTACTGCCAAATGCTATTGTGACCTGCCACTGCGACATGCTACTTGCCACTGCTACTCTTATTGTGGACCAGACATGGCCACCCGCTGTCACACATGCCACTTCCAGGCCCCCTCTGTCTTGCTCTGAGGCTGTAGAAGAATTGGATCCCAGCAGAAGCAGATTAGCATCATCTCAAACTCCATTGGCAGGAGTCTGGAGCCAGATTCTTGTATAGCAACTACCTAGCAACCAAAGAAACAATCCGGAGCAGCGCTGGTCTGTTCCAGCTCATGCTATTCACTAGCCAAAGTCGAATTCTGAGATGGAAGGTTCTAGTTTGGTCAGTCTGGATTTACCAAGAGAATATCACAATACAAAACACCAGGTTCCTGTTTATGAACACAATAAACCACAGATTTTTAAATCTAAAAATGGTGAATGCGACATTAGCAGTTTGTATTCCTTAAATAAACTCAAACATACATAACAATTTACAGAGCATTAAGGATAAGAAAATATAAAAGCATAATACAAGTGAATGGAGCCAAAGAGAGTTGGAGCTAAACTTCACCATGAGCACTTCCCAATTCATGGAGCTAGCGGGTTAGCATGGTCGATTGCTTTATACAGACAATGGGGCTTCTGGGCCACTGCTGGACTGCCGCAAAATAATAACAATAAAAGAGTATTATTACGACTATGCTTAGCTGCTACTTTGTTTATGAAGTTAAAACTGCAGTCAATAATTTTGGACAGAAATCCTGAACACGGGTCCAGAGCCCATTTGCAAGCTTTCAAAGAGCAGTGTGGAAGTGTGAGATTAGCTCCAGTGGACAGAAAGGAGCTTATCAAATAATAATGTGTGCTGCTGGGAATGTAAATCAGACAATGGCTCAAAGCCCACCAGGTCTCTCCCCGCCGGCGTCTCTGCACTTCCTGTACATTTCCTGTTTGTCTGCCTCAAAATGACTTCAGAAGTTTGTGGATAAAGAAAGCGTGATGTTGTTCTGGGGCTTTTCATTTGTGTCACAGATATTTGTTTGAAAGAACACCGAGTATATTGTGGTGATTTATATTTCTACGGATTTTGGTTGCTGCGAATCATACATGGATTATTTTTTATTTTTTTATTTTATCTGAAAGCGGTGAGTTAATTCCACATAATTATTTAATGTGTTTGTTTCATTGAAAAACATAAAAACACAATCATTCTAAAATTGCTTTGATCGGTCCAGTAGTACAGAGCGTACATCTGAACAATGAGGATCCAAATATATTCTTCCATCACTTATTGCAGAGGTGTCAAACTCATTTTAATCAGGGGCCAAATATAAAAAATAGAAACTGATCGGGGGCCAAAAGAATAAAATTAAATATCTTGTATTTGGTTTTTTTAACTTTATGACTGTATTTTGACATGACTTTTATGTGACATGAGTTTTACTATGATTTTCTAGTTTATTTTTCTAAACAAAACAAGTTGAGTGTTTGTTTATTTTGAGGTCATCGTACATCAAACATTATCAGATGTCACTAAATAGAATTATTTAGCAAATCATTCATTTACAAATAAATTCCCACCTCTGTGATGTGTTGTTTAGATTTAATCAAAACTGTGCCAAATTTTAAAGTGAACTATTTAACTATAATGTGTGGGTTCAAACTTATATTTGGTAGATTCCTGAGATTATAGATGATGTATAACATGCCATGGTAGCTCATATATACCATCAATGCTGCAAGTTGATAAGTTTGATAAGTGAAACTCATTTTAGGGGCTACTAAAAATGGTGTTGCGGGCCGGATATGGCCCTTGAGCCTGGGTTAGACCTGCCTGCCTCATGTCTGTCTGTCCTCCGCAGGTGTGGAGTCTGAGCACACAGACGCCGCTCTACGCCTTCCCGCACGAGCACGCGCGGCAGTCCCTGTTCCGCAACCTGGGCACGGGCGTCATGCAGATCGAGGTGGGGCCGGCCAATCACGTCTTCTCCTGCGGCGCCGACGGGACCATGAAGCTCCGCCTCCTATCCAACCGCTTCAGCGCCCTCAACAACAACCACAACAACCTCAAGAACCACGTCAAGTTCGTCATCTGAGAAAGCGCCGCGCACTGTCGCCACGGAGACGCGCCAACGAGCTGCATTTGAAATGACTCGGGTTGAGGAGTTTGACTTGTTCAGAGCTTGCACACTTTTTCACACAATCCCATTTGGTTTTACATCGGTGTAACGTCGATCAAAACTTCTGTAAAACAAAAAATTATTTGGGAAAACTAAAGAGAAGCTCGACCTAAAACAAGCCAAAAACGCTTGAAAGACTTGAACACAAACTGAATCTTTACCTGGCAACACATTTTCTTTTTGTTCTTTTTTGACACAGGGTACGAATCCACAGCACCGCAGCGTCCAAATGATTCTTTATCATGAAAAAGCACCAGTCGTCCGCCGCGTTGGCTCTGCAGTTTTTCCCGAGAGCAGAGCGACGGCTTTGAGACAAACGCTACATACACGTTTATGTCGCGCAGAAGCTAGCGTCGCGTTCTCCTCTGTCCAGTTGTATTGAATCATTGTGAATCTTCTCCTCACTTAATACACTTTCTGTGCACATCTTTCTTCATAAATCTTTCGCAGAGTTGTGTCATGACCTCAAATTTGTGAAAGTGAAGTTTAAGGCAACCGCTTCCCATGCTGTGTCGGAAAACGACGCAGCACTTTTTTGTAACGAAATCGACAACTCTAGAGCCATTTTATATACAAGCTTTTAGGCACTTAGATACATAGATGTTTATATTTGCACATAGTCATATGTATTGAGATATCTAATCTTTGGTATTCTAAATAAATAATACATAAATATAAATATATATATATAGAGAGAGAAAGGGTAAAGATGTGTTATTTGAACCTTCATGGTACCTGTAATTATTATAAGTGTCCTTACTCCTTTAAAATACTTGCAGTATAGTGGCTCTATAGGGTTTCAAAATTAAAAAACTATCATCGCTGCATTCGTCGTGCTTATAAAACTGTAGCAGATTTCTTTTTGCTTCGGACAATTGCGACATTAAAGTTTTATTGTGGAGTTTTTATTTGTAACGACATTTTTATCGGCTTCGCATCGAGGGTCAAACCGGCTCAAACCTGCTTTTTTTTGTGTGGATGTTTTTGAACCGACGCATATGCAGCGAGTTATCTAAGTTTGCCAAGTTTGGGACGCTCACTGCCCGTAGAATACGCTGCTGCTGCCGTAGAGACAATTATAGATTTGTTTTATCGTACGCTTTATTTCAGGGAGGACGAAGCCGCCATTTTATGAAGCTGATAAAGTGCAGTTATAGATGTATCCATAAACTGCTTCCGCTGTAGCTGCACTAGTCACAGCAGGAATACGTGCTGATGTTCTTTCACGCTGTTCTTGCAATATCTTACTTACCGTATCACGAAGAACAATGTGACGCACCGTGACGCCTGGACGTACTTTAAACAGTCGTACGCGCCACGGTTCCAGATTTTTGAAAATGATGACATCACAATATTGATTTCTTTTGTTGTTTTTTTCGAATTTTGAAGCTGAGGTACCTGACTTATTTTTTTTTTTTTAAGTTTCTGTTGGGACGAACAAAATGTGTGGTGAACTTCTTATCTTCTGCATACTGTGAAGAAAGAGCTTTGGGGGGGGGTCACTATTGGACGCTTTGAGAGCTGATTGGCTGAGGGAGGGTGGTTCTCTTTTTCACTTTTTCACTCTGAAAAAGGCCAGAAACACGTGGTTATTAACTAGTGATAGACGCAATCCTTTTAAGAGCAAGGAACTAGTTAGACGGCTTTCAGTAGATCAATTTATTACGGGTTTGAAAGTTAGGTACCCCAGCTTTAACGACCTAGATGTAACACTAGGTTATTCAATTGATTTAAACGTAAGAAATCATCTTTATTTATTAAATTAGTAATTCAAATGTCAATGTCATGTAACGGTGAGCGAAACTGTTGAATTGGGTATTTGTGTTTTACTTCCTTGGTCATTTTTTTCCACCTTCTTCCAAGGCGCCGTCCTTGTCATATCGAGCTAAGAACCATAGTCAAGAATAGATTTATACTTTTTCGAAATGCTATATGCATATACATATGTTATACATATAAAATGTTCTTGTCATATCAAGCTGAGAACCAGGGTCAAGATGATTCCTATTTTGAAATGCTATGCTAACGTCTGCCAGGTTTTGTCACAGTGCTCTCGGTGACAGGCGTCTGTTATTGTCGGTGTGTAACACGGTAATCACGATGAAGCAAGAACAGTGTGTAAATGACTTTCTTGATGTGATAGCACCAACTTGATGAAGAATCTCACTCTGTACAGTTGTATTTATGCGTTTATGCATTCTCCTTCAGTTGCCAAGCTCTTCTCGCCTTTTGTTTTTATCACACCTGCGCCAACTGAAAGTGGTTTTATCGTATCATAGAGATGTGATAATGGAAATTTTATGAAAGCTAGAGTTAGTCTCCGCAAAGGCTTCAGTGTGTAGCTTTTTGGACGAGTTCCGCTTCTGGACTCGACTTAATTACGAAACCAAATTGAGATTTTTCTTGCAAATGTGAAATCTAATTTTTTAATTAAAATCTTGTGTAAATGGATTTATTGTATAAAGTTCATGTACAAATGTAATAAACTATTAACAGATAAGATCTTCATGACGTGAGTGGTGCTTGATTTGGTTAAAGTTTATTTTCGAGTGTCTATGTCTGACCATGGGGTAGTATACTAATATGTACAGTAAACATATTTCAACAATTATATTTTCAAAAATAATCCCTCCTCTTGGCATAACTACGAGCAGTAAGATTTGAGGAGAACTGTTAAACCAATGATGAGGGACATCAAGGACTTGAAAGCATTTTGACCAATCAGGAGGCTGCTGGGGTAAGCGTGGGCGGGTCTAACCAGCACTTGTCTTCAGAGTTTCAGTCTTCACAAAAAATGATCTTTCACTAAGTAAAACTCACGAGATAAGAAATACTCAAGTTTTGGTTCATTTGATACTCTAACTTATGTCCTGTAGTTTCTCAGGCTGCTGGTTTTTAGTGGAAGAATTGATCAACGATGTCAAACACATTCAACTCAATTCTTTCTTATATAGCCCTAAATCAAAACAGTAGTTATCAGAGGACTTTACAAAACCACTGAGATATCCAACACGGATCAGAGAATCAAACAGTTCAAACGCTAAGAAAACACATAGATCCATAAAGAGGAGTCGACCAATGTCCATAAACGTTGAACGTTGAGTGTCATCACATGTTTGTGTTATCTAATAAATTACAATATAATTACTATAAACTGACAAACTAAATATTATGGAAAAAACTAGGTGGAAATGTATTTATTTTGTATTCTAGGCAGATAATGGATTGATGATTTATGAAAACTTATAGCTGCATAGTTTTCTAGTTAGGTGTTGATCGTGGTCACTTCCCATTTTCTCGTTAACTAATTAGATCACCAGGACAGCTCTTTGTCAGCCAATCTGTGGTCTAGAAGTATCTTTTAACGTGAAGGTTATTTTTCAAATTGTGAAGTTGCAGAGTCGCACGAACCATTTAGACCAATCAGGAGCTAGCAGGGGCAGGTCTAACTCTTCTCTTCCAGCAAATCTTCCTGATGATGGTTATTCCAAGGAGAGGAACTGTTATATATTTTCTAATTAAAAATACTTAATTGTAATGATAGTAGTCATTGTCAAAACTGTTTTCCTGTGCGAATGAGACATCACCTTTAAAAGTCCACATTATCAATTTATTTAATAATTCCTTATTTGGATATATGGGTTTGTAATAAGCTTAGATGACTAAACTGAAGCTGCTGAATACATTTCATTTACTTGGGTCCAGTTCAAAAATGCTCTAAGAAAAAAAAAAACCCCAAATAGTAACTTATTCCATATAAATGCAAGCACTCGCACAGTAATAGACCAAATGGAGGCAGTAGAATCATATTGTTTATTTGTAAAGAAAACTTGCATATTAAACATTCTGTATTAAAGATAAGAGTAAGAGAAATATGTACATGTTACATTTACTACAAAAATGATAGTTATCGCTTCTCGCAGAATCTGAAGGTTACTTGTGAGCAGCTGGCAGCATTTCTCAGTGATTCACATTAAAGACAAGAAGCTAACGGTGAAATAATGAGACAGAATGACAAAGCACTTGATCAAATATTAAGTATACTTTTGGTGATTTATTAATCCAATCAGAGCGGCTGTTGGGTGAGAACCATGTGGAAACAACGGGGCAGACATCTGTTAGAATCTGAAAGCCTCAAGACATATTTACTGTTCCAGGACAGAACCAATGCTATTCTTATTTATATAAGTTTGGCTTTTGTTTTTCTTTCCCAGGGCCTGCTGCTTTCAGAATAAGCAAAGGGTTAATGAATTGTCTGTGTGTGTTTTGTTTTGATAAATCCTTTGTAAATCAATAACTATCTTTCTCCAGTCTAAGCGCGATTGGATGAATTGCTCCAGATGTTTGTTTTTTAGCCAAACATTTAACCTTTGAAGTTAAACCTTAACTCCTAAATCCTGTAGGTCTCACAAATCAATACAGTAGACATAAATTCCATTATTTACAGATTTAGCAATAGATTTCGAAAGCTCTTTTTGCGTTAGAAGACAGTGTCCAAGCTTTTTAGTAAGAGCCGCTTTAGTTCACCAGACGTGTCCAGGGCGGAAGGTGGAACTGAAGTTTATAAATGGTTTCAAGAGTTAAATGAGGAGAACTCATTTGTAAACTTCAATTACAACCTCTGTAGATACGTTACATAAACTTAGATAAACATAGGGAATGAGGAACAGCTCCCACTCTATAATACTGTTTGCAAAAAGAATAAGAATGCGTAGTAAACCTGAACACTGTCAATATAAGTAATTTTTGTGTTATACATGAAAATATGAGCAAACCACTCTCCTGAAAAAAAAGGTCAATTAAACTAAATAAAAGCCCATTTTAGCTGATTTTTTTGTGCATGCATAAAATACATTTGTTGATGAGAAATCACTTACTTAACATTTATGAATTATTCTCAATCAAACATTATCATAAAGTGTTACTGATAAATGTTTAGTTTCTGCCCCTCCGGCTCCGTCTGGGAATCTAAGTGACTGCTGTGTGACCAATCTGATAATATTTCACTTTATGATTCATTTCAGTCACAAAATATCAGTTGTAAATCACAGAATTCAATCAAAAAGCAGTTAGTTCTGGTCTGAAGTCCGTGTGTGGTGTTTTTTTGGTCCCGTGCTGCAGCTGGAGCCTTAGAGCTTGGCGTGGTCCTTCAGGATGACCTCCAGCTTCTGACTGAGCATGATGTTTCCTCTGATCTTCAGCTTACCCCCGAAGAACGCCTGAACACACACACACGTTCACAAACTTAACATTGTTACAGGTTTCTCGCTTGAAAGACATCTTGCTCTGCTTCAGATTCTCTTGCCAGAACAAAACAAAGCATGCAGTATGGATCATCTGTTTTTTGTCACAGGTTGAGAAGAAATCTACTACATTTCAAAAACAGACAGATTCAGATTCAGTTTATTTGCAGTAAAACCACATTGGAATACATGTGCAAAAGTCCACCAGATGTACGCCTTCTCCTCTCCTAACGTGTCATCTTTTCCAGCTCCTTCCTGATTGGCTGGCTGCCGCAGAGCTCAAAGGCAGCAGGTGATTGATGGCTCTCTCTTTCCCTCTCTCGCTCTGTCACTCTCGTTCTCATCCCAGCCACGTCCTGGGACAGACGTGCCAGTCCACATTCACTTGCTATTGTTTGATTTAACTTTGCACACACTCAAGCCTGTACGTATACACAAAAAGGTTATCGTACCGACTATCATTCGCACCGCACACACCACAGCCTGCTACTCACCTACAGAACACAACAGTCAACACTTAAACATACACCAAAGGTCGTCCTACTGATGATACTAAAAAGCTAAAAAGTACAGAGCAAAATCCTTTTAGTGCTTTGTAGAGTCTGAAAACAGCTTGTGGAAAGAAGCTGTTTGCATATTGCGATGTCCTGGATCTCAGCGAATGATATCTTTGATTATTCAGTGATTATTCTAAGAGCTCAGTTTGAAAGTCTGAATTCATGAATAACCTACAGAATAATTGTGGGTTTATTTTTGTTAGTTTGTTATTTATCATTACTTATTTACTTATCTTTTAATATAATGCCATCCATCCATCCATTTTCTTCCCCTTAATCCATTTCTGGGTCGGGGGGGGTGGCAGTCAGAGCTGCACCCAGTACACCCAGCCCCTCACTGATCCTCCTGCAGGTGGTGAGTCCACGCGAGCTGAGATCTTTCAGTGGGGGCTTCAGGCAAAGTGGGGTTAAGTGTCTTGCCCAAGGACACAACGACAGCAGTCATCAGTGGGAGTCGTGAAGTAGGTCTTATGGTGGGCTTGAACCCACGACCTACAGGCCCAAAGGCCAATGCTCTACCAACTGAGCTACTGTCGCCCCTGTTATAATATAATGATGCATGTATAATGTAAATGGGATGTATTTCTATGTCTTAGGGACCAGCTCTGCAAACTGGCTGTAAGCTGTACGGCCTATGAACACAGCATCGGTTCCTTTAACAATGCTTCTTGTTCTGGCACTATCAAATAAACACAAAATAATAATAATAATAAACAGCTCACAGCCATAGACTGTATATATTAACGGACGTAGTCACGCATATCTTCACCGTTCCAACGAATGGGCCAAAAATTGGGCTTTCATGGAGTGATTCAAAATGGCCGCGGGGGCTGGAAAATGTGAAAAAACCCGCATCTGCGCATGCGTCAGCCGGCACAAGCCCCATTCATTTAAACGAGTGACTTCAAAAATTCAGCGAGTAAACTAGACTGGTCCAAAAAAAAAAATCCACCCCCCTCAGCATTGACTCACATGTGGAACGGAGCTTTGGGCCAAGAGCCAACTTTTGGTCCATCCTGTAAAGACGTTTTTGAGAGGTCTGCCAATGCTTTATGTTAGCATTGGCTAATTCTTCTTCTGGTATTGCAAGCATGTCAGCGCATGTCATTTTGGCCACTTTTGAGCCGGGACCCGCCTCCACTGCTCACAGCTCATAGTATTCTTTGCAGAGCGGAGCACCTTGTTTAGAGCTCTCCTCTCTTTGGCTGTAAGTCACTAATGCACTAGGACTGAAAAAACCTGCACTGCTATTTCCACTCTTTCTTTTATTGGCACTTTTTTTTGTACATAATTATATCCTGCACAGACTATATCTTTGACCTTTAACATGTTGCACACTTCTGTCTTTTGCACAAATCTGAGTGATTCTATCCTCACAGAGCTCCAATCTACACATGCTCCAGAAAGGAAATTATCTATTTCAAAATCAATTTCACCGCATTTTGTAAAATCGGGTGTCAGAATAACACAAAAATTTAAATGAACATTAACATAAATTGTCAGAAAACTACACTTTGCACCTGTGCCCGAAAAAACATAATAATTCAGGCACTTATCCCAGCAGCTGACAGGTGCCACACACAAAAACGGCTAATGATACAAATTGTAGCAGTTCGGAAATACTGACCGGACATCAACACCTGGAGACGATGGGATGATGCCGCTGCGTTCACACCAGTTACATTTACCCCTCGTTTTTAAAGCTGGGGGACCTAACTTTCACACTACAAAAACTCCAATCCATGTAACTTGCTCTCCTGGCTCTAAAACAGTTAAGTTCTATCTCTAGTTTTTTCTTTTTACCCGTTTGTATATCTGGCCTCTGTCACATCTTTTAAAAAAAACTAAAAGAGATGACCACCCTCACTCAGCCAATCAGCTCTCAGGGTCAGATAATGACTCACAGGGCTCTTCCTTACAAGTATGCATTTTACTTTTACAAAACTCAGAAGCCAGAGCTGTGGACAAGGCAGTCATTTAAATCCGCAGGATAAACTCCAGAGAGCCACAAGTGTCATATCTTGAAGCCATATAAAATAGCAATATTAATAAAGAGGATAATAATAATAATAATTCAGATGTTAAGAACTCCTGGTGCACGACACAACTTTTCCAAAAGGCGAATCTTCTTAGAAATCAAAAATTCTAAAATTAAGGGTTACTTATTACTCTTAAGGCTGCACTTTATACACTGCACTGGTGTTTTTTGACCCGCGTCGAGCCAGGACAACAGTAGACCGTTTTTTTAATCCACTGTCAGCTTTTAAAGGAGTCAAAACAAACGTAAGATTAAGAGATCCATTTGTTCAACAGTGGGAAAATTTCAGTGTTGCATCGCCAGTGACAGAAAGGTAGGAATGAGAAGCACACGATACAAGATAAATGAACAATAACACTATACTGTGATAAAATCAAATCTCTAACTTTTGTATAAAATCTCTAGTTTTAGCATTATAAGGAAGCAAATCTAAAATCTCCAACTCAGTCAATCTCAATCCATCTGTCCATCCATTTTCTTCTGCTTTATCCAACCCCTCCAACATCATGGGAGAGACACCCAGACTTCTCTCTTCAGTCTTCTCACATTATCGTTCACCACGGCAAGCTTAGCACCCATTATGCAAAGTTATACACAACCAAGTACTGTACATAGAGGTGTGGGTCCTTTCCATTTTTCTATTTTAAAAAACCCCCAAACATAAGACCAAACATTAAAACCTTTCCGTGTGCAGTTCTGATGCTCTTGACCCTGGTAAAGTGTGATCAATACTCTGAGAATCTCATAAAAGCAGTTTGTGATGCTCCGGTGAAGGATGGTACTCCCCAGACACCGGAACGAGGCGCCGCAGGCTTTTAACCAGCACTTTTTAATATCTGACATCCAGTATTAGACGGGCGGAATAATCCCAGACTAGATCAATGCCACTGGTTCACTGCAAACCTCCCTTTGACTGCAATCTACATGAGCAAAATAAAACACTAGTAAAAATGTTGGTGCAGAGACAAGTCGGTTCATAGGTGAAAGTACATCACACCATTCTATAGTTTGATCAGATTCACATTTTTAAAGTGTTTGTATAACCTGGATAATGATCATCCAGATATCTGCATGACTAATATGTGACTGGTAGACCCATTAGTCACAACTGTTTAACTTTAACCTTCTAAGGAATCGTTAAATGAGATTATGAATTTTTTTACATCTCAGTTAATTTTGTCTTATGTTTAAGGCTTCGAGGGTTCTTTTAATAAGACAAAAAAGTCACCTCTAACAAAGACGGGAGTAATTAAGCAGAACTAGCTTTCTTTACTTTTTTGTCCTTTTAAAAGAACCTTCTAAGCCATTGGAGGAACTGTATGTTTGCTGTTTGTTAAATATTGTATTTGGTCCTTTATATGTGCCTGAATTAAAGAAAAAATAAAGAAATTATGGATTGTCATTTGGATTATGAATTGGCAGATTATTCATTAATCGCCTCCATTTCTCCAGATTATTATCATTTTGTTTTTCCTCAGTCTGAAGTTAAGGTAAAGGTGCACTTTATTTATCCCCGTAGGACAAATCCTCATCTGCATTCGACCCATCCTGACCCAGCCAGTAGGGTATCAGGAGCAGTGGTCGCCGTAGTAACAGCGCCCAGGAACCCATCTCCAGATGCTGATGTTCGGCTTGGTCAGGACTACCGCAGCTGGATTTTTTTCTTGATGTTCATGTTTTTAGTAGGAAACCGAAGCACCCGGAAGAAAATCTACGCAGGCCCGGGGAGAACATGCAAACTCCACTCAGAAAGACATTATTCCGACCGGGATTCAAACCTGGGACCTTCTTGCTGAGAAGCGAGAGTGCTATCCACTCAGATTATCCCAAATTATGAGACGAAAGAACAGTTTTTTGGTTAAGTTAAGTCTAGTATTGAGTCTGCAGCACTGATACCTGGCTCTAAAACGTTCAAATAAGTAAAAACAAACCAACACAAGCAACTTTCCCAAATGTTATTTCAAAGATCAATGGTTCGAGAGAGAGGACAAAATCATTTCCTTTTCCTCGTCTACTGTACATCCATATTCTACTATGACATTCTGTTGGTCCGGCTAAATGAATGAAGGAATCGATACTTGTCAATTACCTGCTGGGGGTTGAGTTTGCCCTGCACCACGCTCATGAAGTCGTCGTCAGACACCGTGAAGGTTACGTCGGCCTTTCCGCTGTAGGGCCCTTTGTGCACGGACCCGCTGCCGCTCTTCAGATCAATGGCTGCGGACGGAGACGCAGAATTAATCATGAGCTACTGTTGTGATCGTGCAAATGCCCGGTCACAGCAAAATACTGCTGTAGGAGAATACGGAGCTAAACTAACTGTCTCTCTGTATCTGTACCTGTCTCTGAGTGTCTGCCTTTGTCTCTCTCTCTGTCTCTCTCTCTCTGTGTCTCTCTCTCTCTCTCTGTGTCTCTCTCTCTGTGTCTCTCTCTCTGTGTCTGTCTCTCTGTGTCTCTCTCTCTGTGTCTCTCTCTCTGTGTCTCTGTCTGTCTGTGTCTCTGTCTCTCTCTCTGTCTCTCTCTCTGTCTCTCTCTCTGTCTCTCTCTCTGTCTCTCTCTCTGTCTCTCTCTCTGTCTCTCTCTCTGTCTCCCTCTCTGTCTCCCTCTCTGTCTCCCTCTCTGTCTCCCTCTCTGTCTCCCTCTCTGTCTCCCTCTCTGTCTCCCTCTCTGTCTCCCTCTCTGTCTCCCTCTCTGTCTCCCTCTCTGTCTCCCTCTCTGTCTCCCTCTCTGTCTCCCTCTCTCTCTGTCTCTGTCTCCCTCTCTGTCTCCCTCTCTGTCTCCCTCTCTGTCTCCCTCTCTGTCTCCCTCTCTGTCTCCCTCTCTGTCTCCCTCTCTGTCTCCCTCTCTCTCTGTCTCTGTGTGTGCGTCTCTCTCTTTTCTGTCTCTTCTCTCTCTCTGTCAGGATGACAAGGGACACTGAAATCCCCACAAAATCCGACATTTGTGAAAGCTGCAATTTTCGGGTCAGATGAGGACACGTTGTTTTCGTTTACATTGAGGTCTGTGGGGAAATCTCCTACAGCCCATGATGTCGTGCTTAAATGAACAAGACAGCCACTTTGTTCGTGTTGAGACGGGTTTAAGCAATTGGAATCACATTATAATGGAATACAGTAAGAAAAGCAAGGTTAACATTTTCACACACATTTTTAAAAGCCCAAACTTTGAAGATAAAGTTTGGGTTTTTGGGCTACTTACACGGCTTCTTGTTATGTTGTCATTATGCAAACTATTGTCCCTTGTCTAACTGTTGTGTAGTTTTATAACCACCTGACCCACATTGCATACACTAAATTACCGATACTACTACATATTTCATGGACAACAGTTCTATACAGTTCAACACTGTTTAATAAGAAGTGTGTTGAACCAGGAAGTGGCCGACATATTTCTGACATACCACAGATATTAATTTTCCAATGCGGTTTAACGGCAAAATGGCAAATAAAATGAATCTGAATCTGACAACTCTGAACTTTCGTCTGCATGGCACTCTTTACGTGTTGAATATTTGAAATCTCAATGTTGCTTTATAACGGTCTAATAAAATATACAACTCTGTGCCTGCCCCTTATACAACATATTGTCATTACAACATTGATTTAAAGTGCCAAAATGCCTGTGCGATACTGCCAATCCATAAGCATAAGAAAAAACAAAACAAAATATGTGGTAAAGGTGGCTGTTGTGTCTCTATAAGAACAACTGGAGTGGAGGAAGGAGAAAGGAAAATATTTATATAATGTCTATAAACGCCAATCCAAATGCAAAGCCGCACATCAGAACCCCTTCAAGACAAATCCAAGTCTCTCAATTGTGATGATTGAACTCACTCCACTGCGCCGCGTTCTGCCCGTTCTTGGTGATCTCCCATCCAAACACTGCGTTGACCTTTTTGACCAGCTCGGCGCCCGCATCTTTAACCCTCCGGCCAATCTCCGCGAACACCAGCTCGCTCTGCAGCCCTCCTGTCTGCAGCAGAGTCAGACATCGCACTTTCAATCAGGGGGCATTTACAGGACTGTGATGGCTTATGACAGAGACGATACTCCAGCTGACATAACAGTAAATACTAGCAATATTTGAAGCTGGGGTACCTAACTAGAATTCTTCCATGAATATAAAATGTCCCAATAGAAAGAGTCAGGCGAAAGTAGCATCATGCCTTTATCTAAAACATTTTACATACTTTGGGCTGAGAGCTCATTGGTCCTCTCTTTTTTCACTTTCCTGTCTGAAAAAGCTGATCTAAGTATGTGACAGAGGCTAAAATATGCATGTGAAAACTTCAGTGGGTTCAAAGTCATGTGCCCCAGCTGTAAGTGGGTTGTACACTATAAATATTGAATCAAGCGTTAATTTGACAAGCTTGTCAAAGTAAATTTGAGTTACCTCCGGGAGTTTTTCGGGTGCAGCGTCCAAAGCTGGGTGTAAATCCACATAGGCGCCGGAGAGAACAATGTCGTTTGTCTCCTTCACCTTAAGAACAACAAATTAAATGTATTTCTGTTCATGGGATGAATAAAAAGGACTGGTGGACTGATAAAGGCACAAACTTTGCATTGGAGGTGTATCCGGTTGCCCTCCTTCCACATCTCTGTCTGGAGAGACTGTCCCGGCAGCACTGGCTTCAGGAAACGCACCTAAACAACAAGTCGAGGCAAATGAGACACTTTGAAACAGAACCGAGGAAACCAAAGTCAAAATTTTGGGATATCTGATAAGAAATAGTTAAGATTATATACGCTCCGAGCTTATTCAGCCCAGAAACCTTGGAATGCTTTAACAACCTTGTCGACATTCACCTTAATGTGACGACTTTTCTCAGCTCCGATGTTATAATAATATATAACAAAAAACTTCTATATAAGATCCTAACGTATATGATACTTTATTATAAGACAGACTGAAGGGAATACAGACTCCAGTAACCCTTCCTTCTATAAAATAAACACCAGATCTATACTGTTTTTTCCCCACTGCAGACCATGACTGCCCAGGACAACAGTGAGGCAAAAAAGGTTAAAAAACAGACTTTCTTTCAAACCTTCTAAAGTCACAGGTGCATCCAGGACCCCAGGGTAATGGACTACGGCAAGCCTATCATCCAAATGGAGGTATATGACCATTTACATGTTTTTTTTAGGACAACTCCATAAACGAAAGAAACGCTCAAAGCTTCACTGGTTACCGATTTGCTTTCACACTCCAGTTCGGGATGCTCAATGTTTAAGTTAGAGAGCCACCCTGTGTTTTTGTAGCATGAGAATCCCCAAGATGTGTGTGACAAACTGCAACAATACTCTAATAATGATAGTTTTTACAAGAACCTGGAACAATACAAGTGGCTCACAAAATACTGCTCTTATTTATTTGAAGATTCATTGTTGTGATCTGGCGAGCTCACGGCAAAAGCACCGACAATGATCTTGTTCAACATCTGTACGTTTACCTTTTGGATATTTTGTATGTGATCTAAGTGTCTCTTGCTGAGCCTTACATCAGATCTGAAAACTTTATTATTCAGAAAGAACATAAACATAATTATAGTTTTGCATGTAGCCAGAGCTTGCTCACTTCAAACACAATTACTGCTGGACTTTGGACATCTATTGGTTCTTAAGAAATGTGTAAATATGCAACTCCAAGTGGCCATATGTTGAATACAAACAAACATTGCTGTGCGAACGTGAATTTCTATTAGCACTTGCATCGCAGTCAGTTTTCTCCTTTGGTGCAGAGAAATTCAATGGACTCATGACTCACCTAAGCATTTAATTCAGAGCGTCTGGAAAGCTGGAGGTGCAAGTATTTACTGCAAGATTTATGAAAAGATGAGCTGGTTTGGAACATACGCACCTTGATGGCCTTAAATCTGGCTGGGTCGTTGTTGGCGTACTGCTGTAGGACATGTCTGGCCGCAAAACCGAAAGAGCACAGGCCGTGGAGGATTGGCTGCTTGAAACCTAACCAAAGAGCATATTTAAACACGGCACCATGAAGAATGAATGAGATCAAAACATCCTGTGCACCAAAACTCGCACGGAGAAATAGAAGGGGAAAAAGAAGTGGCTGTTTTTTGGGTAGACTGACCTCCCATCGCTGCAAAACTCGGGTCGATGTGAAGAGGGTTCCAGTCGCCACTTAAGCGGTATAAGGCAGCCTGGGTCCAGAGAGGGAAAACACAGTGTTTGTTTACACATGCATAATTCATAAGCAAACGCACAAAGCATTAAAGCATCATGAAGGCAGAACAAGATGGTAATGTCTTGGATGTCTCTTAAAAGACTTTACAATGCACTGTTTTGTACATGTTTTATGGATCCGGTCACTTTCTCCCCCTCTTGGCTTGACCGTGTTTCAAACTAATTCCAGATGTCCTTCTTGTCAGAACAAACTGGGAGTTTTAAGAGGGTGTAGCGAACAAAGTGTTTGGCCCAAGGACACAATCATGACGCTTACATGCACAGAAGAACGCTGCATTTGTCTAGCACAGTAACATCGTAGTTTTCCACAAATCGTTCAGACTACTTGTGAGCAAAAGGCAGGTCAAAAACCAAATGAAAAATAGGATGCACTAAAAGCTGGGGTACCAACAATTTTTGTTTCATACATAAATTTATTATTTATCACAGCAGAATGAATCTTGTAAAAGTAACATTCTGTGACAACAAAATAAATCTTATTAGAAACAGGCTATCAGCTCGTAATAGCACTTCTGGTTTGCTCCACATCTCCATATGTAATGATGGGAAGTTATATAAAACACTATCTACAACACCTCAATCCACAAGCTTGTACTGTATTTAAATACTTGTCAATGTGAGAAAGAGTCCTGTCAGTGACGACGGTCCTCTCTTTTCCTGTTTCTGTCTGAAAAAGCTGATCCACAACGTGACCGTGTTATAAAAAAACGATTTTCTGTTTTGAGAGCAAGGAACTTGTTGGATTGATGTCATCTTTGTGGTTTGAAAGTTAGGTACCACAGATGTAAAGAGCTCTCCTCGCTCCCATTCCTGAGGGGTCATATACAAAACATGATCACAGAAAGTCAAACAACAAGTCTGTAACGTCTGAATGGACGAGTTTGTATTTAAATTTAAACAAAGTGCAACATAAACTTTAGGAGGTGTTTTTTTATATACTCAGTTTCATGAAGCTGCTTTTCAAATAACACATTATCCTCAACATTTTATGTGCAATGTTTGTGGTAGTATTTAATTAAAGCGTACAGACTGCTGTCCCATCCATGCTCACCTGGTCTCTGGTGGTGGCGTCGACCATCACAGCATCTGGAGCACGTTTAGGCGGAAGCACCAGCGGCTGGAGGAGGGAGGAATAACACATTCATATCATGAATTACATTTTTGATTACAGTGTATTTATTATTCATTTAATTATTCATTCCAGTACAACGATGACACGGGAAATTAATGTTTAAATAGAAACGACAAAGACAAAGAGCTCAAAAGTAATTTGCACACACAGGCCTTTCACATCCATTCATCAACAGCTTGTTTTATAGAAACAAGAGCTTTATGTTAACAACATTTAACGCTGGACGTTGGACCAAAGTAAAAGGACATTTCATGTGATATACACATACGTTGATCACTTAATGTGTGTATTTGCACATAGAAGCCATTTTGAAACGGCAGACTTGTGTTTTTTGGACTCAAATACAGACATACAGACAATACATTGATTTGTGTGGACGGGATTTGATGCGAGTTCTTCTGGACCTGCGTGCAAAGGTGGGTCTGTGTACGTTTACAAGGGAAGACTTACAGAATAAAATCCTTCATAATCAACATGATGTAAGCTACAGGACAATATTTGTATTGAAATGTGTGTTATTCTAATTTTGTTAGTGGACCATAACCCCCACGGTATTATTATTATCAGTTATCAGTTACAACAGGGGAAAGTAAGAAGAAGAAAATAACATTACTCAAGAGACATGGATTTGTGTTTTGTTTTTGGGGGGGTAAGAGGCAGTGGGGGCGGGTCCCGGCTCAAAAGTGGCCAAAATGACGTGCGCCGACATGCTTGCAAACCACCCCGGGCCGATGGGGGTGGACCCAGAAGTAGAATTAGCCAATTCTAACAAAGCATTGGCAGACCTCTCAAAAACATCTTTACAGGATGGTCCAAAAGTTGGCTCTTGGCCCAAAGCTCCGTTCCACATGTGTGTCAATGAGTGTGTGTCAGTGTGGGGAAGAGCTTGTGTAAATGTGGGACCACGTGGATACAAGAGCGGGCTTATGGGAAACCAATTGTGTCCATTTTGACAAACCACTGCTGAACCACAGCCCTCTGGACTGCATCAGCGCTTTGAGGAGTCATAACAGTCCACTGTGTTTTATTATTGTTTGTCACCATTAAGTTACAGGCCTATATAAATCCTATGACTTTCATATACACCTAATCTAACAACAGACAAATGCTACATTGACTTTGTGTGTCAACCATTTAATCTCTTTGTATCAAGTATAGGCCTATAATATTATTGTTCAGTTGTCCTTTGCTGTAATGCGGTTCAAGTTTCGCAGCCTCGCTTTTTCGCAGATTTTTTGTGGTCAATTGTATGTGCTTTTAAACAGCATGCTTTTTTACAGCGTGCTTCTCATGCGTCATACACAACTTTTCTTCAACTTTTGTGTTTGCCATCCGCCCACAATTCACCATTCACCTCATGATCACTGAGTCTTACGGGATCCTAAACTCTGGAAAACTCGCAGATAATTGGGGTGGAAGTAGTGTTATGATATCAGTGTGCAAACAGTGAGCTGCAGGCGCCTTCATGAACAATTCAATAGACATCAAATCTGCAGTAATACAAAACACACACAACTAGACTTACTTTGGCTTTGTCCGAGCTCCTCTTTCCGCCAAAACCTCCAGCTCCAACCAGGAAGATTGAAAACTGGTTGAAGCAAATTAGTTCATTTCCATTGTAGGCGTTTACTGTAAAGGAAGGAAATAAATCTTATAAGACATTTTGTTTGTCATGATAAGCCACATTTTAACACAATACTTATAAACCTGGAGCATCATATTTGCAAACTTAAAATAGTAAATGAATGGAAAGCAATTGAGAAACCTTACCGTCCAATAGGAGGACAGCACCAGATCCTTTGTCCAGATAATCAGCTATAGTTGCGTGAACCGTCAGGGTACCTGCAGAGTCCAGAGTTTAGTCTTCATCAAATTAGCTTTTGACATTTCTAACTTAGCTTTGCAGCAAAATTATCAGGGAATAAATTGACTTTATTTCCTGACCAAAAACAAACTTGGAGTTGTCTCTAGATCCACTAAACTATTATCAAGAACTTTTGGCACAAACATATAATACTGTCCCTTCTGACTCAAAGCTCCTCAGTCCTCAGCCTCTCACTCCTGTAATAGTGTGATGTCATTGTACCACAACAAGCTCAGAGCCAAGTTCTGCTCATACATTAGCTTTGGTCATTTCTCAGGTGAAATTGCAATCTTTAACATCCCATAGTCGTGTTTGCAGCTGATAACTTTCCAATTTGTTGAGATTCTTTTTTTTTAATTCAACTCTTTCCACCGGTGGTAGCCTGGCCATAGCCATCCGTAAACTCTGATTAATTGTTATTTCCTTATATGTACGTCTGGGTCTGATCCTGGCTGCGGTTAACTCGGTTGTATCCCATCCGACCACTCAATGAGCGGGGGAGGCAGAGGTTGTAGGTCAGTGTCGTGAGGTCAAGAGTTTGAGCCAGATTTGATGGTTGTAGTTTGGCAATGGCGGGGAATGCGATAGCAAAGTAATCCGTTCCGGTTTCGGCTCAAAATATCAAGAAATTGAGGCCGGAGCTAAATGCTGAACGCTAAATACCTCACACCTCACTCGGGCACACTACATACGTCACAGCATACGATTGGTATGATAAGACCAGGCTACTCTGGTGGTAGCAAAGAGAGTTACAGGCTGAAAGAATATTTTACCTTTCATAATGGATTCACAATATATTTTATACTGAAGATATATTTTTAAATTTTTAATGCATCAGATTGAGAAATAATTGTATTGCCATTGGTAACAGGAAGTCACTAGGATTTTTCTTTGGCTCAAGGTGCAAACCAAACAAGTTGTAAGAGTCAAAGAGACAAAGCAAATAGACACCAAGTGTTTTCTGATTCCCTCATAAAGAAGCAGCAAAACTTGAATCTAAAACATGCCAACAAATGTCTCGGTTGAGGCTGAAGTATTGAGAAAAGTGAAAGCTCTGACTTTACCACAAATTATCTAACTTATATGTTCTTTTTATTCATTTCTGTTAAAAAGGATTTGCCATTTTTGTTCTCCATACACGACACTACAACGTTTTGGGTTTGCAGCACTTTCCTACGTGAATATTGCTACCCAGAGACGAAAGGGAAAGGTAATAGAATAACTTTGTGCCTGTTGAACTTTGACTGGTCCCAGTTGTAACATTAAGTTGAGAAAGGGGATGTTAAGAGGAGAATACCTGAAGTGGGCAGTGGTTTGAAGATCTCCAAGTACTGCTCTCCGTGCAACAACTGCAAAGAACAACACACACAGTGACATTTGTATTTGAAGCACAGCAGGAGTAATGATGATGCTTTGCCATAATGATATTAGCAAAGATCAACTGATATATATCGGGCCAATCTTTGTGTTTTTAAGTATTATCGGCTGTTGGCCTTAACTTCGTCCCATCTGACCGATATGCCAATGTCACATCTATTTGTTATCTGTTACATCAATTTTATATCTCATTTTTAAAGGAAACGTTCTCAGGGAAACAACTGCATAATGTATTTCACTCTAAATAACAATCCCAATCCCGAAACCAAACTATTTATCATTTAATGAAAAGAAAAACAAAATATGTAAACCAGTCGACAGTACTCAGCCCTTTTTAACCGTTGGCCCAGTTCTGTTTCAATCCAAGTGTAACTAATTCCCAAACCCATATTCAATAAAAGTAATAATTTTTGCAAAATATCTCCTTAATGTGAAAAAAAATAAACACAAAAATAAGATGAGCAATACACTAAATACTTAAACTTCTTTAAGTCCTCTCGTTCTCTTCTTTAAAACAACCCTATTCAGTTACATTTCCATTAAGGCATTACAAAATAACTTTGAAAATGTTCCTAATTGCTAACTTGCATTAGTCCTTATACTCCACATATAGCAATATTATTATCATTTGCAGCCCTGAACAAAATATACATTTAAAGTAGCAATTTAGAACAAACTTTAAAAACATTCAGCCTCTTTCAGTAAAGTCGATCTTTAATTTAACTTTTACCCGCGTTGGGTCAAAGTTGAGTCCAGGCACGGAGCTCAGGCCTCCCCCCATCAAGGCATCTTGGGCAAGGATGACTCCAAACGTTGGGAGGCAGCTAAACTCTGGATGGTTCTCATACAAAAACCTGCACAGAAATGTACTCTCCAGTGAACCGTGTAAAAGTCGAGCTTTGATAGACTGGCCAAACAGATGAAGGCCAATAAAAATAGCAGGGCAGATGGCTACACGGACATTTGTTTGTGTGCGAGCTTGGATGGTCTTCTATAGCTGAATTCCCCTATGTGCGGGTCAAGGAAAAATGACAGCTATTATCATCGCTTACAATTTCACACGGTTTGCTTTTGTGGCGCCTGAGGGTGCTTTTCACAGACAAACAGGAGCAAATCCTCACCTGAGAGCGTCAGGGTCCTTGGTGGACATGCCCACCCCCAGAGCATAGAGGATGCACTGTGTGTGACTGTAGGTGAACTGTGACGGAGCCATTTTGTATCCCACTGGTGAATCCTGGGGGCAGATATGAACAAAAGGTTACAATAAATTAGCGTATTAATCTGTATTAAAGCTGGGCCTAACTCTCAAACCACAGAAAATTCAATTAAATTTCAATGTATTCTTGTATGGCCCTAAATCACAACCGTAGTTATCTCAGAGGACTTTACAAAAGCGTTGAATACACCAACACAGATCAGAGAATCAAGCAGTTCAACACAAGAAATGCAACGATAAAAAACACATAGAGCCATTGGTCCATGAAGAGCAGATGACCAATGTCCATAAATGATGATTACTGTAATGTCCCTGAATGTCGTTGAATGTTGAGTGTCCTGGATCATTTTGCTATGCACTGTCCTAAAAAGTGCAACTATGTCATATTCATGTAACAACTAAGAGTTTAGAAAAATCACCATTGGTAAGATTTGCTGGAAATTAGAGAATAACCAATAACAAGTAAACTAAAGAAATCCACACAAGGAATATGAAAGTTTTTTCCACGATTGACTTTTCAAAATCTACCCAAATCCACCTAATCAAGACGATATCAAGTTTTATTGGTCCCTGGTCCCAACAACAGACTGTTGACTGTTTTTGAAGGTGTGAGTTATATCGTTGGTATGAGAGAATGTGTGCAAGTTGAAAATGATAATGCATTTTACTTTCATAAACTGTTGTCCGTGTTAATGTTTGCATTGTTTATGTTGACATTTCTCAGTCTCTTGCACGTTAACTGAAATGTTCATTAGCTGTACTAAAGAGCTCTGATAAATAACCAACAATTGCATTATTCAGAAAGGCCAATCCGAAACTAAAAAAAATCAATAGCCGACAAGATGGGAAAAGGTGAACAGCTCATACTCTCTGAGCGGTGTGATTTATTCAGTGTAATTTTACCGCCTCTAGACTTTGAGGACTCATGGCATTTAGAATCAGCATTTCACCAGTGTGCTCTCGGGACCCGAGACTTCAAAATAAACAACACATTTTGAACAGATCCCAAAAGCACAGACACTTTGATTTGTGCTGGCAGTGCTGTTATCGATCCTGGAAAATTAACTTGGGGGGAAAATGTTAAATTAAGCAGCTATTAACAAAACTTGATTTTTTGAAACGAGAACGAGGCGCCATGGCAGTGTGTTAAAAAGGCTAATTTAAAACGCTTTGGTGAATCTGTTGGAAACTCATTACTTAGAAATGAATTAATGTAATAGCTTAAAGTGGAATAACAATTGAATATATCTTTGTAGAAGCATTGGTACTTGGTGCTGGTCTGAAAAATAATGTTCCAGATGTATATTGTGACCCGTAATAAGTGTTGATGGCAATTTAACTTATTTAAATGAGAATTCAGGCTTTTTAAAGTAACCTTATGTAGCTTGCCATCTCACCGGTTTAACAAACTAAATCAAATCAATTACTTACTTCAAAACCTGTACTGTAGAAACACAACTTCACAGGACAAAATTACAAACTCTGATAAACCTTGCGTACAAAACCAAACCCACTTCACCCATTCCACACAGATGATTGGGAACAAAATTGTCTAAAAAAACATGACATTAGAACAGTAACACAATTTCATATATGATGCAAGGCGATCAAACACTTGCACAAGACACAGGCCCAAACACTCTCTGCCCCTACATCTCTCTCCCACTTCTCACTCTGTGCTAAAGGCATCGCTCTCTTCTTCAGTCCTACCTTTTAAAACAGTTTTTGAAATGTAATCAGGATTGAACGTGTTTAATAATCCTGTATGTTATAAATTCTAAATCTAAGCATACACACTTTTCTGTTTCCTCTGATGTTTGTAAGCATCACGTTTTGAACATTAGCTGACCGAGCGAATCCAGGTCCTCTGAATATCATTTGAGCAGTTAAAGTTAAATCAGTTCCTGCAGTTTCTTTAGATTCTAGGAACAATGTGTTTGAACATTAGAAAGAATCCTAAAGTCTCATCTCTGTGTTCAGCTCACACACACGTCGCTTCTCCTGCTCTGATCATTGCTGAGGTTTAAATACAGACCAAATTAACTGGATTTCACCAAAGAAACTGACAACGTAAATGAGACCCTCTTGTGATGTCAATTCTGCTTTCCAATTTAATAAAGGTTAAATAAATAATAATGATAAATAAAAATCAAGCTAAAAAAACATTTATCATAATGTAACCATCATGACCCCTATTGTTTGTAATTACAAAAAAAATCATGATGAAAATGTTGATCAGAACCTTAACCTTCGACCTTAAATAGAAGATAGAAATGTGATTAAACATTAAAGTAGCAATATGTAAGATTTTCATGGTTTTTCACTGGTTTTGGTTACATGGACAGTCCCCAGTAATCACAGATATTAAAATAAATGTAATCATAATTGGCAACAGCCTTTCATTGACTTTTATCTATATGAAATAAATGTTTGCCTGATACAATGCTCCAGTGTGGCAGAGGGAGACAGAAGACAAAACACAGGAATATTAATTTCAGCGAAAATGTGAAATAATGTTGGTTTTTGAACCAGTTTTTTTAGGTTGGTTTGAAAACATAAAGAACATATTTTGCTTCCTTATTAGAAAAAAAACAATTCATAACTGGATCTCATGTTCTAATATGCCGTTATGTAATTCAACACAGCACATGACATTTCAATCAACAATAAAATGTATTTCACTAATCTCTTTGTTTGTTACAATGGCAGCTTTGTAAACCACAGCTCAGGACATTAATGCAGAGAAAAAGTATGAATCACCGTGACCTCTGAGCTGGGGAAGAGCTCCAGAGACACTCTTTAATTAAAACTGCATTAAAACGTACTGTGGATGATATCCTGATTTGAAAACCACTTTGAACTGAAAGCGGCCAAGACCCCAGATAGTAGTGTTTGTTTTCACAGACGAACGGCACAAAGAACCTACACAACCTTCCAGCAACACAAATACTGCATATGGCCTTGTTTTATGGGTTATTAGAAGTTATTGTGCAGCTCATGATCCAAACTACCCCCAAAATGAAGTGGTGCTTCTGTTGTTCTATTCTGAGCTTCACTGAAAATAATGTTAAAATCCTCCCAGAGCTTTTGAATCTTGCTGCAAAATATCTCAAAAGACACACGAACCATGAAAAAACATAACCTTCTTGGCAGAGGTAATTACAAAACAGCATCACATCCATGCATCTTCGTCCACTGATTGTGTGGCAGCTGTCTGGGAGTGCTGCTCAGACTCCCCCCTTCCCAGACACTTGTTCCAGCTCATCCAGGGTAATCCTCAGACATTGCCAACCCTTCCAAGAGAGCTGGGATGGAAATGGCCACAGAGGGGTTCAGAAGGCATCAAAAACAGCTGGATCCTCTCAACCTCTCCTCCAAGCTTCTCCCTTGTGACTGTGCTCCTCCTAAGAGAGCGTGTTGTATTTGAAATCTTATTCTTATGTTATTACCAAATACTCATGACCATAGGTGAAGGTGGATTGACCGGTGAATGTGAGCCGTAAGAGTCTGATACAACGACCGCTGCACCTTCATTTCAATCTCACGCTCCATCCTTCCTTCACTTACTCAACCAAATTGTTGTAGATTTTTCTTAACTGCAAGATTCCAACTGTTATTTTTACATTATTCAAGAAAGGTCGGATTTGCTCCTTTTCGTTAATGGGGTTAAAGTAAAAAAAAAAAAAACACTGAAGAGTAGAAGATGAAAAGTACCTCTGTCTACAGCAGTGTTCCCCAACCTTTTTGAGGCGTGGCCAGTGGGGGCAGGTCCTAGCTCAAAAATGTCCAAATTGACGTGTGCTGACATGCTTGCAATACCACCCGGGGCCAATGGGGGTGGGCCCGGAACAAGAATTATTCAATGCTGATGTATAGTATCTTCTTGCCTCTTAAAAACACCTTTACAGGATGGTCCAAAAGTCGGCTCTTGGCCCAAAACTACGTTGGACCAGTCTAGTTTAGTCGCTGTGGAATTTTGAAGGCCATTTTGAAACTGCTCATAGACGTGGTGGTACATTAGTTTCAATGGTGAGGATAGGCGTGACTACGTTCGTTAATATTTACAGTCTATGGGCGTGTCACACCTTTATCAATGAAAACCATCACATGCCACACCAGCAGCTGAAACTGAAATACATCTCTGCACCTTTATTAACAAAGTCATTCTCCTCAAAGTGTATTATAGAGAAAATCCAATAAGTCTTTCTAATCTTCTCACATTATTTAATAAACAACATAGAACTAGAGCTGGGTCTCAAATGCACCAAACCACGGAGAGAGCGACTGAACGGACCGCTCAGTCAGCTGAGGACACTGGAGCCTGTTTGTCCAGAGGGAACATTGTGAGCCGCTCAAATCTCTGGTCCAGACACAAACTCACACTGCTTATAGTTATGACAGGGACAGGTTGTGCAATAATTCAGCTGCACTAAAGGGTTTCAAGACGTTCTTTCACATTCTAAAGGGCTAAGCAGACTAGTGACGCGGTGGACTTTAATCATAACTTCAGTCAATGGAGAACTCTGTTTGCAAATTGCGAGTGAATGGACGTAAAACACAACTTTTTAGACCTCGCCTGTGAGTTTTTGGCTTTTTCTGCTCATTTCCATGACAGTAGCACAACCCAACAGACATCAGCAGGTGATTAAGAGCCAAGTTATTTTTTCTATTTCATCACCATGAACTGTGTACCAGGAAATACTGTCACACAAAATATCCAGGGTTTCCTCAGCAGCAAACAACAAATGTGCCTTAAGTAAATATCAGAGCTGATCTATTGAGCCAAAATAAACGCTATGTTTGTGCAATGTGACATTTACAGCACAAAACATCTAATGCATCATCCGCCATCTGTCAATGACAATTCCAGAGCTTTAGTTACGAATGAAATGTCGAGCGGGGGACATGTCTCATGTAATATTGATGTTTGTCAAAACTAAGGCAATTATTGATGGGGTCAAAGATCCAACTGTAAATTATGTTTGAAAGTTGAATTTAGAGGACAATATGAATACATCCAGGAGACTGAATATTTAGGTCTGAACTGGGGCCCTGCAGTGCATTGATGTATAGCATGTAAAAAATAAAATGTAATATTTTGTATTTTTAAAAAAGCTTTCCGTTTTAAAGAAAAAAACTTGGCATTATATTAGTAGGAGCTCTCAGTAGAGCTGCTGCACGTCCCATTGGGTTAAAATACTCCACTTACCTTTGAGTATTTAAACCCTTGAGAAAATGTTTGCCTTTTGAGTACATTTTCTCAAAAAGTCATGATTAAACCCAGGCATTCATGCTTTTATATCCTTGTGTAACTGTACTCACAGTTACGTGTTCTGAAGTGGCAGCTGCAGAGGTGGGAGGGGCTCCGATGTCTCCCCCAGACTCCACTTCAGACAGAACACCCACCAACGTTTGGAGCGACTCTGCGGAAAGAAGACAGATGAGGTCGAGCCAATCAGAGCACAGAGCAGATCAAGAGCTGTCACAACAAATCACAACCTCCTGAAGTGATAACCGCTATTGCGACCAGTGAAGTTGAGGATGTTTTTCCTCTTTGTGAAATGTTTTGTCTTTAGAATGATACCGAATGGCATTGCAGGATGCTTGAAAAACAGACCATTACCTCAAATAAAATTTTGCTCCGTAAGTCGCGACCAACCCACTCAGTATTCATGATTTATGAATATAACCATTTTAATAACTGTTTCCATCTCATGGTGAACATGTACATTTCACGCAGCAGTCTGACTCAGGGTTCAAACTGCAGAAAACGTTCAAGGTAAATACACTCACACCCAGGTGCTCCTCGTCCACTGATAGTCATTTTTATTATTGAAACATAGTCAAAACATGTGTTTCTGATTTAAGTCATCTCATCATACATCAAAGACTATTTCTGATCATATTCTTGTCAAAAGACTGAGGGACCCGACAAAGCTGAGTACACAAGAAATTCAGTGGAAGATCTTGATTCTTTTACTCAAATCAAAAGGTTAGCTTTTCAAATTACCATAGATTGTTTTGCATAAGGATGCTATAGTGGATCTCCATATCGACTTCACTTCCTCACAAATAATTTGACAAATATAATATTTTCTTATTGCCAAACTTTCCCCGAGCAAGGACACATGAGTGAGTATAGGTAAAACTCATGCTTCCTGTCCTGCTGACTGAGTTTCACTCTGTCCTTTTTGATGGATTATTGATGTATTTTCAGTAGAAAAGAGGATTAGCTTTAAATAAGTTGGAGGTGTGGAAACGAAATAACCCAAGATTTTAGAAGTAGCCTAATTTGAAACTAGAGAATATAATTAAAAACAACTGGGAGAGTGAAGCAGAGGGAACCTATGAATACTACTAATTACTACAGCTCGAGTGATAGGTGATTACAGAAGCGGCTCAGCAAGTGTGTAATAAGCTACAAATGAGGCACTACAAAGCCATGCTAATGAGGAGGGCTAGTGCCCTGTGGGACCACCACCCCCAGCAACTTGTGTTAACACAGCCCCGCTCCATCATCTACACAAAACCAACAACATCAGACACACACTTGTTGGATGAAGGCGAGATGGAGATGTTCCAGTTGGCTTAAACCAACTTGCAATATAGGGCTGCAAGATTCACCGCAATGGAATTGAAATGTGAGTGGAAGCAATTAAGACTTCAATTATTTAAGTTCCTTGGCAAAAAAGGGACTTAAATCATTTGTATGCAGCCTGTGTACAAACCATGAAATATTCTTTAAAATGTCTGTACATACTGATTTTAGTATAAATTGACTCAATATCTTTTGTCTTATTTTAAGGCGCAGGTGCATCTTTTTGTGGTCAAGGGGAGGAGTGTGGAATCTGACCTGCATATCATACTGTGGACCACTGTTATTACTGTTATTTGTACTACACTCTAAACATTATCATCTAAAGAACTGAATGTATTTGTTCTGACCCACATTGTTACTACAGTCTCTACATGTTCAGCCGAGTCATTAATATCTGAAGTGATGACGTCTCTGTTCTTACTGTATGCACATCGAGACAAATCATATAAAAAGCTTTGTCTCCTTTTGTTCGATCTGAAGAGACACGAAAATAAACCGGGTTATTGGTGCGACCGCTGCTGCATCCGTCTTCATTTCTCTACATTTGTTCTAAGTGGGAAATGTCTTTGTTTAGCTTGTTCCAACTCCCATCACACCAAAACAATAAAAACAACAAACAAAACTGTAGCATAATGTGTTTTGTCTTTTCAAATTCAACACTCAGTAGTTTTTAGATGACTTTTAGAATATTGTGAATTTAAATCGTGCGGCTCTATTTAGGCTATATTTAGGACCTAGTGCATATGACCGGGTTACACTCCTGGGCATGGAGCGGCTGTTTCAAAATGTGTTGAGCATACATTATCTGCGCAGGAAAATGCTTTTGAAATTTCTACATGTAACACAATTCCATTTTATTTACTATTGCACTATTCCACTAAACAATAAAAAAACCATGAACCTCACCTCCAACTGTGGAGATCTTATCTGCATTTGTAAAGTCACTGATCTTGTCCCACTGGTCTCTCACATCCTCTGGACTCATCTGGTGGGTCTTATGTCTCACAATGGCCCCTTTTGTTCGCTCCCAACGCACTGCATACATCAACGTCGGCATATTTCCAAACACAGTCAAGTAAATGGGTAAATACACAAACAGTTACTTACATTTTCCAACCCATCCTGCACCAACCTTTGGAACAATGGAAGTGTGAAAGTCGTGCTTTGAAAGAATAACATGAATGAAAGATCAATACCTCGAACAGTGAGCCGTTATCCAGACAATCCTCATGACTGAGCCAAAGGACCAGAGGAGCCACATACTCAGGCTTTAGATTCTCCAGCAGGTCTGGAAAAGAGCATTCATGAATTCATACTGTAATACAAGCCTTCAACAGCAGTAGCAATGAGTAATAGGTATGAGATGGTTTAAGATTGGACAAATATATTGAATAAACAATTTCACTTATTAAGATACAGTGCCTTGCGAAAGTTTTTGGCCCCCTTGAACCTTTCAACATTTCTAACACCTGGATACGTCTATTTGTGAACCATTCCATTGTAGATTTGGTTTTATGTTTTGGATCATTGTCCTGTTGGAAGATAAATCTCCGTCCCAGTCTCATGTCTTTTGCAGACTCCAACAGGTTTTCTTCCAGAATGGTCCTGTATTTGGCTCCATCCATCTTCCCATCAATTTTATCCATCTTCCCTGTCCCTGCTGAAGAAAAGCAGGCCCAAACCATGATGCTGCCACCACCATGTTTGACAGTGGGGATGGTGTGTTCAGGGTGATGAGCTGTGTTGCTTTTACGCCAAACATATCGTTTTGCATTGTGGCCAAAAAGTTCGATTTTGGTTTCATCTGACCAGAGCACCTTCTTCCACATGTTTGGTGTGTCTCCCAGGTGCCTTGTGGCAAACTTTAAACGAGACTTTTTATGGATATCTTTGAGAAATGGCTTTCTTCTTGCCACTCTTCCATAAAGGCCAGATTTGTGCAGTGCTCGACTGATTGTTGTCCTATGGACAGACTCTCCCACCTCAGCTGTAGTTATCTGCAGTTCATCCAGAGTGATCATGGGCCTCTTGGCTGCATCTCTGATCAGTCTTCTCCTTGTTTGAGATGAAAGTTTGGAGGGACGGCCGGGTCTTGGTAGATTTGCAGTGGTCTTATACTCCTTCTATTTCAATATATCTTTTGGGAAATCTTTTGTATCCAAATCCGGCTTTAAACTTCTCCACAACAGTATACGGACCTGCCTGGTGTGTTCCTTTGTCTTCATGGTTCTCTCTGCGCTTTAAACAGAACCCTGAGACAATCAAAGAGCAGGTGCATTTATACGGAGACTTGATTACACACAGGTGCATTCTATTTATCATCATCAGTCATTTAGGACAACATTGGATCATTCAAAGATCCTCACTGAACTTCTGGAGTGAGTTTGCTGCACTGAAAGTAAAGGGGCCGAATAATATTGCACGCCCCACTTTTCAGTTTTTTATTTGTTAAAAAAGTTTAAATTATCCAATAAATTTCGTTCCACTTCACGATTGTGTCCCACTTGTTGTTGATTCATGACAAAAAATTAACATTTTATATCTTAATGTTTGAAGCCTGAAATGTGGCGAAATGTTGAAAGGTTCAAGGGGGCCGAACACTGTACTTTACTCAACCAAGACATTTTACAAACAGCGTATCTGACCTTAATAGAGACACAAATATAGCTATGGCAGTACCGCCCCACAGCTGAAACCAAGCATATTGTTTTATAACACGTTTGGCCCCTCCAAAAGTCTTATCAAAGATGTGCTTTGGATAAAAGAGACAAAAAAAATCCTAAATCTACTGATATTCCCTTGCTTTTGTTGCTTTTAAACATAACGCATTCATAATAAATTACTTTACTCAGAAGTTATCTATTCAATGCATATCATTGATTTATATTGAAAAAAGTAGGGGGCCCTCCTGGACATTTATGAACATTTAGGGACACCCTCTGGACCAATGTGTTTCCTGTCTTCACAGTTTTGCAATGACCTCCTGCTGTTGTGATTTAGGGCTATACAAAAAAAGATATTGAATTAAATCGAAACGGGGACTATAACAAATTCAAAAATTGTCGCATTTTGGCTTGCATGCTTTGCACACAAACAATATGATGAGAACCACCCAATGTCATGTTGCTAAAATTGCCCATCCAAAATATAACAAATAAGCAGCGACAGACAAGAGGGACTGTGGTTGTTTGCCTGATCTATGTTTAGTAAGTGCAGAAAGTCTGAGTCAGTGGAAGTAAACATATGGAGGGGAGTCATTACTAAGGTGAGCCCATCCCGAGACAGTTGGCAGAGCTCAGCGTGACAGATGCTCGTGTGGTCCGGCACGGCAGGCAAACAAAAGTGCCCCTTTAATTTCTCAGCTAATGTCTGTTTCTCCCTAGCAGTGTCAGGATGTTCAGGATATTATGAGCATATATCAGCAGGCAGCGGGGGACTGGAAGGTGCTGAAGCAAGGACACCTGAACAACATGCAAGAAGCACTGATCCCATATGTAGCATTCAAGTGACACTTCCAACATTAAGTTCAACATTAGAGCAATCAAACCAAATTTAAGAACTAATTTGTTATTATTCAATGATTCTACATGTGACGGTCATGTCCTTCTTCTTCAAACAATTTGGAATGAGTAAAATTTTGAAATTCTGGGAAAAAAAATCCCCCCTGCATATAATTTTATATATTAACATAAATCTATAAATATCATATAATACCTTTAAATAGATCTGCTGGGCCTGTCTAATCACAGAAGGTGCAGTCGATAGACATCATCTTTGCAGAAGAATTAGAGAACATTTAGTGAAAATGACATTGACATACATCTCATTTTCAAAACTCAATGGGACTCTCTACTACACAGCGGCAGCGCTAAACTTAGACTGAAGCCAGGCATCATGTCATGGAGAAGAGTTTTGCCCAAGGACACAGTATACACACTTAATGAACTACAATTACAACAACTACTCTACCACTTCCCAGAGAAAAGTGAGAAGTTCCCATGTGGCACGAGTTCTTCTTTATACTGTTAAAGTGTGATTTGACCGATATTTGTGAGAAAACAAATACAAACACATACTGTAGGTACATAAGCTTCTTTATCACCCTCTTCAGTCGTCACATACAAGGGTGAAGTGCAAAGGTGGCACATGAATGACTGTGATTGTAAGTTGGGCCATGCACAATGCGAGTTACTTAATGATTTTTTGCTTATCATGCGGTTCTACAGATGTGTAATTGCTCCAAAAAAATTTCTTGTGAATACAAAAAATGTGCTTATGAGCACAATAAACAGATCGATGCACTCGTCTTCCCTTGACAGTTGGAAAATAAGGTTTTTGCCTTAAGAATTTCACTTATGACTCACTAAATGATATTGAAACATTGCCATTTGTAAACTGAAATCCACTCCTTTATTCCAAACCCACCACCCAGAATAAAACAAATGTTAATGCTCCAACCCCCTTCTCTTCGCTCGACGTCTCTGTTGCATATTCATCTTGTGGTTACCTGGAGGCATCACGGTCTCTGTCAGGCGAGATCCAGCCACGGGAGCTATGGTGTTGCAATGCACGTTGTATTTTCCCCCTTCAATGGCCAGAGTATTCGCCAGTCCGAGCATTCCCAGCTTGGCCGCGCTGTAGTTAGCTTGCCCAAAGTTTCCGTAGATCCCCGCAGCAGAAGTGGTCATGATGATTCTGGCCACAGACAACCCCAAGGCAACACATCGGAATTAATGCAGAGTGACGGTTATAGTCGTATAGTAATAATGGCATCCCCCACAGACACACACACACACACACACTCCCATGTGTGTGGTTCAAGTCGCAGCAGTTTGCATATTCAGCTATCTCATCATGAAAAGCTCAAGAGGCAAATGCAGTCACTATGTTGTAAGTTTACAACTAGACAGCTGACTAGTCAAGTATAGACTGGTCATAGAACATAGAATACAAACTGTACAAATATCATGTACCTAATGTATGCTAACTGTGCATGTTTGAGTATTCTCTTGACTGTGACTTGATACGGTTTTTATATGTATATATTTATTTATGTATTTATTTTTCATTTATTCATATATTTCAGGCAATAAAAAAAAGAACGTGATAAAAAAGAAAAGGACATACAATCCAGCTCTGATTATCTGCGAGACAGCTCGTTTCAAAGGTCTCCCTCAGTCATTAGGCCCTAAGCCCTCGTGTTGCACTGTTATGAACTTGTGGTAGATTAAATATTCAGGTGGTCACGTTCACAATATTCAGGACATTCTTAGATGCCAGAATAACTCAACAGAACTCTCAGATCAGTGCTGGTTTATGGCTGAAATCACTGGAATTACAGTTTATCAAATATAGCGTTCAACACTTATTTTTCACGCAATTTGTTGTGTTTTATTTCCTCCGGTAAATATGCACTAGTTTGATTAATACAGTATACAGTGTGTATTCAATTCAATTCAAACAACTTTATTTACCTGCCAAACTTTTGTTTTTTCATATGATTCCAAGCTGCTCTGGTCACCAAAAAGGAGCCCCTCAAGTGTACTCTGTGGACAATATCTGGAACATGAAGAAAAATACATTTATGGAATATTGTGAAGTCTGTCAGTCAACTTATTCGTCTTAATTAAAGCTGAAGAACCTAACTTTGAATCCACTCAGATTAACAATGTCATTTCCAACTCAATCCTCACTTTCAAAACTATTGTATTAATAGTTTTCACATGAAGCTTTAGATGTGAAAAAGAGAGAACCAGACCTCAGTTCAACTCAGTTTGCAAAAGATAACATTTCCTGTTAGACAAACAAAATGTATTTATGAAAAAAGTTAGCTTTAATTGATTTAATGAATAATTGATTAATTAATCAAATTGATTTAATGAATTCATTAAATTGCTGTGACCCCAACCTTCAATATCCACAATAAAATATATTCAAGAACTCAATGAAATTGAAAGTGCACAATGTAACATTATTTTTCACCACTTTTTTGTTTCCATTGAGCGCTGTTTGCTTTTGTCTGTAGCACTCCACAGTATTCATTCAGCTTATGTATAAATGTCTCTGGAATATTGTCCACAAAGATGAGCAGGTTTCAGACCCCAGTGTAAGATTGTGCACCTCTCCCTTAAGATGGATTTGCTTTCATCAGATACTGCAGGAAATGAAAATGTGAAATATAATTACCCCAGTCTGCATCACTGGTCCTGGCGAACGACCGGTCTCGAAGGATGCTAAACAAACAAACAATGTTCTTTAAAGTGCCAAGGATACAGTTTACATATTTTACATGATTACTGTATCTCATGTATAATAAAAGGTTCAATCAAAAGCCCTTTGGCTTGCTCTGATTAGTTCTATAAAAAGTGTCAGGACTTACCCCGCATTGTTGACCACAACATCTAAAAAGGGTTGATTTTCAGGTTTTAGTGCTGTGAGCAATGTTACGGATGAAGGATGAGAATTGAAATTGTTTCACCAACCTATTCTCCCAAACGCATCAAGCGCAGTTTGAATTAGCTTTTCTCCATCTTCAACAGAATCTAAGGGGAGAAAATACATATTTTCCTGTTAAACTGTAGAGGCACATTACAGGTGCAATATGTAGGAAGGGTCTAAAGCAATTTTATGCTCCATAGAGATGCTGTGCCAGAAAAGTACTTTCATTAAAATATCAGAAGCCTTTTTTGCACATTAAGAGGTCATTTTATTTTGAAAAGGGGGAAAAAAACATACATGTTCTACTTTCTATTGTATTATTGCACTGTTTTAGTATCCCCAGCGTTTCCTCTGGAGGAGCCCTCTGCACTGGGGGCAGGGGTCTGCTGTTGCTGCGGGGGTCTGGCTCTTGGACCTGGTGGGGTCTGGGGCCCCTCTCTCCTCTGGGTCCTGTGTCGTTTCCTGTGGCTGCAGCCGGCTCTCGGCTCCTGGTGCAGATGGCTCCTTGGATGGCGCTTCTTCAGCCGTTTACATCTGCTCCCAGCCCCATTTCTTTTTATTGTTTCACTTATTTTACCTGATGTGACTTTGTGTGTGTGTGTGTGTGTCTGTGTGTCTGTGTGTCTATGTGTCTATGTGTCTATGTGTCTGAGTGTGTGTGTGTATACGCATGTGGGTGTATATATAATATCAAATGTGGTTTTTGGGGGGGGTCTGTGGGGAGATGGGGGTGGGGCTGGGCATATTAAATTGTTTTTATCTAAACTGTAAAGCACCTTGTGTTGCATTTTTTGTATGAAAAGCGCTTTATACTATGATACTTAGCAGCCAGCATGTAGCAGGTTCCTGTTACAACCATAGTCTGTATCGTTACAACACGACCATATCCAGAGATTGTGTGTTAAAGTCTCTGGGAACACCAGGTGCCACAGTTTCTTTAATTTTTTTATTTAACCTTTATTTAACCAGGAGAACCTCATTGAGATTAATCATCTCTTTTTCAAGAGTGTCCTGGACACAGTGAGGCGGCTGCGGCTGTAAAGTGCCAGACTGTTGTTGTGTCCTTGGGCAAGACACCTCACCCACATTGCCTAGAATGGGTCTGGTGTGTGTGTGAATGGTTGGTGGTGGTCGAAGGGGCAGATGGCACATACAGGTTGTCTCGCTTCTGTCAGTGTGCCCCAGGGCAGCTGTGGCTACAGTAGTAGTTTATCATCACCGTGTATGGAGTGAAAGAATAATGACATGTAAAGTGTTCTTGAATGTCCAAAAAAGCCCTATATAAGACTAATGCAATATTATTTTTATAGTGACTTGTGAAGTGAACACTGAAGTTTCATACTGCCCCTATAACGCCCAAAAGGAAAACTAAAATAACATGGGCCATATATGACTCACAGGACTTATAGTAGTTTTATAATAAGAAAAGAGTGCGATAAGATACTATAAATTGACCTGAATTGTACTGCAGCGTAATGCGTGTCCCGCCAAAGGCTCATGAGCAGCACATGTACCATAGTTGGAGAAACTTTTACAATGTCCACAAAGCAACAGACACAAACTCACCGTAGTTGGCCACTGCTTTTCCTCCTTTGGCCTTTATCTCTTCCACCACCTTATCAGCCGCTGCAGAACTCTTTCCACCTCCTTTAATATCTCCTCCAAGGTCATTAACTTAAACACAGCGAGAAGAAAGTAAGATGATAACATGCTACTGAGTACAATCAAGGCCATGGCACAGTTCAAGGTCTCCACTTGCATGCAAAATATACAATTATACTGCATGTCCATGTTTAAGTGGACAAAACTGACCATCTATTCTAAAGTGAATGTACAGCTACATTTCAGAATCTTTTGGGGGCTACATGGAAGTGTTTGGTAGGCTGTGGGCTTACTGAGAATCTATAAGAACCTTTATCCCATGAAGACTTGAAATAAATTGAGTAAAAGATACAAAATAAACAATAAAACAAATGTATATAAAATGCTAACTTGGTAGGATTATGTACCATCGTTGACAACTCTCTTGTTTAGTATTAGTATTAGTAATATGCTTCACAATAAAAAGATATTTACCTATAACTGAGGCGCCTCTTTCAGCAAAAGCTAAAGCATAGGCTTTTCCAAGTCCTGGGGAAACAAATAATAGAATGAACTTTCACACACTTACAAGTTACAACATCAATATTCACTATGGGTCATTCATGTGCTGGGATCACAGTGGAATAGACTGAATACCAATGCACGGAAAACCAAGGTAATCAATAATACTGGTGTATTTTTTAATCAAACACTGTATTTAAAACAGATTTCCTTCACAATGTGTTGCTTGAAGTAAGTTAGCATCGCTGTCAACATAGCACTTAGCTAAAAGCACAGTTTTATCTACCTCCTCCTGCACCAGTGATCAGCACGACCCTTCCCTCGAATGAAAGAGACATATTCCCCCAGTTTTAGTTTGAGAATTCTGTGAAAAATGGTCAATAACACTGGGAAAGCTCCGTAGAGGAGAGAGCACAGAGAGACAGCTCACTTCCGCACCGAGGGGCGGGGCTGAGGCAGAGTCAACCAATCAGAGAATAGCCATTATCTCTCCACACTTTAACTTTGGACTTGGACTCATGTCCCGGGTCACTGCCCTCTGGTTACACACTGCTACAGCTGCTTTAATTAGACGTTTAGCGTGGATGATTAAACAGTAAATGTTTCCAGTGTGATACATATTAAAACCATTGCAGGCCTGAAGTGACTGGGGTTTTACAGTATATGCAATATAAACCAAACTTTCTTGGATGGGTCACTTTTGCGATTCAAAAAAGTAGTAAAAAATATAGGTCAATTAGTTGATTGATTTATTGATTTATTGGTGTGTGTAATATCTATCACTTTTAGTTATCTACTTTTTTTAGATAAATATTTAGTATCCCTATTCTATTTTCACTACATGCTTTCATTATATATTATTTAAATCGTAAATCCTGGTGCTGCTGCTGCTGCACATGTGGCTCTACATTTATAAATGTGCTATTCACATCTTCTGTAATTAAACTTACCATGTGAAACATAAGACAGACTCAGTACACAGAAAGTGATATATCAAGTCATAGTCTTTTAAGGTTGGCTCACAGTTGTAAAAATCACAATGAAAACATCATTGAAAATATGAGTAGGAATAGAAAAGCAATAATCATCCAAATTAGAACAAATAAAGGCCTTTGCATGTAATGAGCCTGTATTAGTTGAATTACAGAAATAAATTGTTATCATTCCAATTTCCCGAGTTTCACTTGTAAAACTTTGTGTGGCTGCACAATCAATGAAGCTATGGTATAGTCCTAACCTGGTCTTACCACAGCACTGTACTAATACAATTTCGTACATGTAGGGAAATAATTGAACGTGGCGGATGGCTAAGGCCAGGCTAGTATAGTCCATGCATTGTGTTTTATAAATAAACAGGATTACTTACATACTTCCTCAGCCTGCTCTACACACTTGACCTATTAACCACGTACCATCACCCTCACTACCAACATGCACAATCTGCCCATTAATATAATGTGTATGTGCAGACAGCGTCCACCCCGCAGTTTCATGTGAACAGCATCGTCATAAAATCTGTAATAAGCTCGGGGCTTGACATGCATGAGTACTATTCAAGAGTGAGAGAGAGAGCGCGACACACTCTCACACAATACGTACACGCACAAACACACAAACACACACACACCTACACTAAAGGGGGACACGCGCACACAAACTTCCACATGCACACGCAAAAACACTAAAGGGGGACACGCACACACAAACTCGCATATACGCACATACCGACATACACACACATGCACGCACGCACGCACGCACACGCTGGTCCCTCCTCCCAGCCTCAGCAGCAGCACCCCGCGCGCGGCAGTCAAGACTCCGGGAGGCTGAGATGTGACACACGATGGACCCAGTGCCGTGTTTGCTGAAGAAGACTGCCCCTCTCCTCTCGTTACGTCGCTGCCCCTTTGGATTCTCTCCTGTTTATGAGACGAAAGGACCGACGTAATGTCTTAGAATGAGCACGCATATGGATTATAATCACGGAGTATATTTTTTTCTTATTGATACAGCGTGGTGACTCAGATTGCTGCTGCTTTGCCACACACATTTACCCCCCGTGACTGTATTAGTAGATTTAGTTTTATTTATCAGTTTCAAAAACGTGTTGGTGTGAATTTTTGCCTGAGAGAATGTTGCTGTCCGGGGCATATTCGCGACTCAAGTATAGCCAGTGGCATTATTTTGTGCTGCCTCATTAAATGTATAGAAATAGAGAAAAAACCTGTAGATAAGCTCAATTTCTCAGCAAGCATGAGATATTATGTTGAGATAGTGGTTATTTGCCGTGTTCTGCTCGACTGCGCATGCCTAATCGCCCAGACGGCAGTGGTCACTTCTGCCCGTCTTGGCCGCGATGTGATTTAAGACCACCAAAAGTCAAAGGGGTAAAAAAAAAAACGAAAAAGGGGGGTGTTGACAATGCTCTGGCAGCCTGGTGGCGCGGCAGCCAAAGGATACGACTCCTTACCGAATTAAAATTGCGGCATAATCTGAAGAATGTCCGGGGCACCCAATGCAGACCCTGAAGGAGCAGTCTCCAAAGTAAAAGTGAAAAAGGAGATCAAGACAATCGTGGAGAATCTGGAAAACATCCTGGGGGATCTGAAGGATGTAGCCAAAGAACTCAAAGAGGTATGTGACAACGTAATGTGTCATGGATGAATACTTGTCCTTTTGGTTGTGACCATGGGATTCAATACTAAATTAAAGCTGAGAAACCTAACTTTTTTCCCATAATCATTGTGTTTGTCCCAACAGAAAGAGTATTGTAATATCGTATGAGAAATGGTGAGTCTTTTGCAGCTTGAAAGAAAGAGCCCTGTGAGGGGATGTCCACTATTTCTCTTCTCTGTCTGAAAAAGCAGACCTAAAGACTATGGGCAGAGAATATAACAACTAAGTGATAGGACCAAGCTGTTTTGAGAGTCACAAACTACATGGATTTTAGTTTATGGATCATTTTTTTGTGGTTTCAAAGTTTGGTATCCCAGCTTTAACAATTGAAAACAAATCTGTTGTTTATGAGAAATGTCAGCAAATTGTTGCATGATACCCAAGAATAAATGTAATGTAAAGAATATAAACCCCTGTTGCATTTTTTATAGTTGGCACACAACCGCTAAAATTCATGTTTTTGCATAACCTCAGTTTCCAACACTGCGTCTCCACGTATCCTGTCACAGCTCGACCCTATATCTGCAAATTAATGTATTCGCCCTGGTTGTGTCTTGTGTGATCTCATTTCTATAGTATTCTCTTTCTAAGGACACTCACTCACACACACACACACACATCCCCCTATAAGCCAGTACCATTTTTCTAAGTCTACCCCTTAAACTAGATTATAATCATGCATTTGATCATTGCGTTGTTCATTCTGTTAGTGCGACTATAGGCCCAGTTTACACGGAGACAATGCAGCAGTAAAACGCTATAGTTGGATGTCGGTTGCTACCCGCCGTTCATACAGAGACTGTGTTCCAGGGGGGTGAAAACGTAAGAGTTAAGATCCAGCCTGCAGAGTGGGACAGCTCAAATATGCTGCTCAGCGGGGACTCTCTTTCACACCCGCGTGAAGGAAAAAGGTTTGAATTCTTTGCCTGATCTGACCCCCACCTCCCCGCACGTACATTGGACATGCGCAGTAGCCGAGAACAAACGTAAACAACAATGGCGGCAAGTACACTAACTAGCTACGTGTGCTTTGAGCGCTACACAGAGGATAATTGTACACTTGCGTTCGTCCAAACGAAAATACGCAAAGCTCTAGGTTCTGTTTCCATTTTCGCAGCTGCTGTTAAAATGCAGAATCATGTTGGTGCATCTTTCACGTCTTGCAGAGGAAGTGAGTGTACTGCTGGAGGGTGCTGGGGATCGCGTGTGTTGTGTTGTAAAGTTCTTCTGCCCACTACCGTCCGGGCGCTAGAACTGCATCGTTTTTGATCCTTGTATGAACGCTGTGAAATTTGCATTAGGAGCCTGGTCGTTTCTGTTAATAGCCTGGCAACGTCTACGGAGCGCCTCCGTATAAACTGGGCCTTAGAATAACTGTAAGATTAGATTAGATTAGATTCAGTTTTATTGTTATTAAAAAGTCAGTAAAACCTAAAGATAGTTGTGGCTCTGGACCAGATTGAGTTTAACCTCTGTGGCACATGAAAAACATACAGATGACTCGAGCCCTGTGTCCGCTGAAGTAGGGGGTACACAGGCCAAAAAGGTTGGGGACCACTGCTTTACAGGACTTTGTACAGGACAGACATCATAGAGAAAATGTGTTAGTATATTGCTAAGAAATCAACCATGTTTATGTGACAATCATTACTTGCCAATCACTTCAATTATTGCGCTTATTGAATGATTATTTGTATCACACATCCTGTTATACCAGTTGTTAAATCACACATGGTACTGTCACTAGTTTTTAGCATTACTGATTACTAGGGATTTCTCACCTGCTTTTTGTGAAGTGGTCCTCTATCTGCTTCTCCCGATAGATACTGTATAACTTCTAACTTAGCAGAGTGTGGTCACAGGCCTGAGTTTGACATGCCTGGTCTAAAACAAACCATTAAAGCCCAGTTAAGACTATACTATTATGACCAATTAGCTAAGAAATGCTTTTTTTCAGAATGATAACAGTTGCAATTTGTGCTTTGAAGCTATGGTGTTAAAAGTGCACTAGGAGAATTTTAATGGAAGGAAAACCTGAAGAATTTCTATATTAGTTTAGAGGAGAAAACACAGTTTGTCGTTTGCACCAAAACCAAAAGCAACTTTTAAAAGTTTTTTTTTTAACACTAGAAATCCTAGAATTATGAAACTTCTAGAACTCCCAGAGCTGTCAATTTGCTGCTTTTTCCCTTAAAACCATTTGAATTCTGGGAAATGTACTTACAATGTTGGGTTTTCCTCCTGATTTATAAAAAAAAAGTAATTTATCAGAAGTAATACATTTCTCCTTTGTGTGAATGTTTAATTGTACACTGTCCCTGTAATATATATTACAAGGATATTTTCACTATTGAATTTAAGGCACAGTCAAATGCTCTCTTAAAATCCCACCACCTAAAACTAATTATCATATTTTTGATAATGAGTCTATTATTTAAACATTAAACACAGCGATTGCCAGATTGTCGTGACGCATTATGCATGCAGGTTAATTTGCTGTTTATAAAAGAAATTATGCAATCGAAATAATTACTGCCTTTGCAAAGTGAACTGATTGTGGTCACTAAAATTGTGGTTTTGAATGAATTGTGCAGCGCTTTTCTCTGCAATGTTTTAGGTGGAGTTGCAAATTTAAAATTTCAAAGACAAAACAAAGTGAATTTTGATGATGAAATGGGGAATAAATATTTATCAAATGTTTAAATTCTAAAAAGATAATGTATAAATGTGTTCATCGAGTACAGAGGTGCTCATGACGTCAACTAATACAAATTCTAAATCCTGACACCCCTCACATAATTCTGAGGTCGATCAATGGATGCTGTAAAAGTAGACATTGGTTTGATAAAGTGTGGGCACCCCGATCTAGTAGATAGCAAGTTAGATGTTTTCTCATTACCTCTGTTTATATTTATGCATGGATATAATACAAATGGAATATATTACAATTCATTCCCAGTGAGTTCCCATAAATTCCCATTATTCCCATGGAAAGTTCCCAAATAAATAATATTTTCAAAAAACCCAAGTTTATGCCTTTTATATTCACTCCTTAAAGAAAGCATTGTATTTTTTTATTCTAAGATTTAGGAGCACTAATAACACTTTTTTTTTTAAACCGCTAGTTTTTTTATCAATGCATTTCAATTCATTGTATTTTTGTATAGATAACAAAATCACAGGGGCGACAGTAGCTCAGTTGGTAGAGCATTGGCCTTTGAGCCTGAAGGTCGTGGGTTCAAGCCCACCGTAAGACCTACTTCACGACTCCCACTGATGACTGCTGCCGTTGTGTCCTTGGGCAAGACACTTAACCCCACTTTGCCTGAAGCCCCCACTGAAAGATCTCAGCTCCTGTGGACTCACCACCTGCAGGAGGATCAGTGAGGGGCTGGTGCTCTGTGACTGGGTGCAGCTCTGACTGCCACCCCCCTGACCCAGAAATGGATTAAGGGGAAGAAAATGGATGGATGGATGGACAAAATCACAACAGCAGTCGTCTCGGAGGACTTTACAAAGTTGTCGATTCGCCAACAGATCAGAGATTTGATCAATGGGCCATGTTTGTAATAATACTAAAACCAATGGCCTTTTTAGTCAACTAGCGGTTTTAGTTTAGCAATTAGCCTGCCCTATATGTATCTATATGTAACTCTGCACTACATATATATATATATATATATATATATATATATATATATATATATATATATATATATATATATATATATATATATATATATATATATATTTTTTTTTTTTTTTTTTTTTTTTTTTTAAAGCATTGAATCATTTACAGCATTTACAGCTAGCTAAGAAACAGGGAGGAGGCCCCGGGGAAGACCCAGGACACGCTGGAGGGACTATGTCTCTCAGCTGGCCTGGGAACGCCTTGGGGTCCCCCCGGACGAGCTGGAGGAAGTGTGTGTGGATAGGGAAGTCTGGGCGTCTCTGCTTAGACTGCTGCCCCCGCGACCCGGCAACGGATAAAGCGGAAGAAAATGGATGGACAGCTAGCTAAGAAACAAAGCTACTATGATTTTGTATATTTTGTGTGCTCCCTGTGGTCTCTTACCACTGTCCTGTATGTGCGCTGCAACATTGAATTTTCCCCACTGTGGGATGAAATGAAGATATCTTATCTTTTTTAAAGTATAGACCTTTACCAAATGGGGCGGCATGGTGGCTGAGTGGATAGCACTCTCGCCTCTCAGCAAGAAGGTCCTGGGTTTGAATCCCGGTCGGAACAGGGTCTTTCTGAGTGGAGTTTGCATGTTCTCCCCGTGCCTGTGTAGGTTTCTTGGGTACTTCGGTTTCCCCTACCACTAAAAACATGCACACTAGGTTAAAATTCTCCAGCGCCGGTAGTCCTGACCAAGCTGAGCATCAACATCTGGAGATGGGTTCCCGGGCGCTGTACTACAGCGACCACTGCTCCTGACGTAAGCCTTCGCGGCATCAGGATGAGTCAAATGCAGAGGATTGAATTGCCCTAAGGGGATTAATAAAGTGCACCTTTACCTCTAGTTTGATGGTGCCTAAAACCAAGTGATAGATATTTCAGTTCCAAACTTCACATTGATATAGTGACTCAAAAAGTGATCTACCAAAGGATTGAGGAAACCATTGAAGGGTTAACTTCCCGTGAAAATTTACCTGAAACATTCCCAAAAATTTACTGTAAATCTTCCCGCCGCTTTGCAACTATAGTTTAAGGACATTTCTTGTGGCAGTAACCGTGCACCATCCTCCTCGGCTGCTAAACCTGCTTTAGGCTACACTTCCACTGGCACTGCTTATGTCGCTGATTATTATCTCCCATGTGAAAGACGGCAGGAAGCACGGTGCAGAGTGACAGGACACGCTGCTCCTACCTCACTCACTTTGATGCAAGGAAATTTAATCAACATTAATATTTCATGGACAAGTTGGTTTAACCAGACAAGCAATTTTACATA